CTAAACAGCTTCACTCCTGTATACCTAAAGGTGTGTCTCCACCCCCATCATTCAGCCCAGACACTGAGATCAAGCACTGAGGGCCTTCTGGTGGTTCCCTCACTGTGAGAAGTGAAGCTATAGGGAACCAGGCAGAGGGCCTTCTCAGTGGTGGTGCCCACCCTGTGGAATGCCCTCCCATCAGAAGTCAAGGAAATAAACAACTATTTGACTTTTAGAAGACATCTGAAGGCAGCCCTGTTTAGGGAAGTTTTTAATGATTGATATTTTATCACTTTATTAATAATAATAATAATATTCTGTTGGGAGGTACCCAGAGTGGCTGGGGAAAGCCAACCAGATAGGCAGGGTATAAATAAATAAATAAATAAATTACTACTACTACTACTACTGTATTTTTTACACACACACCCCGCGTGTAACACGGCCCCTATTTTGGGGGACTTAAAATAAAGAAATACCCCATATGCAATATCCATGTATAATTGGACAACCCCCAATTTTAAACCTGAAAAAATAGGGGGGAAATATAGTCTTATACATGGAAAAATAGGGTAATTGGTTGGGCGTTGGCCAAAATCCCAATAAACCCAGTGGGAAAGAACATTGCTGTGAACTGCATTAAATGGTATCACTTATTATTCCCCCACCACTCCCAGGCTCCGGTAATTGCCCCTCTTCCAAAAAAAAGGGGGGGGCATCAAGGTAACCAAATCCATTTCAGTACCAAGCATAAGCCTCAAATCAGACTGGGTCTAAATTATCCACTTCCTCCAGGTGTGCTGGGCCCAGGGGTTAACCCGAGCTACACAGTCCAGGTCTGGTCCCGAATCCAAGGATTCCGCCAGAAGTCAGCCCAACAGGGCCATGGCAGGAAATCAGGCTACGTCAGGCACAGGGTCTCAGGCAGGTCCCAACAAGCAGCAATGTTGCTCCTGCAACCTGGGGTGGGGTCTGGTAGCCTTTTATCTTTGTCGGGGTAACGGCTGGTCCTGATCCCCGGTGACTCACCTCCCTGTCCAAAGGTGAGCACTCCTCCTGCAAGTACTCAGGTCTCTCCTTCTCTCAGACCTTAGTCTCTGCAGCTCGGGAGACGTTGGTGGGTTACTAGACCCAGGGGCCGCCTCAGTCTCTCCTGACCCAACTGGTAGTGGAGCAGCTGTACGTGATCACCCAGCAGAGGGCAACGAGGTAATCCCCGCATCTGGAGCCAGGGCAGGCTCAGGCCCCTGACTTGGCCCAGCTGGTGTTTGTTGCAGGGGAACCTGTGCAGACTGGGGCTCTTCAGAATCAGGCCCCGGACTTGGTTCAGATGCCGCCTGAGGCAGAGGATCCAGTGTGGACTGAGACTCCTCTGGTTCCGAGTCCGAGCCCGAGTCCCAGGCCATCACACCAGGCATGCCTGAAGCTGGAATGTTCTCCCCAGCTGGTGCCCACAGTATGGCTTTTCAGGCAACAGGTGAAGGGTTTTTTGGTCTCCCAGGCCTTTGGATTATAATGTGTACCTCTATTTAAGTGCATTTAGATCTTAACAGTATGGCGTGCAGCCCACTCCCAGCAGTGGCCATCTGAATAAGCTTCTACAGCACAGAAGGGCTGAATAGTGAATCCTGATTAAGAGTTTATTCATATATCCTGTTCATTTGCATGATGATTACACTGTTACCACACATAACAGTCTGGCCATTTTAACTCATTGAAGCAGAAGAAGGCCTGAAGCTGTTAAACAGACTATTGGTTGGTTGATTGGTTGGTTGGTTGGTTGGTTGGTGTTGTTTTTAATCAATTTTATTAAATGTTTCAACCTAATAAGATTCAAACTAAACTAAAAAGAATAATGAAAAACCATATACCAAACAGAAAAAACTAAAGAGAAAAAGAAAGGAAGGTACATGAATAATAATCCTCATATGATCCTCATAAAACACAAAATTATAAATATATCTATGTAGCCCTCAGTCACAGTTTTATCTTAGAGGGTTGAGTTCTCCCACCTCCCTGTACATATCTTCGTTTATTACCAATATATGTAAAGATACACATCTAGTTATTACTACTAACCACCAAAAATCAAAGATCACACGAGAAACCCAATCCAAAAGAAAAATGAAAAAGAGAAGGAAGAGAGAGAAAGAAGAACTATTGGTTGGTTGAAGTTGTTGTTTGTGAAGTACCGCACCATGAACACTAATTTTTTTATCAAAATACATAACATTCAAAGGAGGTGGGGCCCCAGTTTATGAGAAGAAGAGTTTGGATTTGATATCCCGCTTTATCGCTACCCGAAGGAGTCTCAAAGTGGCTAACGTTCTCCTTTCCCTTCCTCCCCCACAAGAAACACTCTGTGAGGTGAGTGGGGCTGAGAGACTTCAAAGAAGTGTGACTGGCCCAAGCAGCTGCATGTGGAGGAGCGGAGATGCGAACCCGGTTCACCAGATTACGAGTCTACTGCTCTTAACCACTACACCACACTGGCTCTCATTACACACATTACCAACAGTTTCAAATAATAATAAAGCCAACACAACAAACAGGATGATTCAATATTTCAAGAGAATAATCTAGACGTAATACAGAACAAATACAGAACAAAATAAAAAACAACAGGCCAAAATAAAATAAAAATAAAAAACTAAGTCACATGACAGGTTCTAATCTTACTGCACTCCAAAGGACCATAGCACTGTGGCTTGTATACCATCCAGAGGGGCTGTCTGTAAAAGGGAAACATTGAAGACTGGCAATGATAGTCTTCTCCATCCCCTCTTCTCCATCCCCCCAGCTGTTCTAGGTGCTAATACTGGTCTTACTGCACTCCAAGGGGGTGGGGTGGGAGGTCACAGTAGCTTGGTTTAGGATTGGTGACCTAAGCCAGGTGCCGAACCGAAGTGTATTAGGCGTTCCTATCACTTGCTCTGAGATGGTGCTAAAAATATAATAATAATAATGAAAAGGGCATTGTTGAAAGAGAATTGCTAAGCATATGAGCTGTTTGATATTTGTTTTGCTCTGGGGGGTACGGTCCGCAATTATCCTCTGATTCTTTTAAAATGAATTTATGGTAACTAGATTAAAATGCAGGCAATATCCAATATTGCAAATGAAAGGTGTTTATTACAGTACAGAACATTGCCGTTTGTTTGTTTATTTATTTATGCAGCTAAATATCCATAATGATCCGAAATAGCAATATAAGCATTTGAAATAAGTTTTTTGGGGGGCACTTTGCATGCCTCCCTTCTTCAAAACGAAAAAAACCCCTCTTTATTTTATATTTAAAATTACCAATAGCGTTTAATAGTCGTAAAAGTTAAGACACGTTATTTATGAAACCCATTAATCCTTGGTGCTAGTTGAAATTCACATCGTTGGGGAGTTATCAATAATTAAAAGGGAAGATGTCATTAAAATCTGCTGGAGAGGACACGGCAGTCACCTGGGATGTAAACTTTATCTTCAGAATTACAGAACATGATTAATGGGGAGGGGAAAGTATTATCTCCGTTTGAGGCCCCTGACCTTCAGAGAAGCCCAGAATATTCTTCTGCCTGCAGACAGCTAGGGCAGTGGGGCGGGAAGTCTCAGATGCGGAGTGAATATTCTACATTACCCAGCAGGAAAAGAACATCTTCGAACCTGAATTTTCACATAACAAGTTTTTTTCTCTTTTGAGCCAGTTTTTTGGGGGCTTCCAGCGATATCAGCCTACCCCACTCCCCCTTCCAGCAATATGTTTGCAAAATATAGCCAGATAGAATGATGTTCCCTCTCCTACCCTACACATGTGCTGTTCTGGGAATTCTCCTAACCTCTCAAAGCTGATTTATGGGGGCAGGGGAAGGACAGAACAGAAGTTGGACTCATCACACAACTTTTAAGTTGAATCCAGCCCGCTGAAACTAGGGAATTTTGCTAAAATGCCCCCAAACCTGTTTTGTTCTGATTCCTCTCCAGTCTCCCATGTGATTCAGGTAGTGAAGTAGTTACTGATGTATTGCAACATCAAAAACTTCAGATTGGGCAGGTGCCTTTCATCCAGAAGGAGGGAGATCTACATCGGGTGAGTGTGTGTGTGCTCACTACAGAGAAGTCCCTGTTCTGGGTCCATACAAAATAGCTCTATCTTAACTTTCAGTCAACAGGAGCCCTTTGCTGTACGCAATGAATTATGCATTTATGTAGCACACAATTACAAAATTAGTAAACCTACATCAATCTACAGTTTGCTGTACTGTAACCTCTGGTGGTTCTATGTACTGGAACTTAATTTTCTCTCCAGATGCTACATAGCTAGCATGAACGAGACTAAAAGTGAAATTAGAGATATGTGGTGATAACTGGCGTCTTGGGAATTCTGGAACGCCTGGTAAAATATTTTTTTAATACCTGCAATATATTTGGATATGCGTATGTGGTACAAAGCTTCCCTCTTCAAAGACCTTCCACACATTAGAAGTACAACTCAGAAAGCTGACACTCCCTAGAAAACCATATCAAAAGCAAACAACGATAAATAAATCATCCGCCCATCAAAGAGGCTCTAAGTAGAGCTTTGAATCCAGAAAAGGATGGAGGGAGGAAATGAGAAATATCATTTTGGGCCTTCTCACACAAGGCTTTTGGTGATTTCCACCCCAAAATCAGTTTATATTGAGAATGCAAAACATACATTAGCCAAAATGCTCATATGAATTTAAAATGTGTCTTTCACACATAAACAACCCCACATTCAAATAATTAGCGAGAGAAGCACTCCAAGCAACTGAAACCATGTGAATCCCATTTTTGGCCCAAAAATTACAATCCAGCCACTGTGATTGGAATGCCTTGGCGAAATATTTCACTGCTATTAAAACCTTCTGCAACTTCCAACTGCAGCTTCCTGCAGCCAATCAGAAGCTGCGCTTTGGTTTCCGAATGTTTGCTTATGTCCCAGCTGGACTCTGATCAGTCTGATAGTGGGTCTTACCTTATCCCGAATCCCTTGCCTCACATTTTCCCTTTCAGCCTCCATCTTGGCATATTTAGCTTTCCTCTCTTCTTCCTGCTGCCGAAGGGCTTCCTGTCGTTCTTCCTCCTTCTTGGCAGCATCTGGATCCTTCTCTTCTTCTCCTCCCAGCATCTTCCCCATATCTTTGGTAGCCCCTAAGGAAAGAGTGTGATGAAAAGGCAATGTGAGGAGGAACCGAGACACTAAGAAGAACCTTTGTGGGCGAGTACAATGTTGCCCTTGTGCATGAGGAGCTGAATCCAGTTACTTTATTTTTAAAAAGGAGTCCCACTACAAAGAAGGAGCTTGGATTCAGAGAAGCCTTTGAAAACAGAAGGAGACAGAATAAGGTAAATGTTGCTGATTTCCCCCACATGGACCCTCTTGCCAATCAACAGGTAACTTTATTTCCAACGCATGACAGTTTTGCACATGCTCATTTCTAAATCTGTTCTACCTCTCATCCACATCAATCTGTAATTTATTTATTTTAAAAATGCATTGCATATGTTTTGTTCAGCATTTCTGTATACTTTTTATGCAGTTTTAGTGCCTTTTACCCTAAAATGCACATTTTATATGCATTTTGCTGTCTTCTAAAGCAGGGATGTCCAACAGGTCACTCGCGATCTACTGGTAGATCCCTGTGAGGTTTTGGTAGATCATGGGTCGATCACTGGCTACCTTTCCTCAGTGTCATTGAAACTGACTCCTGTCCCACCCTCTCGCCCAGCCCTCCATTGTTCTCTGATCAGTGGAAGGGAAAACAGCTTTCTCTTTGTGGCTGTTTTCATTCAAAGCGTTATTACTGTGAGTGACTTTTTCCCTTTGACCCTTGCCTTTAACACCCCCCCCCAAAAAAATTGAATTTTCCTCCTAAGAAAGTATTTGTATAAAACGGGGCTTTCCTCCTCCATAAAAAAGGCTCAACAACTCCGACCTGAACCCGTCCCAAAAATGGGACTTTACTCCTCCCTAAAAAAAACTCAACAACTTTGACCTGAACCCAAATAAACCTGGGGTAGATCATTGCCAGATTTTAATACTGAAAGTAGATCGCAGTCTCTCGGGAGTTGGCCACCCCTGTTCTAAAGCATTGAAAAATTCAGAGAAGGGTGAAAACTGAATGAGAGCTGCTTTCCAAGCTGAGCATTGGTCAGGGAAATGCAAATCAGGTCAGTTTGCTTAACAATCTGAACCAAGTAAAATCTTCAAGCATCCTCATTGGCCCCTCCCAAGTTATTCTGGCATGTCTTCCGTGTCCTCCAGAGTGGATATTCAGTGGGTACAGGAAGGAAGGAGAAACCACCCCTTTCCAAAAGTGGACATCTGCTCACACAACTCTAAATCCAATTCATGCTGATGTTACTGTGGCTTCGGGAGTAAACCTGGAGGAAAAATCTTGCCGTGCATCTTCAGGGAAAGAAAAAGCTAAGGAGTAAACCCTACACAAATCTCTTTTACCCTTTTACAAGGCCACCACATATGAAATAACATTCCCTCTACCTCTTTGCATCTCCAGCACTTAACTGATTCAGTCTTATACATCTTAGTAAGCCTACTTGGAGTTAAATACCATCTGTAAATCATTTTCAAGTAGTTCTCCTCCAAAGAATAACATGCTGTGAACTTCAAGTCACTTTTCTAGAGTTTTTCCCAGAGGTTAAAATCTATATTGTGACCTATTTCTATTGCCCAGTTTGTCATTGAGGCTTTAACAAGCTTGTCCTTTGTTTCCCACTCTAATAACAAATTATACAATTTAGACAAAAAATTTTCTTTGTTTTGTAAAAGTTCTTTTTTGAATTGTGGGCTTTGATCCAGAAAATCATTTTTTTCCTATCTAATTTAAACATTTCATGTAACTGATGGTATTGTAACCAGTCTGGAACATGGCTCCTTACATTTTCCATTGATCTCAGTTTGAGTCCCCCCACTCCACCCTGTAATGTACAGCAATTCCCTGTAGGTTGCCCACGGTCTATCCATATTAACTCTCTTAATAGAAATAGCCTTCTTCCCTTCCAGAAGATTTTTATATTTCTCCCAAACTCTATACAGATTCTTCCTAAGAATACAGTTCATAAAACTTTTATAAATTTTCACCTTCCAATACCAAAGACATGCATGCCAGCCAAATTTTAAGTCATGACCTTCTAAGTCCAGGATGTCTGCATTATCCAATGTAATCCATTCTGTTAACCAACACAAACAGGCTGCCTCATAATACATTTGCAGGTCTGACAGGGCAAAGCCTCCTCTTTCTTTTATGTCTATCATAATTTTATGTTTCATTCTTGGCTTTCCCGCCCTGCGAGATAAATTTAGAAATATCCTTCTTCCATTCTTTGATGCAGCCTAAATTATTTACAACTGGACTTGATTGGAATAAAAACAGCATCCTGAGCAATAGATTCATTATAATAGCTGAGATTCTGCCAAGCAGGGAGAGCTTCATTTTCTCCCAAATCTCTAACTCTTTCTTGATCTCTTTCCACAGTTTAACATATAAGTTCAGATTTCTTACTGTCAGCCAGAGTCTCAAATATCTAACTTTTTTACATATTTGCAAACCAGACATTTTTTCTAACACATTTTTCGACTTATCATTCATGTTTTTCACCAACATATTTTTTAAATCTGAACTTATTTTAAACCCTGACATGCTTCCTCATATGATGGACAACAGTCCATGCAGAATGGCCACTTAAAGTCCATATATATATATATATACATACACATTTACATATAATATGCATCTGTCCATACATATGGTCAAGGACAAGTAAATCCTATTTCTTCCCATTCCCAAAGAAAGAGAATAAACGGGGGGGGGGGGGGTTGTGTACTGCCTGATCAATGTGCATAGACTCCAAATGATGCTGTCAACTGTGCACAATCTGGTGGCATAAACAGAGTATTTCACCCTTCGCTAGGTCACTAAGCATATGGTTCCCTTGAAGAATATTCCCTTGAAGAGATATTATGTACATTTACCAGTATGTGAAATTCTCACATTCTCCAGTATCACTTGGAGATTAAGCACATTGACCATTCAGTATGAAAAATCCTGCTTAAGATGTTCATTTGTGTATGTTCCCCATAATGTACAAAATAGCTGGTATTGGGGGGGGGGCGTTATTGGGTTGTTGCTTTTATTTTGATTATGTATTTTGTGGTTTTATATTTTGATTTTATTTTGTGAAGTGCCCTGAGACCACCGGGTATAGGGCGGTATATAAATTCAATTAATAATAATAATAATTTGTGCACATTCTCTATTCAGCCCAACATACACATATTGCAGCTCCTGTTCAGTTTTATGTCTGTACTAGATATTTACCCAGATTTCAAACTAGAACATTTTATTTCCTCTGGACTCAGAAGTTATTATGGATTCTGTCTACATACCCTCCTAAGCTTGAATTCTCTCTCAGCCTCTCATGATGACTTGCGTGCTGGTTTAACATGCATGCATCACTTGGTCTCTCTGGTAGATTATAGTGCATTTGATGATTGGCAGCTAGAAAAGGAAACTAGGCTCACATTGTGAGAAGTGATGTGAAGTGATATATGAGTTTTATCTGGGGTGTTAGATCTGTGGTCTCTCTCTCTCTCACACACACACACGCAGAGGCAATTCATCCCCTGATGTTGACGAATCTCCTATCCACTGGCATCACCCTTCATCTCTGCTCAGACAGTCATGAACTGATTGTACCCAACTAATATCAACTGGGTCCATTCTCAGTGGAAGAGAGACAGCTCACAGGCCGATAATTGCACTCTGTAGAATTTAATATGACAGAGGCGTGATACATTTGGAGTGAACAGAAAGGCTGCAAAGTGGAAAATCCTCAGTAGTTTTGTTCATTTTTCAATCAAAGCATTTTCTTTGGAAATGGTGGCTATGGAAGGTGGCTGACCCTCCAGTCATTGGTGGCGTCCAACTCCCATCAGCCTCAGCTGGTATTGTTGATGGAAAGCACCGCTGGGAGCTGACGTCCAGCAAAATCCGGAGGACTACGGGTGAGATACCCTAGCTGTAATAAATGAGAATTCTTAAAGAGTTTTCATTCTGTATAAGTTGAAGAACTCTTGAAAGAGGATGTGGACAGAGAAGATGTCCAAAGCCCTGGTTCACCCATGAAACCTGTAGGGTGGCCTAGGCCAAGTCTATGATAAAGAGCATGGAAACAGCATTGGGCTGAGTAGGGAGATCATATTTGGAGAAGGGGGCAGATGCCTCCAGGAGCAGTGTGGGAAAACTTGCCTTTGAGATGGTGGTGGTGATGGTGCTTCTGTTCTTAAGATGCCTGGAGGTTCTGAACTCAGTTGCGCTTTTGATATAAAAATAACAGTTTCTTTCATAGGGAGCTGTGTCTGTTTTGGTGATGCCCAGGGAACACCTCTAAGTTACTGTTACAACACAGCCTCTCAGGTTTTATGGGAGATTTTAAACTGGGGGTTTCCTACCTTCCCAGTGAGGTCTGCCAGGCACCATCATTAGCATCCTCGCACTGTCAGGTAAAAAACTTATCTTCTCCCAGGTATTTGACAGAAAAGGATATTGACAAGCTGGAACAGGCGCAGAGGAAGACGAAGAAGTTGATAAAAGCTCTGGAATCCAAGTATTGTGAGGAACGGTTGAAGGAGCTGAATATGTTTAACCTGGAGAAGAGACTGAGAGGTCACATGATAGCCACCTTCAAATATCTGAAGGGCTGTCACATGGAAGATAGGGCAAGCTTATTTTCTGCTGCTCTGGAGAGTAGGACCTACACAAATGGATTCAAATTACAAGAAAGGAGATTCCAGCTAAACATTAGGAAGAACTTTCTGATGGTAAGTACTGTTCTACAGTGGAATGGATCATGGAAAAGTGGTAGTCTCTCCTTCATGAGAGGTTTTTAAACAGAGGTTGGGTGGTCTTCTGTCACAGATTCTTTACCTGTAATTCCTGCATTGCAGAAAGTTGGACTAGATCTCCCTTGGTGCATCTCCTAACTTTACAATTCTATGATTTTATTGTTTGTTGGTGGCATGTTTACACTGCTATTCAGTTGGGTATGTTTTATAGGTTTTTCCCATGGATTTTATCACTTTTTCTGATTTTATAGAATTATTTTTTATTATTATTAATATTATTATTATTATTCCCCGCCCACCTGGCTGGGTTTCCCCAGCCACTCTGGGCAGCTTCCAACAGAATATTAAAAACACGCTAAAACATCAAACATTAAAAACTTCCCTAAACAGATGCCGTCAGATGTCTTCTAAAAGTCAGATAGCTGTTTATTCCCTTGACATCTGATGGGAGGGCATTCCACAGGGTGGGCACTGTCGGACTTGTGTTCGACCGAACGACTCCTCCGGTCGAGCCTTCCAAATCTCCTCCGACAATGATTAACTACCTGAGCCTTTGATAAGGCTCCAAGCACGTTCCCCCATTACGCAGAGTATATAGCAGCATGCGGAAGGACGAGATAGTATGAGCTACATGGCTAGGTTTTATTTCTATTTATGCAGACAGAAAAGAAACATCTTCTCTCTGTGAAAGCAGAGAGCAACTGAAACAAACAAAGGAACAGGAAACCAGTAAACATCACATCCATCTCCTGTCTTCAGTGAGACTTCCAACAGTCTGGAATCCCTAGAATGTAAACAGAGTCCTGTGACTCCAAGCAACTGTACAGTGGCACAAACAGAAACTAACAGGCACCACTACCGAGAAGGCCCTCTGCCTGATTGCCTGAAACCTTACATCTCTCAGTGAGGGAACCTCCAGAAGGCCTTTGGAGCTGGACCTCAGTGTCCGGGCTGAATGATGGGGTGGAGACGCTCCTTCAGGTATACTGGGCCGAAGCCATTTAGGGCTTTAAAGGTCAGCACCAACACTTTGAATTGTGCTTGGAAACGTACTGGGAACCAATGTAGGTCTTTCAGGACTGGTGTTATACGATCTCGGCAGCCACTCCCCATCAACAGTCTAGCATTATGCTCTGTGCATTATGAAATTTGCTTGAGGACTCCTTATGCAGTAAGCAACAGATAGATTGAAACAATAATACTAGTAGTAACAACAACTCATACATAGAACCATTGCACAAGGCTAGCACTGTACTATCTGAAAATTGCTGGTGGAGGCATATCCTAAATTTAGCATTTTTATTTGCACTAGATATTTTTGAGTCGGCAAAACTAGATCAGCTTTATCTTCGGTTAGTTTATCTCTGCTTAGAGCTGCCCTGACTGTAATGAGGTAAGCTGCTCAGGAAACTGAATTCAGAGATACAGTGACAGAAGAAAAGATACGGTTATTGCTTCTAAGCATTGCTTTATAGGCTATCATTATGTCACAACAACACAGCCTTAGCCTGGCTGCTTCTGCTGGCTAAGGTGAGGCTGCAAATCGTTGTTGCTTCTGGATATTGAGGATATAATCCTGTACTATGAAAATCAGTGCTATTGTTGGAGCATTAATCCAGCTCTTACAAGCAATAGCTGGCCGATCCAGATTTGTGTTGTATTTTGTTTTTGTTTAAAGGAAAAATAAGTAAATTAAAAGAGGATTCCTTTGATGCATCAGATCCAGGTTTGGGGCAAGCACTCTCTTGGTGACAGAGCCCCAGCAGAGATTTAAAATCATAAAATATGCAGAAAAATAAAGTGTGGAAAAATAGGCTGCTAGACAGTTAAAATATCCCCTTCTAAGTTGCTTCCAAAGTTTCCCTCTTCCCTTAGCAAAGAAAGAGACTACACATTTGGTAAGTTTAAAATGGTTTACTTATAAACCCTTCAAAGGCACGATTCATGTGCTTTTCCATACAGCATTAAGAAAAGGTTGCACAGGTAGTAAAACTTGGCTTAGTTTCAGTAGTGAAAGTTCCTATATTATTGGTAAAGGAACTCAAGAGATGCTTGTTAGATTCATGTGGCCTGAGCTTGGAGCAACCAGCTCGGATCTCTTACCTGACCTGCTCAGGTAGAAAGTGGTACAGCAGTAGATTTTAGTGCCTTCTTCCCAAGGTGAGGGAGAGTGGCCTAGCTAAGCCTGGCAGGACAGCTATTCTATGACATTAACTCCTTCTTGCTTTACTTAGACTTAAGAATGTTGGTTATATGAAGCTGGTTAGTAAAAGGCAATAAAGCTTAGGTTCCGAAGTGGTAAATATTTCTAAATTATTTGTATAGAAATACAGTGGAACCTCGGTTCCCGAATGCCTCTGTTGTCGTACGTTTTGGCTTTCGAACACCGAAAACCCAGAAGTAAATGCTTCCATTTTTGAACGTTTTTCAGAATCCGAATGTGCAAGAAGCTCTTGCAACCAATGGGAAACCGTGTCTCAGTTTTCAACCATTTTGGAAGCTGAACGGGCTTCTGGAATGGATTTCGTTCGAGAACTGAGGTACCACTGTACAAAGATGGCTCATGAGGTCTGTTTTGGAGCATTCAGCTTAGATCTCGCTGGGTTCACATGGTGGAAAATGGGAAGAATAAAGGGTTCCAGGGGTGCCAACTTAAAAAAATATGGGGGGGGGTCAGGCAAGCCTCACCCCACTTAATCAATCACAAGACACATACACACACCATTTGAATGGCAATGTCCATCAACTTTGGGGGAGCCCAGCCCAGACCCCTCAAATGCTCTGATTTAGTAGGGACATCCCAAATTTACAGGAGTTGGCCCAGCTTCTGATACCAATCCAGGCCATGCAGAAGACAGCAAAAGAGAGGGCAGGGAAGGAGGGGGTGAGCAGGCAGGTGGGCAAGGAAGGGGTCAGCGGCAGAGAGGGGTTGAGCAACAGAGATGAGGGATGGTCCAGGGTGCCCTGAATTTTTCTCACAAAATGTTGGCAGGTATGCCAGCTCCCTCAAATATGTTATGGGAGGGCGGAGGGACCTCAGCCCCTAGGAGTTGGATCCTATGTGCCCACCTAGCTCAGATTCCAACTGCAAGGGAGGCCAAAACCTGGCTCAGCTGGGACTCATGCAACTGGGTGCCTGAACAGTACAGAGGTGAAGGTAAAGGTAAAGGACCCCTGGACAGTTAAGGTCAGTCAAAGGTGACTATGGGGTTGCGGCGCTCATCTCGCTTCCAGGCTGAGGGAGCCGGCGTTTGTCCACAGACAGCTTTCTGGGTCATGTGGCCAGCGTGACTAAACCACTTCTGGTGCAACGAGACACCATGACAGAAACCAGAACGCACAGAAACACCGTTTACCTTCCCACCACAGCAATACCTATGTAGCTACTTGCACTGATGTGCTTTCAAACTGCTAGGTTGGCAGGAGCTGTGACAGAGCAACGGGAGCTCACCCCATCGTGGGGATTCGAACTGCCGACCTTCTGATCGGCAAACCCAAGAGGCTCAGTGGTTTAGACCACAATGCAATATCCCCACACCCTTATCTTTTTTAGATGGGCTTACCACGTTCCCTAGGGACATGGGTGGTGCTGTGGGTTAAACCACAGAGCCTAGGACTTGCCAATCAGAAGGTCGGTGGTTCTTTATCCCCATGACGGGGTGAGCTCCCGTTGCTCTGTCCCTGCTCCTGCCCACCTAGCAGTTCGAAAGCACGTCAAAGTGCAAGTAGATAAATAGGTATCGCGCCGGTGGGAAGGTAAACGGCATTTTCGTGCACTGCTCTGGTTCGCCAGAAGCGGCTTAGTCATGCTGGCCACATGACCCGGAAGTTGTACGCCGGCTCCCTCGGCCTATAGAGTGAGATGAACGCCACAACTCCAGAGTCGGCCACGACTGGACCTAATGGTCAGGGGTCCCTTTACCTTTTACCACGTCCCCTGGAGCACATGAACTTCTCAATGATGTCTCCTCCAGGTCCATACAGGAGTGATTATTGGGGATATAACTCCCTGTGGGCACAGAGGGCCTGCACACCAGGTCTCCATCTCCTTGCAGATGCAGGCACCTGCCCTTCGTGTGTGTGAACAGAGGAGTGGATGGTGCTCCTCATTTCTAAACCCATATGCGTAGATGACACCTTGGAACAAAAGCACAGTTCCCAGAGTTCTTGTAGATGCTCTCCATGTCAGCGAAGACAGAAAAGGCACTTGTTAATCACAGTGACTGTGGCTCTGTGATACATTCCTAATTGTCATGTACGCCGTGTACTACAAGGGGTACTAATGTAGCATTGTTCTTTATTCAGCCATGTTACTTGGGGTGCAAGGGGGGGATTAAAATCTTCCATTCCTCTCCTCCTCCTTACTTTTTTTTTGAAAGATGCTATTAAGAGCTACATTTTTTTTTTTTGGCTGTACAGCAACAAAAGCCCCAATGATTAATTTATGTTCAGAAGAAATCCTTGCAATTAGAACAGCTGTCTAAAGAAAGAGAAGCAAATTCTATCTTTTCTCGGGGGCTTTGGGGGAAAGTACCCTCCAAAAAAAGGTCATGGTTTCCTCTTCCCACCCCCAACAACAACAACAACAAAAGTCAGAGAGAAATTGTCTAATTAACTCTCACTGTCAATCTATGGCCAAATGCCCAAGTCTCTTAGCCACTGAAAACCTGCTGCCATGCGGTCAGGTTCCACATTGTCTCAGCAACAACTGGTCACATGGGATTGTGCATTCAGCTTGCCATATGTAATGACCCTCGTTCTCTTTTACCTGCCCAGTTTTCTGGGGCTTCTCCTCTCACCCCACACCAATTTTAGGGTGCATGAGGGAGGAGAGGAGGAGAATGTCTTATTGTGCAAGTCCTTGCCCCTACTTCTGCCCTGAAAAACAAAGCTGCTCCCCTCCTAACTAAGACCTATCCTTTAAATCCTTCTTCCACAGCCACACTCAACCCCCAACACCAGATTCTCATTCTCAGGAGGGACTGGTCGAGCCCCACCAGTCAGATGAATGGAGGAGAACCTGGGTCACATCTCAAAAGGGAGCATTATGAAGTTAGGAAGGGTGGGCTTAGGGATTCTAAATATTTTAGAGGTGAGCAAGGACATGAGTCAGAGATACGAAAAAGCAACCTTCCACCTAGTGCTCTCCAGATGTTAATATGTTATGAACAATGTCCCCAGGCATGAATCATATAATCACAGATGTGCAGAATTGGAAGGGACCACGAGGGTCCTCTATTTCCACTCCAGTGCAATGCAAGAATTTATTTTGTCCAGTGTGGGGCTTGAACACAACCACCCCAAGATGAAGAGTCTCATGCTATGACCTACAACTCCCATCAGCTCCAGTCAGGATGTCCAATGGTCAGGGATGATAGGCGTTGTAGTCCACAGATGCTGTCCGTGTCAGAGACCACCTATAAACATAGCTGTCAACTTACAGATTTGAAAACAAGGGACCAGCAGCCTCGAAAATAAGGGATCAGCAGCCAAAATAAGGGTTCAACAATTACTTTGATAAAATAGATATTTTGTTGTGTGCAAATGGCTTTAGAGACCTATTAGGTCCATAAATTACCATATAGCATATATTCAACACACAAAAACAGCAACAATTTGTTGTTGACAAAGGACAACTGGACATAGAAAGGGCCCCATTACCTTCAGTAGCTTATTTAAGGGACATCATCAATAAGGGACAGCAGTGGGACATGGCGCTAGGATAAGGGACTGTCCCGCCAAATAAGGGACGCTTGACAGCTATCTGGGGAAGGGTGCATAAAGCATAGGAGTTAGGAACAGTGGGGCAGTACGTTTAGGACCCCCATGCACACGTGCACATGCACGCGCGCACACCCGCATACACAGCACAACTGTATTAGGTTTCCCTTTAACCTCTCCCCCACCCCTGCCACAACTATTTCATTATCTCTCTAAAGCAGCCAGTGTGATTTTTTTTTTTATTAAAGCAAATACCCTTGACATTTTCATAATCAAGCGACTACATGACAACTCATTTCCCCCCCTAAAGACTATTAAAGTTAGACAACTTTTACATGTCTGGACCTTAATTGAAGGTCAATGGAGCTTATTAAAAGAGCTGAGTCACTGTGGGGTGGGAAGGGTCTCCTTTTAAAATGAATAATTATTTCGCTTTTCAAAAAAGGAAAAGGAAAAACCCCACAGATTGATTTCAATGGTCGGTCGCTTGGAAGTCTATTTTCATTCTCAAAGCTGCTGAATCTCAGCCCCTTACAGGGTTTGGGAAATGTCTATTTAGAACTATACAACATTAAGCAGGAGGGAGAAAGCATAGACTCAGATAGCTAGTGCTAGTCTTCAAAGCAGCAGCACCTGCCCCCCACAAGCCACAATCTGCCCCCCTGCTCCCCAAGGCTGCCTCAGGCCATCCATTTCCAACAACCCAGCTGCTCTCTTTTCCGCTAGGCACCTTGCAACTGCAACACTGTTCTGTAACTGGCAGGTAAGGTACCTACCTGTGTTCTTAGCTCCAGGATTATCAGCCAGCCCTCTGTGACCTATTAAGGAAGCCCATTTGGCTGGGAATCTGTACAAAAGGCAAGGAGGGCCCCCACTTCACAGAACACACCAGCATCCCCATCGCAATATGTTGCCCAGAAGCAATTACATATGGAGAAGTACTTTACACAAATTTAATAACATTTTTAGGGCCTTAGCTACAACAGTGTTGCCCCAAACCAGCCATGGTTGCAATTGGATAATGAGATTCCTTGCCAAGCCAAGCACACACCTGCCTCCCCATCTCATCCCATCCTCCCCATCTCTTGTTAATCTTTTATCCTCGCCCATCTTGGCACTATTTTCCTACTTATCTCACTGAAAACAAAGACTGGGCTTGTTATAGTGCCACAGAGGTCACAGACCGTAGCAGGGAAATAATTGAATTAAGAGATGCCTTGTTTCATCCCAATAGTTTTGTACCACACAATTTAGCTGGGGGTTCCCTCTCCCGAAACAAAATGTTGTTCTACTTGTTGTTATAACTCATCTCTTCCATTTCTGTTACAGTTTGCGGTTATAATCATCTGAACCAATTAATGATGCCTACTTTTTAATGGGAATGAGTGGGACTGAGGTTGTTCCAGGCTTTGCTTTATGTGAAACTAGGGGTGGAAGGATCTGTCAGTTTCATTTCTCTCAGTTTATCAGTATTTACGTCTTCAGTTCAGATGTTTTGCAGCTATCTGCAATTTTTTTAAAAAAACAAACAAACATGAATATTCATCAGTACTTTAGTGCAAATTTCTCCTAATAAAAACATTTTACATGAAGTTTTGACTAATGCACATTTTTTACAAGCGGTTTCTACCAGTATAATGCATGTTGTTTGTTACTTTCAGTAACAGATTAATTTTTACGCACATTTTCCTCTAATAGATGCATTTTTGTAAACACTGTTTGACTGACAAACTGCACAGAACAATCTGGATAAGGGCAAATTGTAAGAGATGTGTTTCAGTTTACATATTGTTTTGAAAAGTGCAAATTATTGATAATTTGGCTTCAAAGAATTCTGTAGTTTGGAGAGGCTGCTGAGAGATGTTAGGAGATCCCTATTCCACTCCCAGAGCTGTAATTTTCACAGTGGTTCAACAGTCAATCCCTCATCCCAGGGAACTCTGGGAATTGTAGCTCTGTGAAGGCAGTAGGAAATCAGCCCTGAGTGCTCACTGGAAGGACAGATCGTGAAGCTGAGGCTCCAATACTTTGGCCACCTCATGACAAGAGAAGACTCCCTGGAAAAGACCCTGATGTTGGGAAAGATGGAGGGCACAAGGAGAAGGAGACGACGGAGGATGAGATGGTTGGACAGTGTTGTCAAAGCTACCAGCATGAGTTTGACCAAACTGCGGGAGGCAGTGGAAGACAGGAGTGCCTGGCATGCTCTGGTCCATGGGGTCACGAAGAGTCGGACACGACTAAACGACTAAACAACAACGAAGGCAGTAGGGGACTATTTAAAGTAGAATGATACAGTTTTAGAAGTATACTGCAGCTGAGGCCTTTCTCTTCCCTCTCTACCTGTCATTTCAATTCCCTTATGATTTCTTAATAGAGAAGAGCAAAGCCTCCTGATGTATGAATCATTCAACACACCAATATTCCCTAGATCAGGTAGTCAATAAATAATGATCAGTAAAAAAGTAATGGCATAGACAACTTGGGAGAAATTAAATAGTCCCTGCAAGGAGCACAATGCAAAATGGAACCATCAGCAAGAGCAGATAGCTCAGTCCATAGAGCATGAGACTCAATTTCAGGGTCGTGGGTTTGAGCCCCACGTTGGGCAAAAAGATTCCTGCATTGCAGGGGGTTGGACTAGATGGCACTTGTGGTCCCTTCTAATTCTCTGATTCTGTGAAAACAGCCCTACCTCTGGGATGAGTGACATAGAGCTGTGCATGTAGACCAGCGAAAATGAAGTTAGATGGCTAGCTTTTTCTGCACAACAATAGGGCCAGGCTGTGTTAAAATTCTGTACTCAAGAGGCAAAATAAATTCTGCACCAAGACTAGTTGATGCCTGTGACCTATATAAATTGCACAGTGTAAGCCTATTAGTATAATCCCTCTTCTTTTACACCATTCACCCGTCAATTTATATTCTGCTGGATAAGTTATTCAGAGTCCATCCGTCCGTCCGTCCATCCCCCGCCATTTCTGGGAAAGGACAAGGAGTGATGGAAAGCTCTGATCGCTTTGGCTTCTGACTTCAGCAGGTGCACTGCACAGACACTTGCAACCATATTGGTGGGAGAGATTGATAGTTGCTTTCAAGTCTCCCGCTTAATGGGTAGGTTTAAAAGACACAGAGCAAACCTCCAGATGGAAACCTCAGAAATCCCAGCCTCAGAGTGCTGGCATCTGCTTTTATACACCAACTAGGGGTGTATGGGGTGTCAGGGGAAGCTTAGTACCTCTGGTGGGGAAAATGTTGTGCTTCTTTGGGGATAGTTTGTCCACCTTGGGTCCCCAAACTACACTTAGCTCCTAGAAGCTGTCATCGTGTGACAGTAGCCACTGTTAGAATTCCTGCATCACGATTGCAGTCATGGGATTGTTGTCTTTCACATGACGGTATATGTTTTGACTCCACAGAGTGGGAAGTAACGGAGACAGGATGTTTGTGTTACTGTGTTCCGTGAAGTGGGACTATTGTCCTTTGTTCTTTTTCTCTTTGCTGTCTGATGCTAGAGAGAGAGGGAGCCATGTTGCAGTGTAAATAAATAAAGTAGATTAGCCAAACTGCTGAGTTGCTGAGGTCTGTCACGAAAAGCTGTGAAGACTCTGTGGATCCCTAAGTGTGCCAGTGTCGGCTGGCATCAGTCACTGTGATGTTTGGGCTGAAGAAAGCTTATGAAGCTCCCGAATGATCGACCAAGAGAGAGGGAACATGCCAGTCAGGCATGTGTCTCTGCCAGGGTCAAGTGTAGGCTGAACTCCTGACAGCCACACCATGGGAACAGCTTTGATTGGCCAGCTAAATGAGGGGAGGGTAGCTGATGGGTCTCAAACCCTCAGTAACCCCCCGTATCAAAGACAGACTCTAGCAAATTGAGTGGACAAGACCCATAGTGGGTCCAATGGTCAAGAAGGCGGTTTCTGAATGAGTTATGGGGAGAAATGAGGGACAGATGGGGCTCATCAACTTGGGAAGATAGCCCATTCGGAAGAAGCAAAATTCTGATCCCAAACCTCTGCAAGCCTGAGGCTGAAGAGTGGGCTGTAGCATTCTGTATACAGGAAACAGGGATGGGATGAAAATAATTTTGGCTTCAGTGTGAATTTACCTAATTTGCACCTTCCAAAGCAATGTGTGAACCTAAGTACATCTCTCCTTCAAAGCTGGAATTCCTCCAAATTGAGCAATGCAGTGCTCTTACCAGAAAAATGTACCAAAATGTGCATGAAGTGTGCATAACAATGCAGATATTGGTGAAAATAAATGCATATTACCTAAAATTGCTAGCAGAAATGTGTAGAGCAGGCAAAACTGCCTTCAGAAACAAGTATAATAGAAGTGTGCCCCCTTCCCCCCCAAAAAAACCTGCTGCTACTACAGTTCAGTGACAAACTGAACTTTAAGGCTGGGAAAATGAGAAACTGCGAGAAAGCAAATTTGACAGATTTGTCCGGCCGTAACAGCCATTTCTGAATGCTCCTTCATGTTAAAAACAAACAAAAATTTCTCTCAAGTAAGAAGGGGAAGTGGGGGGAGCCCAAGACATTAAGAAGACAAATTCTAGCCCAGCTTGCTCCCTGTTGTCCCAGTTATCGGCTGGCAGAGAGCTTTCGATCTAGGAGGAACATGCCCTCTTTGTCACCCTGCCCAGCAGTCTGATGTGATCAGGGTAGTGCCATATCATTGCTGCATCATTCTGCTGCATGTGCAGTTCAGGCCCAAGATTTTCAGCACATGATGCGTCACTTCAGCTGGGGACTAGGGGGACAAAACCCTCCCAACATTCTGTTTGCTGAGCTAATGTAACTGTGTTTCCAAGCCACCGCAGGCCTTGGAAATGATAATTTAAGCACCTGACGTGTCACAGTGTGTTTGGCTGGAGGCGAGGAGAACCGCATGGGTCGTTTCTTCTTCTTTGCTTTCCCCTCACTGAAGCAGCTCAGTTGCATCACTTCTTACGCCCTATTTCTGCATTCTTTTCCATGTTGGTCCGCACAGGACCTGTCAGGGAGCCGACAAGGAGAGCAGGTCGCTCACAGGTCAGAGGAAAAGAGTGAAACACTTGGCTAACTTACAATTAGTTTCTTTATTAAGGAAAGCAGAACAAAGAACACACAGAGACTTCTAAAGGTTGTTCCTGTCTTAGGGAAGCTGTTGTCTGAACTGGCTTGTAGCTCCCACTTCACTCCCCAGCCATCTGTGTAGGTCCTTCCCTCTGTCTACAGCAAGCCCCAAGGGACCATCTCTGTGTCAGCCAGGCAGAGGGCCTTCTCAGTAGTGGTGCCTGCCCTGTGGAATGCCCTCCCACCATATGTCAAGGAAATAAACAACTCTCTGACTTTTAGAAGACACCTGAAGGCAGCCCTGTTTAGGGAAGTTTTTAATATTTGATGCTTTATCATGTTTTTAATATTCTGTCGCCCAGAGTGGGTGGGGAAACCCAGCCGGATGGGAGGGGTATAAATAAATTACTACTACTACTATAGCCCTTCCCCATCATGTGAGTAGGTGAGTAGGGTTTTACATGCCATTTCCTTGATGGTGGTCAGCTTTCCTCTGCAACAAAAGAAATCTTTCCCCTTTCCATCACCTCAAAAAGGATCAATTGTTGTTGTTACTCCTGTTATAGGGAAAGTACACTTGGCCTGGATAGCTCTGTTGGTTAGAGTGGGGTGCTGATAACACCAAGGTTGCAGGTTCAGTCCCCATATGGGATAGCTACATATTCCTGCATTGCAGGGGATTGGACTCGAGTATCTTTGGGGTCCCTTCCAACTCTACAATTCTATGATTCTATGTTTCAGTCTTTCATTGTGTTATTGTTGTTGTTACCGTATTTTTCGCTCTATAGTATGCACCCGACCATAGGACACACCTAGTTTTAGAGGGGGAGAAAATTCTCTCCCTCTCTGCGCAGCGCCTCTCCTGACTTCAGGTGGCTATCCCTGAAGCCAGGAGAGTCTTGCTCCCCAGGCTTCAGCAAAAGCAACGCGAAGCCTCCGGAGCGCGGTGGGAGTGCTCCCGCTGGGCTTCAGAGGCTTCGTGTTGCTTTCCCTGAAGCCACAGAGCCTGCATTCGCTCCATAAGATGCACACACATTTCCCCTTAATTTTTGGAAGGGAAAAAGTGTGTCTTATAGAGCGAAAAATACGGTATGTGTGTGTGCGTGCGCGATCCATTGTTCAGCATGAGGATGTTGAACCTGCTGAGAACAAGCTGGTACCCATAAGTGCAGGCACTGCGTTTTATGGATGTGAAATTTCTCATTTATCATCCACACTTTGGGTAGCAGACCTCCAGGCCCTGCCTCCTTAGTGGCTTCTCTCTAAAAGATGCACATCTAAATGAAGTGGGATGAAAATTGGGATGCAAATTCTGAGGAACAGGTTTTGTTTGCCCATGAGGATATTGCAATTCCTGCCTTGCTTACCTTGCCAAGTTGTCCATATGCTACCCAGATACCTTCAAGCAACTCTTTCTCCCCCTATAGCCATCTTCATTTTCTCAGTTACAAAGCCAAATCAGGATTCGAGAAGAAAGGGGAAGGCAGGCAAGGGAGGAAATAGTAGCTCCTTTTCAAGGCATGGTGAACAGTTAATTTCTTTCCAGCTCTGTTCCAGCTCAGTTTCGTGGCCCAAATCAAGATTTAGGCTGTAGTTCACACATGAATGTACATCCCTTGATCATTCATTTGCAATTGAAGGTGTAAAACAGAGGTGGGAAACTGTCGCCCTCGAGTTGAGCTCCAGCCCCCATCAGCCCCAGCCAACATGAGCAATGGTCAGGTATGATGGGAGTTGTGGTCCAGACATAGGTTTGCCACTCCTTGTTTAAACTAAGTACATTGAAGAGCTTGAGTTAGATCAGACTGTTAGTCACACACTTAGTCCCCACAGAAACAAATGAGAAACTAAGTGTGACTAAGGCTGCAGTTAGTACCCACTTACTTGGAGTAAGTCTCATTGTGAATGTAGACTGGGACTTGGGAGCAAACACAAAAAAAATAGGACTGGTCTCTGAGTTACTTCCATGTTACATACATATGTACAGTGGTACCTCGGGTTAAGTACTTAATTCGTTCCAGAGGTCCGTACTTAACCTGAAACTGTTCTTAACCTGAAGCACCACTTTAGCTAATGGGGCCTCCTGCTGCTGTCACGCCGCCGGAGCACGATTTCTGTTCTCATCCTGAAGCAAAGTTCTTAACCTGAAGCACTATTTCTGGGTTAGCGGAGTCTGTAACCTGAAGTGTATGTCACCTGAAGCGTATGTAACCCAAGGTACCACTGTACTTTCCTTTACATCAACTTCATTGGATTGGTCATGTTGTCTGGATGCCTGATTGTCATCTTCCAAAGCAAATACTCTATTCCAAACTTTAAAATGGTGAGCATAATGCTGGTGGTCAACAAAAGAGGTTCAAAGACTCTCTCTAGGCAAATCTTAAAAAATGTAGTATAAACACCGACAACTGGGAAACACTGGCCGGTGAGTGCTCCAATTGGAGAACAGCCTTTACCAAAGGTGTCATGGGTTTTGAAGACGCTCAAACTCAAGACGAAAGGGAGAAACACACTAAGAGGAAGGCACGCTTGGCAAAACCATGATCAACTCCCACCTGGAAACCTATGTCCCCACTGTGGAAGGATACGTGGATCCAGAATTGGCCTCCACAATCACTTATGGACTCACTTTTAAAACTGTGTTTATGGAAGGCAATCTTACTTGGCTACAAGTGATTGCCAAAGAAAAAGAAGACTTTCCTTTACACTGACAGTCAGAAAAGGGGCAAAATTGCAGTCCTGTGCATGCTTACTTGGGAACAAGCCCCACTAAACCCAGTGTCCCACTAAACTCAGAATTCATCCTATATTTCCTTTCCCATGCTGTCATTTTATAGCTTTGTTTTTATAGCGCTTTCTACTTCGTGTTTTGCCTGACAATTTCTGTGCAGCACAAAAATGGGAGAAGAGAGCTTTGCTGTGCCAAAACTTTTCCACAACTCAATTTGATCAATAGAGCTGATTAAATATGAAGACAATGGATATGACAGTTAGACCACGGCTATAAGATCCTGCATTTCAATTTCAAACTCTGCTGAGACCCAAATGAAACAGTGGAATGGCATCATATATCAAAGTTAACAAAACTACCATAAAAAGTAAAAAAGTAAAAAGCCACCTGTGCTATATTCCATAACTAAGCTGGTGTGGTCGCGAGAAAGAGAATCGGATGTCATCAGTATACTGGTGGCAACAAACCCCAAACTCTGAATGACCTCTCCCAGCGGTTTCATGTAAACGTCAAATAACATGGGCAACAGAACAGAACCCTGAGGGACTCCACAGGCCAATAGCCAAGGCATCAAACAATACTCCCGCAGTATCACCTTCAGAGTTTGCCCCTCTAGGAAGGAACAGAGTCCATTTAAAGCCTCCAAGTCCCATCCCACAAAGGCAGCCCAGAAGGATACCATGAAAGCCTCTGTAAGGCTAGATTTTGGCTAGATTTTCCACTTTTGCTCTATTGTTTGCATGCAATAGGATTCACTGGGTGAGAATGCATAGCTAAGTTGAGAAGGTGACCTTGTCCTTACCTTCATAGTCCTCATGAACCTTGTTTGCCTACGTTGCTTTTTTCCCCTATCGGCTATGATGATGCACATGTTTTGTTCAGTAGCTTAACTGACATTCATGGAAGCTTGTAAACAAAATCATGACTGTCACCGCAGCCAGATTTAATGGCAGTGTGGGTCAACTGAAGACATAAACACTGAGCCAAGGAAGAAGATGGTTCTGGGTACAGAGACAACATCAAAATACCATGGATGTTTGGGGAAGCCTTTCCTGGTAATTTGCTCCATCGGGTCTAATGTACGACTTTGGAACTGAACAGTGAAATGGGGGATTATTTGGCACAGCCTTATACATAAACTACATTCTGGATCTGTGGGGGATCCAACAACCTCTATGGTGCTAAGAAGATGTGATATTTTGAAGAAGAAGGGGAGAGACTCTTAAATAACGTCCATGAGAATCTCCTGCAAATTATGTAAATGTAGCCCAAAGAGGAAAATATGTCAGCAAGTTGTACTGCTTTTCATTCTACACAAAAGACCAAAGAATTGTAAAACTTTCCTTCTGCATGAAAGTCCTTGTAATTCCCATGGATGCAACTCAGCTTCATTAAACTCATAGTGGGATCTGTATCATTGACCTCAATGGATTACAGCCCACCTAATGAAACTTTACTATTTTTATTATTGTGTAAGAAGAAGCTTAATGGCAATGTGTCTTTTCCACCCACATCAATACACCTGACAATTTCCAAAAAGCAAGGTTGCATATGTAAATCACAATCCTTCAATCTAGTTTATTCAGCCGAGGAGACAGCAACCTGCTGAGGGACCCAGAGTGCTGTGCCGTGGCTTAAAAAACCAATTTAAAGATCCTTTGCAAATGCCTCTCTCTCACCAGGTACTTGGGGAGGGGGAGACACTTTTTTCATCTCTTGGTGCTTGCTGTCCTTAAAACCTCAGGAAAGCTCTCTCTGCCCTGCTTGGGAAAATAAGACAGAGATAGAAAGCTCCTGGATTCCCACACAGCGACTCTTTGACGTTTTAGAACTACAGTGAAGGACTTTCTTTGGGTAGTTAATCAAGTCAGGCAAATTCACATTTCTTGCCTTTCTGGATCTGAGCAGATAAAGAGATTTTGTGTGTGCATGGTTTGTGTGTCTGGTTTTTGTTTAAAGACCCTGGAAGACCTGAACTGGGTCATTTCTCTCTGTCAAAACAGCAGTCCTATATTGGTAGAAGAGGCTTTTCCCTCCTTAGCCTTTGGATATATGGGCAAAAGCAATCTATTTAATCGATGTAGACTCTGGATATTTATTCTACATATGTATATAGTGTTATGTGTTTGGGGGTACCCCTAAATTTCTGGATCCAGTAAATAGAATTTAATCAAACTTCCTGAACCCCTGGATCCAACAGGGGTTAAAATATAAGCTAGGCTAGTTTCCTGAGAGATGAGCCATTAAGAAAACAAAAGGAAGTTGATGAGCTATTAGGAAAACCAAAGAAAGAGGGCTCTGTGCCAGATGGCAAATGGGAGGGGCTCCTCCTCTAGTTCTGACTTGAGAGGCAAAGACAAAGTTTGAAGCAGAGTTTTAGAGTTGCCTGTGATGTGATGTGACCTAGTGGGGAAAGGTTGCAGGTTGTAAAAGGCAGAGCATGGCGTTAGCTTTCCGCTGTGACCCAAGGCTGTAATTATGGGACAAATAAGACCCTTTGAGATGTTAATGCTATGAACCCCTTCTCAGGCTGTATATATCTGCAAATAAACCATATATCATAAAGACACCACAGTCTCCACTGTGCCACATTTACCCACGAACTCCTGAGTAAAGTGCATGGAATCTCACACCGCTCAGAGATTGGGGTGGTATGCAACATTATTTATTTTATTACACTGCTATCCAATCTGGTAAGGTAGCCCACCTACATAGGAGAAGGAAAATCCTGAGTGGAGTGAATGGTGCCTTGTACGCCTCCTTCTGGCAAGTCCTGCAGCCAAGCTGGTGCCAAACATATTGCTTTGCTTGCCTTTGGACCACAACAGTCAGGCCAAGAGGTCTTGTCATCTGGGCAGCCCAAGATCTCCATACACACTGCCCAGGCTCGTGCCCTGGAGTGGTCACTTGGGTGCTGCTAACACAGCAGTTCAACTTCACCCCCAGAGGCACACTCCATTGTCTGTTGAGACGGACAGATGTCAACAAAAACTGAGATCCAGTTTACATGCCCCCCAAGTTATCTGTCACCCAATAACTGAACCAGGATTGTGCACACCATACATTTAAAGCACATTTAAAGAATCCTGGGATTCAGGGTGGTGCGAGGAGCAGCTTACTTTAAAAGCATGGTGTGTACAGGTAACAAGTCCACATCTGCTTTGTTTCTCCAGTACTGATCATTCCTAGGCTACCTGTTGGTGTGTGCGGTGACCATAAGGTCATGTATGTTGTTTAGCAGTGACTTCCACTCAGGAAGGCAGTCTGTAAAGATTGCCATGAGGCCCAGGTGTCCTGGTGGAGATCATTTGCCATGGAAACAAAAACAGTCTCTGTACTAACACCTTGGGGGAACACCAATAGATGTTATATCACGGTGATGAAAGTGGGTATTGTTGTTGTTTAGTCGTTGAGTTGTCTCTGACTCTTCGTGACCCCCTGGACCAGAGCACGCCAGGCACTCCTGTATTCCACTGCCTCCCGCAGTTTGGTCAAACTCATGCTGGTAGCTTCGACAACACTGTCCAACCATCTCATCCTCTGTCGTCCCCTTCTCCTTGTGCCCTCCATCTTTCCCAACATCAGGGTCTTTTCCAGGGTCTTCTCTTCTCATGAGGTGGCCAAAGTATTGGAGCCTCAGCTTCAGGATCTGTCCTTCCAGTGAGCACTCAGGGCTGATTTCCTTCAGAATGGATCGGTTTGATCTTCTTGCAGTCCATGGGACTCTCAAGAGTCTCCTCCAGCACCAGAATTCAAAAGCATCAATTCTTTGGCGATCAGCCTTCTTTATGGTCCAATAATTAATAGGTATTAATTATTTCCTCCCTCCACAAAGCTGTGATTAAGGAAGTGATGGGAGAGAGGTCCCCTCTGTCCATTTCTCTGCTCAAAACACACACTCCCAGCTACTTCCGACCATGGAGAAAAGATATGGGTCAGGTGAAGAGGAAAGGGTTAAGCAGCCACCTCTGCCATTGTGCCACTCAAAGCTCCACAGCTTCTGAGACTGCTTCTGCTTAACAAATAATAATCAGGAGAAAGACAGGTGCCATTGTGTGTCTGAGCTAGTTTGATTGTCACACCAAGGCTCACAGTAAACCAACCAAAAGGATTTCTTCTCTTGCCATGCAATTTAGTAAAAAAAATATTTTTATATATAAAAAAATCTCCAATGCCAAGAATAGCTGCAAAGCAGCTTGAAAGAAACCCTTACTTCTAAAGTAGGTCACCACTTTTCAATGACCTTTACAGGCTGCATAGGAGCAACTCATTCAGTCCTGGGGAGGAAAAAGTAAGGCAGTCCCGGGGGGAAATTTAGATTTTATTTTATTGTGCACACTCTTGTTGAGATTTGTGTATACTTACTGATGCATTTATCAATTTATTTATGCAAGTATTTCTGTAGCACCAAATCACGAAACAAAGGAAGAATCTGTGAGTTGCAGTTAAGCATCAAGGCTATCTATAGACCATGTGGACACTCTAAAGCTATTTTTATTTCATCTCCCTTGAATATTTCTATTGATCTGTGCACTATGACAAGATGACCAGACAGCAGAAGATTTATGAGCTCATACTGGTGCTACAAGCCCAGACTTGTCTTATAATGGATTTTTCCCCCCCTCACACAGAAATGTTCTTGGAATATATTTATGGGACTTGTCCATAATAAATCAAGGAACTGTTGCCTGATTAAATAAATTAACAGAGCAATCCTCTTATGGTGGTGATAGTGAGAATCCATGGTGAAGCTATCACTCCATCCTATGCCCTAGCTCAGGCATAGGCCAACTCAGCCCTCCAGATGTTTGGGGACTACAACTCCCATGATCCCTAGCTAACAGGACCAGTGGTCAGGGATGATGGGAATTATAGTCCCAAAACATCTGGAGGGCTGAGTTTGCCTATGCCTGCCCAAGCTATTCATTTTTCTGTTTCTTTGTTTTTTAAATTCCCCCTGCATTGACACCAATTATGGGGTATTAACCATACCACCTGCAGGGCTAGCACAGTTGTCAAATCTTTGGAGAGGGGCATGTCAAGTGAACAAAGCAAATTTGAATCTTATGTATCCAAACTTGCCCTAATATAACCCTCCCACCTCCCACCAGTGGTCCATCTATATTTCACTATATGTCACAGTGCTGTCAGACAAGGAATGTCCTGGTTGAGGAATGAACTCTTCATTGTCAAGAGTACACTTACAAGTTAGGGAAATGCATATCCACCAATCCTAGGCCCCTCTGCAACTCTTAGGTGTGCAGCAACAGAGAGGCCCTGCCCCTGACCTCAGCTTATGTATCTGTTCTACATGTGCTATGCGCAAGCAGGAGAAGACTGCTTCTATGTGCAACCTGCTTTTGCTCCTCCCTCCCCAAGTCCTGCCTGGTCCTGGGAGACAGTAGAGCAGGATAGGTGGGGGCCAGAGGATAGGTGTGTAAGTCTTTGACTCTACACCTGCCTGACCTATCTCTCCTTCCTCCTGCTGTGCCTGTTCTTCACTCTCCAATCCCACAGCTTCTCCTGCCTCTGACTCTCATCTCCTGGCTGTCCCAATCTTCTCCAGTTCACTGATCCCTTCCTCCAAGGCAGTCTCCAGCCCTCCTCCCAGTGCCAACCACACTCCTCAGTGTCCAACCAGTCCCTAACAAATCCTAGGGCAGAGGTCGGCAAACTAAGGGCTGTGGGCTGTATCTGGCCCGCAGGGGTGGTTTAAGCGGCCCCCAAGCTGTCCCCGAATGCTGTTGCCCAGTCGACAAGTTCCTGCGCGCTGCGCTAAACCAACGCAGCGCAGCTCGTGGACTCACTTCCGCGGCGCTGGCGGGGCTTCCTAGCAGCTGCAGGAAGCTCCTGCAGCCAATAGGGAGCTGCAGATGCCTCCTTCGTGCTGGAAACAGCATCTGCGCATGCACGCACGCATGCATGCAGACGCCTCCTCAGTGCTGGAAATAGCATCTGTGCATGCGCATGTGCACACAGATGCCTCCTCCGCACTGGAAATAGCATCTGCAAATGTGTGTGCATGCGCGAGTGTGTGTGTGATCCAGCCCACAGAGAGATCTCCGGGGGAGTGGACCGGCCCAGGCTCCATGAGCTTTGCCAACCCCTGTCCTAGGGGCTCCTCTGGGGTGTAGATGCCATCTATGGGATGCAGGTGGCGCTGTGGTCTAAACCAATGAGCCTCTTGGGCTTGCTGATCAGAAGGTCAGTGGTTTGAATCCCCATGATGGGGTGAGCTCCCGTTGCTCTGTCCCAGCTCCTGCCAACCTAGCAGTTCAAAAGCATGCCAGTGCAAGTACATAAATAGGTACTGCTGCAGCGGGAAGGTAAACAATGCTTCCATGCACTCTGGTTTACGTCACAGTGTTCCATTGTGCCTGAAATGGTTTAGTCATGCTGGCCTCATGACCCAGAAAGCTGTCTGTGGACAAACACCGGCTCCCTTGGCCTGAAAGTGAGAACTGTCCAGGGGTCCTTTACCTTTACCTTTTAGATGCCATCTCATTGGTGGAGCTGTTCTCTTCCAGCAGAATGGCACTCATGCCACTTTCTACAGCCTCTCAGGATTGCATCCTAAGTTGATTCATCATGCAGATTTCAAATGATTAATAAGCTGGAGATGCACATGGATCTAAATATATATTCTCATTCACTCATTCAGAATGGTCCCATGATTCTAGCCATGAGGTGTAGTCATTTTACCTGTGTGTGTGCACATTTTGCCAGAGTGGTGGAAGACAATTCATTAAAATCTCAACTGCCAAACGAAATAATTGAGAAAGAGAAAATGCCTAGGAAGACCAAACCCAGCTAATTCATCTAAAAATAAATCCGTGATGGATCAATGGAAATTAATTATGGGATGCACAGAAGAATCTTCCCCTTGTACAAGCCGTCTTCAAAAGAAGGAACTGTTGTTGTTTCTGATTGTATGCCTGCAGACCTAAAAGATAGTCTCACCCCTTATATGCCCAACAAATCACTGCACTCTGCAGGAGAAGGCGTCCCGCAGATAGCATCTCACCAGGAGGTCCATTCCATATGATGGAGAAATCAGGGAAGGAATTCAGCACTGCACTTCAGTTAGTAAGGCTTGAAGATGTGGACAATGTGCTTGGATCGGTCAGAACAGCCACTTGTGCACTGCACCCTTGCCCTTCTTGGCTGATAAGAACTGCCAGCTAGGCCAGGGAGGTGATTAATGCCTCCCTGCGAGAGGAAGTGGTTTCTGCCTGCGTGAAGAAGGCAGTGCTAAAACCATTCCTCAGCAAACCCTCCCTGGATTTGAAAACTCTAAGTCAGGGTTTCTCAAACTTGGATCTCCAGTTGTTTTTGGACTACACTTCCCATCATCCCTGACCACTGGTCCTACTAGCTAGGGATGATGGAAGTTGTAGTCCAAAAACAGCTAGAGACCCAAGTTTGGGAAACCCTGCTCTAAGTAATTACCAGTCAGTTGCCAATTTCCCCTTCCTGGGCGAGGTTCTTAAGTGGGTGGTTATGGATGAGATCCAGGTGCTCTTGGAGGAAACTGATTTTCTAGATTCATTTGTTTGCCCTGTATGGTGAGCTCTGTCAGGAGAGAGACAGGAGAAATGTGTCCTTGTTAATTCTCCTCAACCTCTCTGCTGCTTTCGATACCATTGAACATGGTATCCTTCTGGAGTGACTGTCCAAGTTAGGGGTGTGTGGCACCACTTTTGTACTGCTCCACAATCCCATCAGATATGTGTAAAACAGGCATCCCCAAACTCGACCCTCCAGCTGTTTTGGGACTACAACTCCCCATCAGCCCTAGCTAACAGGACCAGTGGTCAGGGATGATGGGAACTGTAGTCCCAAAACAGCTGGAGGGCTGAGTTTGAAGGTGCCTGGTCTATAAGCACCCACCTGCTGGCATCCCCTCCAACAGTACGGTGAAAGTTAGAATTTATGTAAGACAACCTCTGTGGTGTTAAGATCTGAAACTGCTTTTATGTATGTTTTTATTGTTAAATCACTTCAGGATGTTTCATGGAAAGTGATTTAGAAATGAAATGAAATGTAAATGCAGAAGGGTATATTTGAACTTTCATCCCTATGTACAAATTGAACATGGCATTATCAGTTTCCAGTATTTTGATTCAAAACTTTGCTGGGCCTCTTGCTTGCATATTCCATCCATCTACCAACCTGTGAATCACATTAATAGGCTGTGGATTCACATCACAATACAATATAAGCAGCAATTTAAGTTGGATTACTTGATATGTCTACGTTAGATACTACCAAGGTTCAGACACATAACTGGGCCATGATTCAATTTGCATAGAGAAGAAGCAGATAACAGGCAAATAATCTTCCCCTGAACCACACACCTGATGGGCAATGCGAAACTATGCTATCTTCAGAGGCGTCCAACACAGTGCTGTGTTGAATGGTTCAGTCTGCCATGTTGATTCAAGATGAAGTCCAATTGTTTCCAAACAGAGATTAAAACCCGCTCCTCCATTTCAGGAACTGCCATGCCAAATAGAGTGCCAATATATCCAAATAAGTGTAGTGGGGAATAGTTTGATATGTCATCTTCATTCAAACTGGCGTCCAGCGGTTTCCAAACACAGACCGAAACCTGCTGCTCCATCTCTGGAACTGTCGTGCCAAATTGGGCAAAAGAGGCGTCCATATTGGTGTAGTTTGGGACATTTTAGTGTACTACCTTGATGCACTACAGCATCTGATTATATCCAAATGTAGATAAAACTGGCCCCTTCCTCTTGAGAACCATCATGCCAAGTTGGGTGGTGATATCTCAGGGGTTTGTCCAAATGGATGGAGAACAGATGGACCAACAGACAAACCGCTTTCCAAAATATATGTAGTAGATTGAGCCAGTGACCCTACTAACATCATTCCTTGCTTTGAAGCTGCAGCAGCAGCATATGCCTCAGCCAACCCAACCCAAGGCATTGTTATCCATTTGTATAGCTCGTGTCTGGGAGCAGACAGTTTCTAGAAGTGGAAGGAGCCTTGCTGTTTAATTCTCAAGGCAGAGACAAACAGCAGGGGGACACTTCTTGCATCGCTTCATCTGTTATTATTTCAGCTTCCTGTCTCTAAGGTTTCTAATATGTGAGTGGGGGCAGGGGCGGCAGGCAAACAGAACTTAAAAGCCATTCTGAAATCAGACCTGGAAAGAGCGGTGATGTTGCCCACATTGTGATCCCAGACATAAGGGTAAAGCAAAGCAAAATAGAAAATCAAGACTGCATGTGCAATTTTAAAAAAAGATAATCACATTCCCTCCAACATTTCTCTGATGAAAATAGGGATGTCCTATTCCATAATGATAACTATAATAGTTTTATTATTTATACCTCACCCACATAGCTGTCAACTTTTCCCTTTTCTTGTGAGGAATCCTATTCGGAATACAGTGGTACCTCGGGTTACATACGCTTCAGGTTACAGACTCTGCTAACCCAGAAATAGTACCTCGGGTTAAGAACTTTGCTTCAGGATGAGAACAGAAATCGTGCGCCGGCGGCGCGGCGGCAGCAGGAGGCCCCATTAGCTAAAGTGGTGCTTCAGGTTAAGAACAGTTTCAGGTTAAGAACGGACCTCCAGAATGAATTAAGTACTTAACCTGAGGTACCACTGTAAGGGAATTTCCCTTTAAAAAAGGGAAATGTTGACAGCTATGCTCACCTATCTGATTGGGTTGCCCCAGCCAATCTGGTTGGCTTCCAACATACATAAAAACATAACAAAACATTAACATGAAAAAAACTTCCCTATACAGAAGTCTTCTAAAGGTTGTGCAATTACTTATCTCCTTGGCCATTGGGTCACGATAACTCCCTACCCTCCAACATTTCTCCCATGAAAATAGGGATGCCCTAAGGAAAAGCGGGACATTCCAGAATCAAATCAGAAACCGGGACGGCTTCTGTAAATCCAGGAGTGTCCCTGGAAAATAGGGACACTTGGGAAGGTCTGTAATCATTATCATCATAAAAAGCAAGAAAACCAGACAAAGGAACAAACCATTTTCCAAAATACATAATAGTTATTGGTTAGTCGAGAGATGGGGAACCTGTGACTCACCAGATGTTGCTGGAGTCCAGTTCGCATCATCTCTGAATGTTGGCCAAACTACCTGAGGGTGTTGGAAGTTGGAGACCAACACCACTTGGAAGGCCCCAGGTTCCCTAACCCTGGGCTAGAGCTTGTTTAATTAGGGAACCAGTGGACTACTAATCTATTTGAAATGATCTTGAGATTGTGTCGAAAGAGAAATATTCAAGTAAACCGCATTCAAACCTATGCACTTGTAAAAGGGACAGAACATACGAATCATACTTATTATAAAGGGATGCTCTGATTTGTTTCAATGTTTATCTCTTCATTTCTGCATTTGCTTAGCTCTCTCACTGAAATCAATGGGATGTCAGTGTATCATTTGAGCTGGATCGTGCCCACGGGTCTTTAAAAACGCCTCTCTCCAATTAAAACATCAAAAGCAATTCCTTTTTTGTGTGTGGCTTTCTGAAACAAGAGTACCAATCCTGAAGACATTTTGTGCAAATTTGAAATTCATTTCCACTTCAGGTAATATTGAAAAGTAGTGGGGGCACAGCTTTTTCTCCTAAAAATTATAGGCTGCCTATATCAGCTTGAAAGGAGGCTCCACCATCTTGCACCTGCCACTGGCAATTCATGAGGTTGAGTAGGTGCAGCAGAAATTGAAAAATGGTGCCAAGCTACACTTTGCACTGGAGATCTGTGCTCAGATTCCCCATTTTAAAGAAGCAAAGCAAGCAAACTTAAAAGCAGTTCCAAGGAGGAACAAATTGGATCAGGGCAGCACCACTGAGGGAGGAGAATGCTTTACTATTTTGACCTCACTATTTTTGCAATGCCAATCCTGCCCTCTGCCCTCCTCTCCCCAGTCCTCACTGCCGATGAGAGAGCAGGGACGGGACTTGGAGGAGATGGGGCCTAGACGTTGACCAAGGCCTCTTCATTCCTGACCCAAAAAACTACTGTATTTACTTGAATGCCATGCACATCGAATCTAATGTGCTCCCTTACTTCGCAACATAATTTGGCCAAAAAAGGGGTGTGCATTAGATTCGAGTAAATATGGTATTAGGGACATGGGTGGTGCTGTGGGTTAAACCACAGAGCCTAGGACTTGCCGATCAGAAGGTCGGCGGTTTGAATCCCCGCGACGGGGTGAGCTCCCGTTGCTCAGTCCCTGCTCCTGCCAACCTAGCAGTTCAAAAGCAAGTCAAAGTGCAAGCAGATAAATACCGTATTTTTCGCTCAATAACACGCACCCGACCATAACACGCACATAGTTTTTAGAGGAGGAAAATCCGTAGGCATGCCACCCATAGGCATTTCCTCCATAACACGCACAGACATTTCCCCTTACTTTCTAGGAGGAAAAAAGTGAGTGTTATGGTGCAAAAAATATGGTAGGTACCGCTCCGGTGGGAAGGTAAACGGCATTTCCATGCACTGCTCTGGTTCGCCAGAAGCGGCTTAGTCATGCTGGGCACATGACCCGGAAGCTGTACGCCGGCTCCCTCAGCCAATAAAGCGAGATTTGCGCCACAACCCCAGAGTCGGCCACGACTGGACCTAATGGTCGGGGGTCCCTTTACCTTTACCTTTAAATACAGTATTATTTTCACCCTGCTTTTCTGCATGTGGCCATACAAAGCAGCTTACGGTATTAAAACAATAAAGCATTAAGGCATAAATAATCATGCCTTCCTCCTCTCCAAATGGAGCTGACAGCAAGTTGGAGGTGGGGTGGAATCAAGCAGTTGGGGGGAATGGTGTGAAGAGGAAAGGCTTAACCAATCCTCTGGCTGCCACCGCTGGTGCAGTCCAATTTCAGGTGCTTGCAGATGCTTTTAAAAATATATTGGGAGATCCAGTTGTGGGTCTACAGAGGGCTGTCCATGCCTCCTCTTTCTGCTACTGAGCCTTGATCTTCTCTCTGTGCTAGCAGCAGGGATTTTTAACATACTCAAACAGGTTGTTTTATGTCTGCTGGTTTATTTTATTTTTAATTTGCCCAGGTCCTCATGGGGCAGGTATTCAATACGAAGCACTAGAGGAAGGGGAAAGAACAAATTGAAAGAGTTGAACTGTACAGAACCCCTTGCTGACTTAATAGATTATCTGCTAGTAAAATAAAGCACACAGCACTTATGAGTCTCCAATCCATTTATACTCACATAGGAAAACTCACAGTTTTAATGAAACAAGAGGCATTGCTCCATTGGCTTCAGCTAAAACAATACATTTTTGGGTGTGTGCCAGTTTATTCAGTGCATTTTGTGAACCATGCGCATTGGACCATGGATCAAAAGAACATTTTGCTTTTAGATAGAAGAAATCTCCAATGCTCTTTGTATCTTGCCCATTGTGAACTTTTGACATTTGCTTCCAATCCTGAATACAGTGGTACCTCGGGTTACAGACCCTTCAGGTTACAGATGCTTCAGGTTACAGACTCCACTAACCCAAAAATAGTACCTCGGGTTAAGAACTTTGCTTCAGGATGAGAACAGAAATCGCGTGGCGGCAGTGGGAGGCCCCATTAGCTAAAGTGGTACCTCAGGGTAAGAACAGTTTCAGGTTAAGAACGGACATCCATAACGAATTAAGTTCTTAACCCGAGGTACCACTGTACCAGACCCTCCAAGTGTCCCTTTTTTCCACAGACAGTCCCGGATTTACAGAAGCTGTCCCAGTTTCTAATTTGATCCTGGAATGTCCCGATTTTCCTTTGGATGCCCCTATTTTCATCAGAGAAATGTTGGAAGATATGGTAGGATTTCCCTATTTTCATCAGGGGGTATGGAGTTATGCGACCCACAAGCCAAGGAGATAAGTAACTATACAAACTTTAGAAGACATCTGAAGGCAGCCCTTCAGATAGGGAAGTTTTTTAATGTTAAATGTTTTGTTATGTTTTGATATATGTTGAAAGTCACTCTAGTGTGGCTGGGGCAACCCAGTGAGATGGACATGGTATAAATAATGTTGTTGTTGTTGTTGTTGTTGAATAGGACATCCCTATTTACATTGGCGTAATGTTGGAGGGCATGGAATATAAATGTTAGAACTGGACCCTATAGAAAACCAAACCTTCTGGCTGAGCAACAGCCAAAAGACCTCCCTGCATTGCTTTTGGGGAAATGCTGCCATAAACGTATGATCCAAGTCTTTTTTAATGACTATTTTTTAAAGTACAAATGGGGAACCTGCCGTCTTCTAGATAGTGCTGAGAAAGAAACTCTCATCAACTCCAGCCATCATGGCCAATGGCCATAGATCTGAGTCTGCCAACACCTTGAGGGCCAGAGGTCCCCCAATCCTGTTATAAGCTACAATCCAACAGATCAGAGTTCACTGCATTGCTTCACGATAATGCAGCCACCACAATTGCTTTTTGCCTTTGGCTCCAAGAAATGTCATGCCAGCAGAGTGAACAGCATGTATTTTGGCATGAGTCTGAACACAAGGCCATGGGGAGGAGCAAGGTGACTGGGTCAACATATGGGAGGGCCAAGATGGTGGAAATGAGCAACCCATGAGGTCTTTTGTGGACTAATTGAAAGTATTCTAGTCAAATGAAATCACTGGCAGGATTTGAGATATGAGCAGCAGGGGGGTGGAAATGATACAATAATTGCATTAGAGAGTGTTTTTTTAATCACAGATAAGAATTTGATATACAATGCAGTAAAATAAAAACACTGTGGAGGTGTGAGTGGGAAGCCAGCCTATGAAACAAAGATGTTATATCATTATTTGATTTGAAGTTAATTTGTGAAATTCTGAAAATCTTACCAAAAATGTATATTAATAAATGAGCTAGTCATGTGACCAACATTATCCTGTCCTAGCAAGAATTAAAAGAAAAAGGCTCTTCTGTGACTTGTAGAGACCCTTTCAAGCTACTTGTGGCTACTACTAGTAGTTTCTTATGTAATTCCTCAATTTAAAATAAGAGGCAGTTGTAGGTGGCTTAACAAATCATTTATTTTGGAACGAGAGAGGAATTTGACATTTTTATGTATAAACCTCAGTCAACAATTTACTTTTTTTGTGGTGGCAGGGATTTTTGAGAAGACTTTCTTATTTACAAAAAGTGTTAAGTTTTCTCCCATTAAATGTCGAATCTGTTAAAAGGTGCAGGCCACTTGCTTCACATCACGCTCGTTGTTTGCCGCTGGTGCATCCATTTCAGAAGCCCCGCCCCCCCCTCTGCCCACCAAAAGGAAGAAGAGAATTTGCTGTTGTGGATTCTAGTGAAAAGGCACTCTGAAAAGACAGATTTACTTGGGGGACATGGATCCCTTTCATCCTAATTTTCCGAGCACAAAGAACAAAATGAGCAACAGTAAGGAAAATGGCTGCCAGAATGAGATTCCTCTTCCGCTCCAAAAGCCTTGTTCTCAATACAATGCCTTTCAAACCTTCAAAGACTGCCCCTTTCTTTCAGAGGAGGGATGAAAGGCATAAAGCAAAGCACTGCAGCATAGTCTGCAAGGGATCAGATAAAATTCAGGGGAGACTTCACAAATGGTGCAATATATATATATATATATATATATATATATATCCTCAAAAGACTTTGGGTAATGAGTGGCTAGAGGGTGCTAGGTCATGCATCTTTAAGATGGCTGCTAATTTTGTTCCTGCTTGCATCACATATGTTTCATATATCCCAGGGGATATTGGGAGCAGGGAGATTCCCCTTGTATTATGAAATTTTTCCAAATGACCATTTCCTCCAGGTCTTTTTAAGGGCCAGTGCTGCAGCCTGAGACAGAGTAGCCCCCTCTATTTCCCCATTGTTACGTTGTGGGTGAACATATCAGAAGACACAGCAATTCTTCAAACAGCTCTTGTTTATTCACAGGCCAGAACAGAACTGAACTGAAGGGTTCAGCCAGCCTGCTTATATAGAGCTCCAGTACAAAGTAACTGTAGCAACTTTCTGTAACTATCCAATCACTGAACGTCACTTTCGATCCCTTATTTGCATATGTGGACCTGAGTGAAAACTATCAACAGTATCCCCCTGCTGGCCCAGGGTGAGAACTTCAGTACATAACACCCATGTGCCACCTTCTCCTTCTCACCCCTGCCCCTTTTTGCGGACAACTGATGTGTAGGTTTGCCAAGGCTTTCCAGGGCCTCCCAAATGAAAATGCCTCACTCTGATGAATGATCCTAGGGAATGTTGGGCCTTTTCAGAAGCCACCTTCATACCACGCATTCAAAGCGCCATGATATCACTTTAAACAGTCACGGTTTCCCCCCAGGAATTATGGGAGCTGTGGTCTGTAAAGTATGCTGGAAGTTATTAGAGTTATAAGACTGGTGACTGGAAGTGGCCACCTAGATCATATAACACCGTTCCTGAAAGACCTACATTGGCTCCCAGTACGTTTCCGAGCACAATTCAAAGTGCTGGTGCTGACCTTTAAAGCCCTAAACAGCCTCGGTCCAGTATATCTGAAGGAGCGTCTCCACCCCCATCATTCAGTCCGGACACTGAGGTCCAGTGTTGAGGGCCTTCTGGCAGTTCCCCCCTGGCGAGAAGTGAGGTTACAGGGAACCAGGCAGAGGGCCTTCTCAGTAGTGGCGCCCTCCCATCAGATGTCAAGGAAATAAACAACTATCAGACTTCTAGAAGACATCTGAAGACAGCCCTGTTTAGGGATGTTTTTAATGTTTGATGTTTTTAATATCCTGTTGGAAGCTGCCCAGAGTGGCTGGGGAGGCCCAGCCAAATGGAAGGGGTATAAGTAATAAATTGTTGTTGTTGTTGTTAGGAAGACCTCCTACCCCCCTCGCAAAACTACAATTCCCAGAGTTTCTTGTGAGGAGGTATTGGTTGTTAAACCACTATAAGTACTGTAGCTCTGGGAGGTGTATGGGGGGACTCTCAGCACCATTAAGAAACTGCAAGTCCAAAAAATTCTTTAGGGGAAGCTATAACTGTTTAAAGTTGTTTCAAAGTGTTTTAAATGTTTGGTGTGAAACACTGAGGTGATAAGACCCCACTTTACTGCAGCAACACATACCATTTGAAGTTCAGGAGCAGCAAACCATTAGATTGTGAAGTTTAACAGCTTACTGTTGTGAAACTCTAAATAGTATTTGTGTCACGGATATTAGATGAAAAAATATATATCCATTTGTATCCTGGAAACCTTATTATCCTTTCTCAAGTATTCTTATTGCAGTACTTGTGCTTTCCTTAATAATTATGTAAGACACTTGCGGTGTAAAGGTCAGGCCACCAGCAGACACCTAAAAATGGTGTCATGATAGAGGATAATCTCCAGGGAACTTTGGAGCATGGAAAGGTAGTGAGTAGCATCAGCTGCAACACCATGGTTACTGGGAGGGAGAGGGGAAGAGGTGAGGTGGTGAGGAGGTCAGCACAAGGTGGGCACAGTGGCAGTTTGGTGGTACAACCCATAGACTGTTTCACCAGCTCAGTCAGAACTAAGCCAAAGTTTAATCACCTTACAGGGCATTAGCTTGGTCACAGTGCATCTGTTTTTCATGCAAAAGGTTCAATCCACAGCGTTTCCAGGTAGGGTGAAAGAACCCTAGGTAAAGGTAAAGGGACCCCAGACCATTAGGTCCAGTCGTGGCAAACTCTGGGGTTGCAATGCTCATCTTGCTTTATTGGCCAAGGGAGCCGGCATACAGCTTCTGGGTCATGTGGCTAGCATTATTAAGCCGCTTCTGGCGAACCAGAGCAGCGCATGGAAACGTCGTTTACCTTCCTGCCAGAGCGGTACCTATTTATCTACTTGCACTTCGATGTGCTTTCAAACTGCTAGGTTGGCAGGAGCAGGGACCGAGCAACAGGAGCTCACCCCGTCACGGGAATCGAACCGCCGACCTTCCGATTGGCAAGCCCTAGGCTCTGTGGTTTAACCCAGAGCACCACCCGCATCCGGGTTTCTTCTGTAGTTCTCCACAAAATATTTTTGTGAGCAGGGATTTTCAGCTCTGAAAAATATGAAAGATTAGGAAAGATAAAGGCTACTTTGTGTTGATGAGATGAGGGTTTGTTTGTCTCAAAGTAGGCATCTTGTAAATGAGACTACTCAGCAAAAACAAGCTCACACCTCTTAGTGAGTGTGTAGACATACTTAAGGTACATAAGAGCTTCATTTATAATTATATTTTGGGAATTATTCCTGTTCTTATGTAGCTGCATTGTTCTACACTTTCTGGATCATATTATAAAGTAGTTGTGTTCCATGTTATAAATCAAACACAAGTATGCCTGCCAGTATTTTGCAGGAGGCATTCAATCGCATACCAGAAATTTATGTTTGCACCATTTAAAGTGGATTAAAGTGCTCTGTTGCACTCAATCCAATTTAGTAAAGCACGGACCTTTTGCAATTAGGAAAGTGATGGTGAAATGCATTAAAAAGTGTGGGGTGATTAATGGGAAGATGCATAGTGGTTATGCAAGCAAATCGGGATGAACGCTCATTGCTGAGTAGCCTCCCCACAAACAAATCTAAATGCATGCTCAACAAAGACTAGACATTGTATACACTCTGCATGAGCTTCGTGCAAGCAAATCAGGATGAATACTCAACAAACAGGTTGCCTGAAGGAGCCCCAGGAAACACTTTGCCACTTGAATCTACAGATGTGATAAAGTAGTCCAACATCACTGCGGAATCAATATTACTGGGAGAGTCTGCCTGCTTGTCAGACTGCACTGCAGTCTTCCTCCTGCCAACAGACCGTTCTTTTTCCTGCTCAGCTTGCTGCATGGATAGGCATGTAGAATAATAGTCAGTGCAGGCAGAAAGTGAACTTACATTTATATGCCACGCAGAGACTGCATCTTTCTCTTGGAGGACTGCCATTGGCCCTAGACTGGTCTATTTTTGTGCCATTGGTTTTGGAGAAAAACTGCTCACATGGTGCAATGAAAGTGCATCTGGATTCCGGATCAATATATGACTCTACACTAGATCAATATAACAGAAAGCTTATTCTGTACCAAGGAGTGCCCTTAAATTCCTGCAATCAAACGAGACAAAACCAAATCACACGGTGAGATTGAAAGAATACTATTTAGTGTGACATGGCGCATTTCAGTCTCCAGAACACTTCACATAAATTAGTAACCCTTGCAATGACCCTGTCAGGTCAGTGCTATATCCCCACTTTGCAGTTAAATAATAGAATCATAGAGTTGGAAGGAACCCTGATGATCATCTAGTCCAACCCCCTGCAATGCAGGAATATGTAGCTGTCCCATATGGGGATTGAACCTGCAACCTTGGCATTATCAGCAAAGATCACACACGCAATCTGATGTAATACAAAATGTCACAATAATTTTAAAATAAACAACTCATATTAAATACAGCAGTATTCTACAATCCATTAGAATATAATAGTTGTTGTTTAGTCGTTTTGTCATGTCCGATTCTTCGTGACCCCTGGACCAGAGCACGCCAGGCACTCCTGTCTTCCACTGCCTCCCACAGTTTGGTCAAACTCATGTTCGTAGCTTCGAGAACACTGTCCCACCATCTCGTCCTCTGTCGTCCCCTTCTCCTTGTGCCCTCCATCTTTCCCAACATCAGGGTCTTTTCCAGGAGTCTTCTCTTCTCGTGAGGTGGCCAAAGTCTTGGAGCCTCAGCTTCAGGATCTGTCCTTCCAGTGAGCACTCATCAGTTACAATAAAGAATTACTAAGCTATCACCAATAAAAATAACGCCAAGTCACAATGCATCAGATACCACAAAACACACAGAACCATGTGAAAGGATCAAACTGAGAAATAAGGACATACAATTTATAAATTTATAAAGAGAACAACTCTTCTCTCTTCCCAGTGGCTTCTCTTTATCTCAAATTCTTGGTTTGGGAAAGGCTCCAAGGTCTGGAGGGTGGAGCAAGGCCGATGGAAGAAGCCATGGTCTGATGGACAACAGAAAGTCTCTCTCCTCTCACATCCCTTCCAAGCCCATGTCTTAACCACTAAGCAGGGCAACCAGCATAATCCCTACCTTTTGCCTAGTCTCCAGTTTCTGTATTAAATGACTGTAATCACAAATTCTTTGTTGCCAGAAGGGCACACACATTTGGAGAGGCTGTACCTGTGGCCTGGTACCTCCGAGAACTCTCCTATGTCAGGAGTTAGAGTTGTGACCTTCTCACACCATATTAGAGACTGTTTGCCCTCCAACGCTGCTGGAACATAGAATTCCAATTCATCTTCTTGATTATGCCTGAAAGAAATACACCCAGCAAGGACCTCACCCACCAAAGACACTTCTGGGGGTACTCAGCTTGAAGTGCCTGATTAGTCACAATGAAGCTAATTGGGGGATGTGCACTTCCAGGTAAGCAGTGCTTATTTTGCTGATCAAGATTAGAATGCTGATTACGCTCGGCAGATCAAACCTTGATAGAAATAACACTGAATGGAGGGTGGGAAAGTGTATCATCTTTGTATTACTATTTCTATTAAAGCCTTCATAAATTTGTGTTTTGCTTAACATCGCTACAAATAACCCATGGCACTGCAGAGGTTCCTCTAGGAAAGGAAAAAATAACCTGTAATGTCTCCTAGAATTATAGAATTTTAGAGTTGGAAGGGATCCTGGGGATCATCTAGTCCAACCCCCAGCAATGCGGGAATCTTTTGCCCAATGTGGGGCTCAAATCCATTACCCTGAGATTCAGTGTCTCATGCTACAGCAACTGAACTATCCCAGTTTGGTATAGGATCTGTCCAGAGGCAAGGGAATGATAATGAATTGCAAATGAAGGGGAAAACTAATTCTGGCTTGTGTTCTACTCATTTGGTACTAAAAATGTGAAACTAATTTGACCGGAGTGGATCTCTGGGCATGTGGTGCAGAGACAAGAGGACTTGAATGTATAGCATTCGCTTGGCAAGCATTGTAGCAGAACTAGGAAAGAGCACAGAACAGACAAGAGCAGGGTGATACATTATTTCAACATCCTTCCCTGTGATTGGAGAGTCCTGCTAAAATAATTCATTCTGATTAGAATCTAGACCTGTCAGTTACAAAATAACTCTCCCTCCTCTACCCGCCGTGGTGTGCTTTTTTATATGATAAATTATGGGGACAAATGTTTGTATTTTGCACACACACACACACACACACCCCGACTGCAGTGTTTTTATAGATCCAAATCTCTGAATCGATTTGAAGCATTTTGGAGGTCACTGGTTTAGGGCACTTTGGAAAAACCCAGCTTCACACTGTGCAAGTCCTGGATCTGTCCAAAGCTACCCACTTAATTTTGGGATTTATCCAGTACACACCCCTGTAATTTATGCAACATGACGGAATCAAGTTCTTTCTTGATCTTCATCTTCATCTTCATAATAATCATCATAAATTTTAAATTAGTTTTACATAAAAATTATACATCATAAACATAATATTTGCACACATTAAAAAAGAAAAGGATTCTTTTGAACCTTGAGACCTCTTTCCTTCCCTCCATGGGTTCCAATTCTAAACCACTGTGCTGCTTGGACTTGCTGATCGGAAGGTCGGCGGTTTGAGGGTGAGCTACCATTGTTTGGTCCCAGCTCCTGCCAACCTAGCAGTTCAAAAGCATGCAGTGCAAGTAGATAAATAGGTACCGCTCTAGTGGGAAGGTAAACAGCGTTTCCGTGCGCTGCTCTGGCTTCGCCAGAAGCAGCTTAGTCCTGCTGGCCACATAACCCAGAAAAACTGTCTGCGGAAGTGGACAAATGCCGGCTCCCTCGGCCTGTAAAGCGAGATGAGCGCTGCAACCCCAGAGTTGTTTGCGACTGGACTAAACTGTCAGAGGTCCCTTTACCTTTACCTATCTGTTATATAATCATAGTATCCAAAATCCATGTTACATTACAAGTGTCATTGTATTCCTGCCAATGATTTCAACTGTTTACAGTGATCTCTCAAATTTGTTAGAAAGTCATTCCAGTCTTTTAAAAATACTTGGTCTTCCTGATTTCTGATCTTTCCCATCAGTCTTGCCATTTCTGCATATTCCACCACATGACCCGGAAGCTGTACGCCGGCTCCCTTGGCCAATAAAGTGAGATGAGCGCCGCAACCCCAGAGTCGGTCACAACTGGACCTAATGGTCAGGGGTCCCTTTACCTTTACAGAAGAAAAGCCCATGCTCTTAAAGAGAGGAGCAGATACTGTTTCTGGTTGTATATCCACACCACCCTGAAATGTTTAAATGTTTCTTTGGTTGTCCTTGACTCTTCCCACCACACTTGCCATCCTCTCTTGCCACACCAGAGTGATGCACCACACCCTTTGAGAACCACTGTCATAAGGATTGAGCATGGGACCTTAGATCCACATATTAGGGGAAGAGACGCGGGTGGCGCTGTGGTCTAAACCACTGAGCTTCTTGGGCTTGTGGAGGTCGGCGGATCAAATCCGCTCGACGGGGTGAGCTCCTGTCACTTTGTCCCAGCTTATGCCAACCCAGCAGTTCAAGAGCACATCAGTGCAAGTAGATAAATAGGTACCACTGCAGTAAATGGCGTTTATGTGCTCTCTGGTTTCCATCACGGTGTTCCGTTGTGCCAGAAGTGGTTCAGTCATGCTGACCACATGACCCGGAAAGCTGTCTGTGGACAAATGCTGGCTCCCTCAGCCTAAAAAGTGAGATGAGCGCTGCACCCCATAGTTGCCTTTGACTGGACTTAACCTTTTTAGGGGAAGGACTACACGGTCCTCTCAGCACAGGAATGTTGTCAAGAAGTGAGACCACACGCCAAGTTCTTCTCTTTCCTGCTTTGACCCATAATCTTGCCAGACTGATTTCTTTTCCCTTCGCTAGTGAATTGTGGTAAATGGGTAAGACATCTGGCGTTACATACCATGGGCCTCATTCCCCAAATGAAATTGCTGAGCAATTAAAGCACTGAGACCAATGCTGAATCACCTGGTATTATGATACCAGAGTGTTGCATTTTCACAACCATGTTGCACCTCACTGGCTGCCCCAGATAGGAGCAGGGAAATGTACACTGTGAGGACATCATGAGACAGGCAAAATACCGAGTTACTGGAGAGTAAGTTCCATTGAACTGAGAGGCACTTAATTCTGAGTAAAGAGCATGGGCTTGAGCTGCAAGGCAAAACCCGATATGGACTGTGCCCCAGAGTTTAATGACTCAGCCACTTCACTTCAAGAATGGGATAAATATGTCACGAGGCCATGGTCCTATCAATTTACCACTATTTATTTGTGTAGGGGGCAAAACCAATTCAGCAGTATTATGGTCCAAAAGCATTAGAACTTTTTATAGCTCTTTTCACAAGCGGGATAGCAAAAAGATCTGTGCTTGGTCTATTTCCATCTGTCAATGAAGAGCGGAGTTTCTCCCTCTGACTCTAAATATATAGGCCATGTCTGCTATTGATCCACGTTTCTTTAAGCTGTGGAGATCAAGTCACCTCGGTGTGTGGAATTACTTAGAAAAGCTCAAGGGATCAGGGGATAATTGGAGAAGAAAAATAATTGATGTCATTTCAGTTCTTTCCCCCTTTTCCTGGAGGAAAGTCAAATGATAACTGAAGGACACAGAACTTCTGGATTGATGAGGGAGAGAAAAATATATATCCCTATCTACCTAATATACAATTTAGCATCCTTGTTAGATGGGAGAACGCATAAAGGAAAGGATGAATAGCTTTTGGCTTAATATGCTCTTTGGATCAAAGACAGTTGGCCTAGAAAAGATGTCACTTTTCGAAATAATAAAAATAATACAGAACTGGGATTATTAGCAACACAATTTCAGACACTCGCGTTCAAATGGTGTCAGGGAAGAACTACAGCTATATGCAAAAGGATATCTGCAAAAGAGCGTCTCGTGATAAGCCCTCTCTCTATCCTTTAATGCAGAGGTTGGTGATATGTGGTCCTCCAGATGTTGGACCCTACTACTATCATTCCTCAAAATTAGCCATGCTGGCTTGGCTGTTCCTTTTGACTGTTCTGAGCCTACTGCCAATCAATGTCATTGTTTGGCCTCGAGTTGTGGTATTGTAAGAGTGGGAGAGAAAGGAAACTCTCTGCCTGTTCTCAGTACCTCATGCATACTTTAGAAATCTCTACCATGTCCTCCCTCACTAGCAATCTTTCTTCAGAGTGAAAAAGCTTCAAGGACCCTGTCTCTTCCTTGAAGGAGGGGGCTCTCCAACGGTCCAAACCTTCAATAATTTTGCCTGCTGCTTCTTTTTGTTGCATCTGCATTAAATGTCCTGCCTCCCTTTCAGCCACCCTAAGGAATGTGCTCAGTGTTTCATTTGGGGAAACTCGCCTGCATTGATGCAAATATTTTTGTGTGCATTTTGCATTTGGAACACTGCACAAAGTATTAGTATTTCACATTTGAAATATTGCTGAATGGCGTATTTTGTGTTTTTGTAATTGACTTGCTCGGAAATATTGCTATAGATTTGCCTCTCCCCAAACCATAAAAATTAACAAATGGTAGCATTTTGATTATTTGGGATATGAAGGGAGAAATGTAGAGGAATTCCTGAGCTAAGCCTTTGCAAAATGACCTGGCCAAGCTAGGGCCATTAAGAAACAATAGAGGGTCATTGGCGATGCAAGAGAGCTGTCTTCTCCACTTGTCCTGAGGTGTGAACAGAGACTGGGGGTTGGGAAGGTTGCCAGGGTAACTGGGTGTGAGGTGACAGGAAAAAAGAGTTATTAGCAGGGTGTTCTGGAAAGAAGAAGGAAGAAGAAAGACTGGGATCCTCCTTGGGGAGACTGGGAGAGACGTCTTGGACTCGAGTGCTGCACTGCTGTGGTGGACAATCACCTCTTGAAATGGCCATGCTGTAAGATCTGGACTCCCTCGATGCAGACTGAAGGTGTAAATTGGTGAATAAATCATATTTCTTAAAGCTACAACAGTCTCAGCTGTGTCTCAATTCTCCAAAGGGACACAGACCCTGAGTGAATGCTTGGAACCTTATGGACTTTTGCAACCACTAGGCACCCAACTTTTGTAACAATATGTATTTACACAGCTCTGACTCCAGTTAAAAAAAAAATTAAATATCTCTGCCATTTGGGGGCACCCCTCTGGTTACTTGTAGCCCAATCCTATACGTCTCTAATCATAAGTAAGTTCCACTGAGTTCAGTGGGACTTAACACCCACTTAACAATATATAGGATTTAGTGATGGAGGAGAAATTTCGTTCAGTTCAGCTTAAATTTAAAGGCAAGCTGCTGAACTTGCACTTTCTGAAATAATATGCAAGCCAAAAAAACCCTGCCAGCCTTTGAAATGAACACTTCTCCAAATTTTGCAGTGTGGTTCTTCAGGCCAGTAATGTGTACAGAAAAGGCACATGACAATGTAAAGTGTGCTTGCATTAGGAGGAGTTGCTTTGTGGAAAGGTGTGTATTAGGCAAAATCACATATTAAAATTGTGTACATTAGGATAAATTCTCACTAAAATGCTGAATTTATATCATGACTTACAACAACAACAAAAGGAAAGTGATATAGAAATGTGGATAAATGAGAAATTGAAAGGAACTGACCTTGAGACAATCACCTCTCCCTAATGACATTGTAGAGATAATATCTCTCATAAAATACATTTGTTTTAAAGGTAATGATGTATTGGCACAAACACTTATTTTATGCCATGAAACTATATAAGAAATGTTTAGAAAACGCAATCTTTTCTTGGAACCGTTATCTTCAAAGGAGAAATAAAGGCTGCCTTTTTTCATTCTTAGGCTTCTTTGCTGTTGAAAACACTGCTACTGAATTATACTAGGTTAGTAAGTGTTAAATACATGCAATACAAAATGCAATATATTCAACTGTGCCAACAATGACTGTCTTAAATCTGTCAGAAGAACTTTTGATTGAAGCTCCTTTTCCAAACTTGACTGTTAAACATTCTGGGTTTTTGCTTCTTTAGACAAGTGCCTGAGGCCAAGCTGAATGTTAATTTTCCCCTGCAGGTTGTATATTGCCAGATTTTGTCACTAAATAGCTTGCCACTGTCTGGGAGAAGAGAGTGAGATGGATGGTGAGGTGAAATACATCAAGTTCGTGAGAGCAGAGTGTTCCTGTGTGAAAGACATCTGGGGGGGAGAAGCCATTTGTTGCCCTAGATTAACAGGGAATCCAGCTCATATCTACTAAGAAGTAAGTCCAACAGTTTGATGGGACTTGCTCCTGAGAGAGAGTGTATAAGATTGCATGAGCCCTTGCTGGGTTATCAGAAGGCTACATTTTGCAAATTGACCCTTGGACATTCCAGGTGATGCATTTCGTTCAATAACTTCAGAAGGTACGCTTTTTATTCTGGCAATATTAAAAAAGAGAGAGATGCTAAAGCCTTAATATGTCATCCAAAAAAGTGGGGGGGGGGAGCAGAGACATCACCTTGCCAACAAAGGTCCGTATAGTTAAAGCTATGGTTTTCCCAGTAGCGATGTATGGAAGTGAGAGCTGGACCATAAAGAAGGCTGATCACTGAAGAATTGATGCTTTTGAATTATGGTGCTGGAGGAGACTCTTGAGAGTCCCATGGACTGTAAGAAGATCAAACCTCTCCATTCTTGAAGAAATCAGCCCTGAGTGCTCACTGGAAGGGCAGATCGTGAAGCTGAGGCTCCAGTACTTTGGCCACCTCATGAGAAGAGAAGACTCCCTGGAAAAGACCCTGATGCTGGGAAAGATGGAGGGCACAAGGAGAAGGGGACGACAGAGGACGAGATGGTGGGACAGTGTTCTCGAAGCTACAAACATGAGTCTAACCAAACTGCGGGAGGCAGTGGAAGACAGGAGTGCCTGGCATGCTCTGGTCCAGGGGGCCACGAAGAATCGGACACGACTAAACGACTAAACAACAACGACAACATGAACTGGGCTCTGCTTTTTAGATTTTGTTATTCCACCTCCCACACCAATAGGAACTACCACTTCTTAAAAGGAGAGCCCATTTTAAAACATTATCTATTCTGGTAAAAGGCCAGAACCTCAAAAATACAGTGGTACCTCTGGTTAAGAACTTAATTCGTTCCAGAGGTTCATTCTTAACCTGAAACTGTTCTTAACCTGAGATACCACTTTAGCTAATGGGGCCTCCTGCTGCTGCCGCGCCGCCAGAGCACAGTTTCAGTTCTCATCCTGAAGCAAAGTTCTTAACCCGAGGTACTATTTCTGGGTTAGCAGAGTCTGTAACCTGAATCATCTGCAACCCGAGGTACCATTGTAAAATAAAAAAATCAAGAAAATGAACAATTGTACCCTTTATTCTACACTTCAGTAATCAACATTTGTCCTTATTGATTAGCCAGCAGGAATATTACTTGATTAATCCACTGATTAAAATCCAGTTCTGTGGTTCAGAAAGTTACTATTTTTATCTGCACAAAAGAATACTCATAAAAGGTAATTCAGCAAGCTATTTTCTTTCCTTCCCAAATAAAAAGAAGTGAAAAATATCACATTATCCTTATTCCAAACATTTCTTACCTATACCCACCTTAAGTGTCTCAGTATGGAGTCAGGAAAATATATAAAATTCCTGTGGATTATTCCCACCCCCCTTTTTTTGTAACCAGCCAGAACTCATGAAAGCAAAAATGCAGCTCTACTGTTGATCTTTCAGATATTCTCTTTTTTGCTTGTGGTTGTTGGCTATGACTCATTGCAGATGTACTTTGCTTTGGGAATATAAACATAGGCATCCCATAACTTTGCAGAGAGAAGCTTCTTTGCCCTGTAAACACATCCCTGCTGTTTTTGCAGAATACTATTTTCTTTCTCTACATTTTCCACCACAGAGAGTTGAACATCTGCCGCACAGGCTTCCTTTTGTAGTGTGCAGAGCAGAGCTCTCTCGCCATCACAAACAGAAGGCAATCATTCTTCATCTTTCCAACTGCTCAGTGATGGAATTAGGGAGTGCATCAGCTCTTGCTTAGCTGAACAGCACTGCCTTTCCTTCTTTGGAGATGAAGTTTTGGAGGCGTTTCTGAGTTGTTGCACCCCTCGTCATTATGCAGAGTTCAGCTGCTGAAAATCAGGCATTTCTCTCCTCTTTCAGGTCACACGATGAACCGTTTCAAATCCTTTCCCTGGTTTCCTGCCCGCTTGGCATCTGATTCCAACATAAAGTCCATATCCTTAAAGGCTATAATAACAGTCTCTACAAGTGTCCCTATTGTCCAGGGACAGTCTCGGATTGACAGAAGCCATCCCGGTTTCTAATTTGATCCTGGAATGTCCTGCTTTTCCTTAGGACATCCCTATTTTCATCGGAGAAATGTTGGAGGGTATGGAGTGTCAGAGTATATTGATTTATTGCTCAGATAAGCGTGAGGTCCGGCACGCTTCCCATCACAGTCCTCTGCATTCCAAAAGACCGACACATCTCAGCATAGCAGAGTTTCGACAGCGGCAAGAGGAAACTGCAAACTACCATCCTCAGTTCTCGCTATCTGGACGCCTAGGTAGATCTTTACTGCACCCAGGTTCTTGAGCTGAAACCGTTTCCCAAGCTCTTTGGCAAACTTCTGCACCTGTTTGTCTGCCTTTCCAACATGGATGATGTCATCAACGTAAAACAACACCAGTTCCTGTGAGTCTCCTGATCCTCTAAGGAACAGGCAACTGTCAGCAAGACTCTTCCTGAAACCTAGCTTCTCCAAAGCTTCATTCAGGCACAAGTTCCAATTCCTGGCCGACTGCTTCAGGCCGTAAATTGACTTGTGAAGTTTCCACACAGTACCTCGCTCATTGCCCTCAAACCCTGGAGGAGGAAGCATGTACAGATCCTCCTGGAGGTCTGAGTTCAAGTAAGCAACATCCACATCAAAGTGATGCACCAGCAAACCTCTTTGTGCAGCGATGGCCAAGACCAAGCGTAGAGACTCACTCCTACACGTGGGCGCATAAATCTCCGTATAATGCAACCCCCTGCGCTGCGTGAATCCTCTCGCCACTAATCTGGCCTTATACTGCGGTTCTCCTGTCGCTGTGGGCTTAAGACGGTAAACCCAGCGGCTACCCACTGCCTTTTCACCCACCGGCAACTTCGTGAGGGAGAACACACCTAGAGACTCCATTGAGTTCATCTCCTTCTGCATCGCCTCATGCCATTTCCTGGCTTCTTCCTGAGGCAGTTTCTGAACATCCTCAAAACTCTCGGGTTCACACTGTGCCATTCCGACCCACACACTAGTGACGGCAAACCTTTCAGGAGGTTTCCCTTGGTCGTCCGTGTTGAACGGCGCAGCACTACTTCAGGAACCCCTCTGACCCACTAGGGCCAGCCAGAACGTCCTTGGCATCAGAGAGCTCCCCTCTGACTTACTGCGCCTTCTGGACTTCTCAGCCGAACCTGTGGGAAGATGGAGCACTGCGTTGCTCACTCTTCACAGCCTTGGGAGAAGTTCTCCCCTCTGCCTGCACTGGGCCTGGACTCTGAGCCTCAGTAGCAGGTTCAACCTCTTCCTCTCCTTCATCAGCAGAGTCTAGCAGACTCTCTGACAGGATGTCAGGGTTCCCATGTATCCTTGCCCAGCCACTCTGCTCACAGAATTCAGCACTGTTGCTGAGCAGAATCCTGGACTGATTCCCTGACGGATACGCAAACCTCCACCCCTTGGTCCCTGGCTCATACCCACAAAAATCATCTTCTGGGACCTGGGTTCACCTTTCTTGCGTTTGGCCTTTGGTATGAGGACCCAAGCCTCACAGCCAAAAACGCGGAAGTAGTGCACTTTCGGTTTCTTGCCATGGAGCAAGAAATACGGTGTGTCACCTACCACTGAATTGAACGACCTGTTCAGAATAAAGTTGGCCGTTCGCCAAGCCTCCCCAAAAACGCTGTGGGAGCCCGGCATCAAACAAAAGAGCTGCGGACATCTCCCCTAGAGTCCTATTCCTGCGTTCCGCGATCCCATTCTGTTGGGGACTGTGTGGAGAAGTCAACCTGTGTTGAATCCCCTTTTGCGGAAGAAACTTTGCAGTGCAGACCCGGTGAACTCCCCACCGCGATCGCTCTGAAAGTTTTGCACCCGTGTGGAAAACTGCAGTTCCACAGCCGCAATCCAGTCTTTGATTAGCGGCGCAGCTTCATCTTTGCGTCGAAGCAAGAAGGACCAAGAGTTCTGCGTATGGTCATCAATCAGAACCAGCGCAAATTTGGCTCCGCCCATACTGCTCACAGAAAACGGACCTGACAAATCTGCATGAATTAACTGAAAAGCCCTAGTGGTCACCCTCTCAGACCTAGGGTATGTGCACGTTTTCACCTTTGCGGACTTGCACGCTCTGCAATCTAGAAACTTAGCACATGATTTCATTTTGCACCCTTGCGTATACTCTGGGATCCTTTTCACTGACCCCCACGACACGTGTGCCATGCGTCTGTGCCAGAGATGTGGCACACGCATCATGAACTGGAACATTGGCACACTGCGCTTGAGCCTCCTCCGTGTCATCCGTGTCATCTGGACCTGCAAAAGAAGCATTTATCACAAACAACCTGTCTTTACATTCAACACTGACTAGGTGCTGTCCATTCTTGGAAATAGAACACTTATTGTTCTCAAAACACACTCTGTAGTTCTCAGCAAGAAGTGCACTGACAGACAGCAACGCGCAGGACAGTCCTGGAACAACAAAAGCCTGGATTGAATCCTGCAAGAAAGAACAAAACAGTGAGCCAGTCTGCGTGAGTGGGTGTCGAGTCCCATCTGCTAAACAGACAGTCTTCCCAGATTTTACAGAGGTGCAGTTCTCCAGGAATCCAGCAGATGGCACTAGGTGATGAGAGGCTCCTGACTGTCGATCACAAAAGCCAGCACAGCATCCTGTTGACAACTCTTGACTACAGCCATAGAGGCAGCCAAATGTTTACGTTCAGTGTCTCTGCCAGCTGCCTTCGGCTTGCCTTTCCCACGCTTTGAAGAAGAGCTCTTTATCTGGTTGCTACGGGAGACGGCCTTCGGCTGTTCCTCCACTGGACATTCTCTCACCAGATGGGAGGGGAGCCACAGCGATAACAGCGGCGACGCGTAGCAACAGCTCTCACAGCTCCTTCTTCAGCCATTCCTTTGTTCCCAGCACCCCCACCTTTGGGTGCACAGCCTGGGCCTGCACGCTCCCCAGCACTCTGGTTGTAGGCCTCAACATCACACGGCCCCTCGGAGACAAAGCAGCTACTCCCAGCTGTAACTTCAGGAACATGGCCAGCAGCCCCCTTCCTGCCTGCTCTCGGCTTTCTCCCGGCCCTGGGCTCCTGCTGAGTTCTCACACAGACTCCTCAGCACCTGCCAGGCGGCCTGAGCCGACTCAACGCCCTCCAGGTGGGGCAACAGCATAGCGTCCACGCTTGCTCTCAACATGCAGAGCTCCCTTTGCATTCTCTGCTCTCTATCTTCCAGCAAAGCAGCCTCCCAGTTCTGCTCCTCCTTCTTCAGCAGCAACTGGCATGGGTGGGGCCGGCTCCTTCTGGGCTATATCCCAGAACCCTGTGGCCAAAAACCACCCCCTGACTCTTCTAACCCAGATATCCCAGGACTGGGTTGTGAGCTTTTCAAACGGGACATCATAAAAGTCCTGGAGCTCAGCCATCTCCTCCCCCAGTGCTCCCATTGGGGCTTTGAAGTACTCACGCGTACCAGCCAGCTTCAAAGGAGAGGCCTCCAGTGGCTCCTTGCAGCACACAGCATTGCAGCCAGCTTCCCTGCTTTTCTCCCAGGCGAAGCCTCAAAACAGGACTTTTGCCTTCCGGCAGCAAAACAGCAGCTTCTCAGGTTTTTCAGCCTTCTTAAGCACACAGCACATCAAAACAGGCTTCCTCTAATTGCAATTACTGCCCATAACCTGTCAGAGTATATTGATTTATTGCTCAGATAAGCGTGAGGTCCAGCACGCTTCCCATCACAGGCCTCTGCATTCCAAAAGACCGACACATCTGAGCATAGCAGAGTTTCGACAGCGGCAAGAGGAAGACTGTAAAAAAACTCCAGTGCCTTCTTCAGTGTGCTTAAATAAAGTCCACACAGGATCTTAGCAGCTAAAAGCAGTTTTATTTACAGCAGACTATCCATTATCTATCACAGCGAACAGCATCGCGAAAACACGTCCTCTCTCCTCAAAAGCGAAAGTAGAGAGACAGAACAGAGGCTTTAGTCTCTCGGAACTGACGTAGAAGTTCCCTCCCAACAGTAGGCAGGGCGTACACTCTGAGCTGTTTAACCCTGTAAGCTCAGGTTCTCCTCACATGGAGTCATGCAACCCCTGACCTACCTGAAGGCAGCCCTGTATAAGGAAGTCTTTTAAATAATGTTTCATGTTTTATTATGTTTTTATATATGTTGAAAGCCACCCAAAGCGGCTGGAGCAAATAGTGAGGTATAAATAGTAAAATAACAACAACAACAACAACAACAACAATAACAACAACAACAACAACTTTATTGTCATTGTACAACCTGTGTACAATGAAATTAAATGAGCCTCCCTCCCTCCCTCCCTCCCCCAAACACTCAGTCTCGTTGCACTCTGTGTTGCCATTTCTATTCCACCTTAAGGAACAGGCATGTGGAATTGTTGTGTGTCACATGTCTGTTTACATTTCAGCACAGTATGCTGGGAACTTCCATTTGTATATGGCTTTTGCTTTTGCTGTTCTCTCTGAGACGACATGAGAGAGAGACGAGATGTTTCTTTGTTCTGATTTATGTTTAATAAATCTGTAGTAATAGTATGACTTCACAAGCCTCACGCCTATTCTGTGTGTGCGCTACACTCTGCTAATAGCGTGCCCTGGGTTTTGAAGTCTGGTTCGCTGATTTACGTTGGAGCACGGGCCGATGGAAGGAGACGTCTGAGCTGGGCTTGCCAGCTGGCCTCCCAGCCCTCTGCATGTCGACACTCTGTGTGCTTATCGAACAACACACCACCTCACAATTCCTTGGAGGAATGCAATTACAGTGGTACCTCAGGTTAAGTACTTAATTCGTTCTGGAGGTCCATTCTTAACCTGAAACTGTTCTTAACCACTTTAGCTAATGGGTCCTCCTGCTGCTGCCGCGCTGCCGGAGCACGATTTCTGTTCTCAACCTGAAGCAAAGGTACTATTTATGGGTTAGCAGAGACTGTAACCTGAAGCGTATGTAACCCGAGGTACCACTGCATTATGATTATGGAAAAGGATGTCCCTATTTTCATCCATGCCATAATGGACACACACACACCCCCACACACACTGTGTTTCTGCTGTAATCTCTTGGTATATTCCTGTTCCAGGCAGACTAGATGGCCCCTTGGTGTGAGCCAGTGGGACAACTATTGGAGCTCTGCAACTGGTAGCAGGAACCTGCAGATCTCTCTCTGCAACCTGCACAAGATGTTGCACATGAACAAATAGGCTCAGCTGCACTGCAATGCAGATGGCCAGGCTGTATTTCTTTCTAAGCTTCACAGCTTCTTGCAGGGATCCTTGGTTAGTTCTACAACTTACTGCAGAAGTGCATATACCTTCACATCTGCTGTCAATGCACAGTCCTAGTTGCATACTATCATTTCCCCCATGGCTTTCTTTGCATTGAGGCCAAAACTGTCAAATTGTGTGTGTGTGTTATCAATAAAATAATTAATGACATGCAAGCAAAACAGTCTCTTGAGAAATGAAGGTTCTGCTGCTTCTCTGTTTTACTATTGTTAATGATCAACACTCAGCACAGTTGTTTCCCCTTTTAAGTTTTTTACAATTGGTTGGGAGTCACAAATACATGAAAATTTGGCATCAGAACAGAAGAAATTTACCAACAGATGCTGCGATTCCACAAATCACTCATATCTCTATCTCTATATACACTATTTCTGCTTGCAAAACAGGTTGTTGAGTCAACTTGCTCAAGACAATAATCCCTGCAGGAGACGTTGGAGCTCACGGAACGTCGATATACATACTTCTCTGATAAGCAGATTTCATTTCCATTTCATTTCAACGCATCAAATTAGGCCAGCACTAACACTTCTTGTCTTGAGTTCTGAATTGGCATTGTCTTGTGCCAATATGGAAAGAAATGGACTTCATTGTCTCCAAACTGTCTCGTTCAGCTTGGTTTTCCCTTCCCAGGACCTTATGAAATGAATCAGTTGGTGCATGGGACATGCAAAATAATGATGATGATGATGATGTTGCATTATGCAGCGTTCCAGCCTGTCAGTTGTGCTCTTTCCACAGAATACTTCAACATATATCCCTTCTACCCTGGTTTTCTGTTCCACTCTGCATCAGGCATTCGACATTCCAGGTCCACTGAGCCTGCTCAGTCCTCACCAGTGGCATAGCGTGGGGGGTGCAGGGGGGGCGGCCACAACGGGCGCAACATCCGGGGGGGCGCTCGCACTCGCAGCTCTCTGCCCCTACTAAAATCCACGGGTTAGGGGGCGCAAATTACTTGCCTTGCCCCGGGTGCTGACAACCCACGCTACGCCACTGGTCCTCACTGATATGTTTGGTCCTAGCCATTGTGGTTTAGAAAAACATCATCCAATACTGATTCCCTTTTATTATTTCACAGCTGTCTATCACACTTAGGGAGAGCTGGTGGTTCCAAAATTCTCTCTCCCCTTCCCCCCCTCGCCTTCGGATGTGATGAAATATTCTTTTGGATGGTAGTTAATGCATTGAGGTTGAATCCTGACAAGACAGAAGTACTGTCTTGGGTATAGGGGGCAGGCAAGTGCGGGGGACTCCCTGGTCCTGAACGAGGTAACCGTGCCCCTGAATGACCAGGTGCGCAGCCTGGGAGTCATTCTGGACTCGCAGCTGTCCATAGAGGTGCAGGTCAATTCTGTGTCCAGGGAAGCTGTCTACCAGCTCCACCTGGTACGCAGGCTGAGACCCTACCTGCCCGCGGACTGTCTCACCAGAGTGGTGCATGCTCTAGTTATCTCCTGCTTGGACTACTGCAATGCGCTCTACGTGGGGCTACCTTTAAAGGTGACCCGGAAACTACAACTAATCCAGAATGCGGCAGCAGGACTAGTGATTCAGAGTGGCCACCAAGGCCATATAACACTGGTCCTGAAAGACCTACATTGGCTCCCAGTACGTTTCCGAGCACAATTCAAAGTGTTGGTGCTGACCTTTAAAGCCCTGAACAGCCTCAGCCCAGTAAACCTGAAGGAACCTCTCCACCGCCATTGTGCAGCCCAGACACTGAGGTCCTCCTCTGAGAGTCTTCTGCTGGTTCTTTCACTGCAAGAAGCGAAGTTACAGGGAACCAGGGAAAGGGCCTTCTTGGAAGTGGCACCCGCCCTGTGGAAACTCCCTTCCTTCAGATGTCAAGGAGATAAAGAACTACCCAACTTTTAGAAGACATCTGAAGGCAGCCCTGTATCTGGAAGTTTTTAATGTTTGATGTTTTATTTAAAAGGAAACCCAGCCAGATGGGTATAACAACAACAACAACAACAACAACAACAATGTTGTGTTGGCTGTTCATGCTAACTGCAGACCTTCAGAGAGAAAGAGAGAGTGAGAAATCATCCTCTTTTCCTTTGTTTCTTTGTAACTTTCCTTTCCTTTTGGTATAGTTTGGGGGCTGAGGAGAAGACAAGTATCATGCCTCTAGACCAGCGGTTCTCAACCTGTGGGTCCCCAGATGTTGTTGGACTACAACTCCCATCATCCCTGAGCTCTGGCCTTGCTAGCTAGGGGTGATGGGAGTTGTAGTTCAACAACATCTGGGGACCCACAGGTTGAAAAAGGCTGCTCTAGACAGAGTTTTTAACACAATAGGTGAATGGACACCATATTTACAAATAGTGGATTGAGCATGCTCAGTAGACAGAGAATGCATAGAATGCTGACTGATGGTTGAGGAAGAGGAATGGAAAATGGTGGGGATGGGATGGAGTATGAAACTCATCAGTATAAATATTATCATTTATTAAATTTCAATCTGAGCCTTCCTTCCAAAGGAACCCCAGGCAGCAAACAACAAACTAATAGAAGCAATGCAGTAAAAATAAAACATATCTAAAGCATTTAGAAATGGTTAAGAACATCTAAATACATTTAACTACTAATTTAGAGGAAGCAGAGAAGTCTCCACATTTTCTGTATCTTTCTGGAGGGGAGGGAACTCACATTTATTCAAACTACCTTCAAGTGACCTCAGCCTCGTTTTCCAGAAAGTCAAATCTGATTGGCCATGTATCATTGGCATTAAAAACAACTAATATCTCAAACTGTAGTCAAACAGGCCCGATAAAACTGCAGACATTACAACAGGCCACTCTCCTTTTATTCAGGCTGTGCTCCCCCTGATCTGCACACGGTGAATGGAGGCTTAGCATAAGGAAGGGCAGATACAGTCCAGCCAACAGGCAATTAATCTGGGGTCGGTGTGGTGTTTAGCATTCAACTGAGATTTGCCTTCCTCAGTAACTAAAATTGTTTATCCAGCAACCATCTCTCTGCAAAGCAATATGAATTGGTTCGCTCCCTATATCATCCATCAGTGAGGCAGAAAGACATTGTTATAAACTGGCCAAAGGACTCCCTGCCGTTAGTGCAGCGGGAAACCGGGAACAATTCTTTACTAAATGTGTTTTGCATCTCTCACTAATTTTGAAAAGGCCTAGAATTTCGGCAAGGCAGGAATTAGGTAACTTCTTGCATCACTTATTTCCTTCCTGTGCATCATGGCTCCTACTTTGCAGAGGACAGTTGTCTGCCTGAAGGGCTGACAGAGGATAAGCATCTATTTCAAAGTGTTCTCTGCTTGGAATGTTGTCTGGTCCAAGTCCAGTTTGAAGGTTGGGATTGGCCAGTCTGCCCATTTCAGTTTATCCCAGTTTATCTCATTTTTCACCTCATAAGTTCAGTTCCTACACATTTGCATGTCAGTGTCCAAACTTTTCTAATGTCCTCATGAACATTCGTCAGCATTTTAGAGCAAATTTCTCCTATTATACACAGATTTTTGTGTGCAATTTCGACTAACAAGCACATTTTTGCAAATCATCCCCACCTAAAGCAATGCATTTTTGTAAGTTACCTTCATGAATATAGACACACTTTAGGCCACTATATGACCTTTTTTGGCTGGAGAATTGCATTGAGAAATTCTGATGAAGTGTGAATTTAGGAAGATAGCTGTGTTTTGGTTTACAGATTGTTTCAGAAAGTGTAAGGTTTGCCTTTGAAATACAAAGTGCATCAAAATTCTCCCCCATCCCTATTCAAGATAAAGCGCCATAAAAAGGAGAGCAGGAGTCTTAAAGCTGCCCCCTGACCGTGCCTGGACAGGCGGCAATGTCAACAAGCTAGGGTATTTGGGAGTCCAATTCTAGTATCAATCAATAAAAACCCCAACACAAATCCTTGGCTTCTCTTCCTTTTTAATTTATAATGGTTATTTCCAGGACTGGCATGTTCCATTTTGCCACTTGAGTCAAAACAAGAAGTGCCACGCTGCCACTGCTGTCGCCACTGCCACCACACATGCTGCTGCTGCCATTGCCATGGCCCACTCTTGCAGTGTCATGCGCCCTGCCAGATGGTGCCAATTTCAGTCCAGAGATCCACCTGGGGGCTTCTGCTGCCTGAGGAAGTGGTTTCTCTCTGTCCAATGGCTGGGCTGGCTCTGGTTATTTCTGTATTTGCATCTAAACATTAATTTCAGCATATGTGAATGTGTGCCCTCTTTTGTCCTCCGTTTTGGTGTTTCCCTGTGTTGGTCTGGCTAAAGATATTTTTCCGCCTGAGGCAAAAGCCCCCCTGTGATCTATACAGGAGTTGACCAGCCTAACAGTTGACTCTAACTTTTGCACTAGCAATGGAACAGCATCTTCCCCCATTGCTATGAATAGCCGACTTGGTTACTGGTGAAGGGTAGTCTGTGTGGTACATTCAGAAGATCTCTCCTGTGTCTCCCCACCACTCCTCCAATACCTTGCTGGTCCCGCTAGCATCTGCCACCTGAGGCAGCTTCCTCACTCTCCCTAATGGTAATGCCGGCCCTGGATAAGGTGACAGCAATCACCATGCAGTGCTTCGGAAGAGACAGAGCAATCTGTAAGTTGAACTATACCTTCTATAGAGACAGAGGGGAGAGTTTGAATAAGTGTTGTCATTTTCAGCAGCAGGAGTTCCTCTTTCTGCCATAGGAGTTTGAGCCATTCAGATCTCTCTTCAGACTCCAAATTCACTAGGTGGCTTGGGGGAAAGCTGTATTCTGCCAGCCTCAGCCTGCATTTGCAACATTGGGATAAGAATGTCAGTCTACGTTACAGAGTTGTTATAAGAATTACTAAGTGAATGTATGAGAGATGAACTGAGCACTTGAAAGGGACACAGTATAGTTACTGACAGTGCTTTTCTTTTGGGAAAAAAGAGATGCAGGTACTCACCATGAAATTATTATAGTAAGTGCCACACTTTTAACCAGTGCTTTTCTTCCAGGAAAAAAAGGTGACAGTACTGCATACCCTTGAATACCCCCCAGAAAAAAGCACTGGTTACTGAGCCCATGTTTGGCACTGTGGTCTAAACCACAGAGCCTAGGGCTTGCCAATCAGAAGGTCGGCGGTTCTAATCCCTGCGATGGGGTGAGCTCCCGTTGTTCGGTCCCAGCTCCTGCCCACCTAGCAGTTTGAAAGCACATCAAGTGCAAGTAGATAGATAGGTACCACTCTGGTGGGAAGGTAAACGGCGTTTCTGTGCACTGTTCTGGTTCGCCAGAAGCGGCTTAGTCATGTTGGCCACATGACCCGGAAGCTGTCTGCTGACAAACACTGGCTCCCTTGGCCTATAGAGCAAGATGAGCACCGCAACCCCAGAGTCGTCTGCGACTGGACCTAATGGTCAGGGGTATCTTTACCTTTACTGAGTCCATTTTTTGATAATACCTCTGTGGTCTGCAGCATTCCATGGCCTGGTTCATAAATGAGGGTTTTAATGTCTCACCTGAGAAATCTTCTGGTCATTTTTTAACACCGTTGAAAATAATGTCTCTGACACATTGTTTCTGCAGCCTTCCGTTTGTTAATTAGTGCCAGCCAGTGCCAAGATTGGTGCTTCTTCTTTGACACCAATTCTGATTGGACTTCCCAGGAATCTTCTCAGCAATTTTCATGAATCCTTAGGTTCCAGCTCAGTGAGTTGGATGTACTCAGTACCTTTGTATGTACAGGTGGGAATAATCTGGGATTTAAGGTGCTGCTTCTTAAAAATCTGACATTAGAGCATAGCTTCATGCTAACTTTTCTTCTGCTGGTGATGTCCTGGTTGAAGGTGCCCTATCAGAGCTGGCTGTCTTTTTGGAGAAAGATCTTATCTTTTATGAAGACTGAACTTCAGTATGGTGTCAGAGTATTTGAATATCTCTAACCTGCTGGTCTGGTAATCTCTTGCTGCTGTCACTCCAGGCAGGAAGTGGGCAGGTGTCGAGGTAGGGCCTGAATGCTGCGGGGCATCGTGGGGGCGACGGCGCTGCACTCATGTTGGGTCCCCGTTAGGGGAGGCCAGTATTAAGAGAAGGGAGAGGCTTTGCCCCACTGCAATAGAGTCCCCTGTGGCATCTATTCACATGTCTGGGGGGAAAGGAAGGAGGTGCAGTCAAGCAAAGTTCTGCAGAATGTACTAAGCCAAAGGTGGGGAACCTCAAGTCTTTGGGCCAAATGTTGCCCTCCAGGATTCTCTAGCTGGTCCTGCTTTGCACTCTCCTTGAGTGTTTTTGCCTGGCTGGAATCTCTCTCTCTCTCTCTCTCTCTCTCTCTCTCTCTCTCTCTCTCTCTTTCTCTGTCTCCTTCTGTTGCTTATATTTCAAATCCTGCTTGTGAGTTCATCAAGCTATAATATTTCCTTAAATAGTCCAAAAAGAGCACACATTCTTCCACAAAGCAGTCATCATTAGAATCTCTTATTCTGGCTGTTCATTTTGCCCTTTCTGCATCACCTTACTTATCCATTCTGCTTCAGTGGGATCTTCTTCCTTCCATTTTTGTGCATAGAGAATCCAAGTTGCTGTTGTTACATGCATAAACAACTTCATCATCTTTTTTTAAAAAAAACTTCTGTTCCTATAATCCCTAAAAGAAAGGCTTGAATGTGTATCTAATAATACATCTTGCTTGTTTGGCTGGAGGATAAGTACAGGTGTGCGAGTACATGTAGAAAGTAGCCTACTGAACTAAGGCAACGTGTACATTCACTGCTCTGCTACTTTTGCCTCCTCCTCTTCCTGGCATGTTAATGTGTCTCTCATCTGAAAATGTTCCCAACTCCTGTGATGTGCCCACCTGCTGCCCTTGCTGACCTCAAATGTCTCAGGTAGGGTAAGATTTGGCACCCCCAAGCAGTCTTAGTGGTCATAACTGTTCATTTGGCTTCATATAAGTCAATGGGACCTTTTGAGAACTAAGCCTACCAACATTCCAGAACTAAGGTTCCATGTGTTGGGCACACATCACTTGGGAAGACAGGCAAACTAATGCCAGTGTACTGGAAGAAGATCACCAGTGTCAAAGCAATGATTCTTCAACATCAACTTCATTGGGTTGGTCATGTTGTGCGGATGCCTGATTATCGTCTTCCAAAGCAACTACTCTATTGCAAACTTAAACATTGAAAGTGTAATGCTGGTGGTCAACAGAAGAGGTTTAAAGACTCTCTCAAGGCAAATCTTTTAAAAAATATAGTATAAACATCAACAACTGGGAAACACTGGCCGGTGAGCGCTCCAATTGGAGAACAGCCTTTACCAAAGGTGTCATGGGTTTTGAAGACGCTCGAACTCAGGATGAAAGGGAGAAACGTGCTAAGAAGAAGGCACGCTTGGCAAACCCTCACCATGATCAGCTCCCACCCAGAAACCTATGTCCCCACTGTGGAAGGATGTATGGATCCAGAATTGGTCTCCACGGTCACTTACAGACTCTCTGTTAAAACTGCGTTCATGGAAGACAATCTTACTCAGCTACGGGTGATCACCAAAGAGGAAGACAAGCTGGAACATGACAGAAACCAGGAATTGCCCCTGCTTTTGACAATGTCAACAAGCGAAGAGATCCTGGAACACCAGTGCTGGTGTCAGTAAATAAAATCCCTAACAAGAAATTCCATTTTGATGCTAAGGCATTTCTTTTGACATTTTTCAAATGACTGGTGACTAAGGATAATGAGGTACTTCTCTTTTAGATGACTGCATGAGCTAGAATTGCTTACACAAAGTATTGGAAAATGAATCCGATACTTCTGCTCAGAGAATAGCATATTAAAATATAGGGTATCACAAATTAAAGTTGGCTATTCAGGCTTGTCAGGAAATGTGTACTCAATGTTTGGAACAAAACTGGAAAGGCTTGAAAGTGACAAGCAAAATCCTATGATTGGTCATTCCTTTCTGCTTATATAAGGAGATTCCCTAAAACAAATTGGATGTATTCATCTTAAGAAAGAGGAATGTAAGCATTGAATGAACTATTTAGTTAAAGGATCATGTAATTAGTTATTTTCCTTGGGATCTTTGGATGAAGGGCAGTTTATAAATTTAATTAATAATAGTAATAATAATAACAATTTTGGTGGGTAGTAAAATGCTGGTACATGGAGATTTGTTCGTATAAATTGTAAAACAAAAAGTCTCCCACCCAAAAAAACCAGCAACTGTCTTTCATATACATGGAAAATATGTCTTTACAACATTTATTGGCCCACCCTGTAACAAATAAGGCTCTTAAAGTGTCCTACAACCTAAAATCAAACAAGTTAAAAAGCTAAGAACTGTAACAATAAAATATGATACAGCAGAAAACTCAAAAAGCATAGAATGAAAAATGGACAAAAACAGGTTGAGGATGCAATCCTAAAGCTGTATGAAGACCCCCTGAATGTAGAATAAGTAATACTCTGCCATCAGAGGGACTGTTAGAATTCCTGCTCCATGATTGCATCATGGGATTTTTGTCCATCACATGACGGTGTATGTTTTGACTCCACAAAGTAGAAAGTGACGGAGACAGGATGTTTGTGTTACTGTGTTTTTTTTTAATGGGTTTTCTTTGTTCTTGACAAAGAATGAATTGGAACAAAACATGGGGAACCTTTCACAAATAATTGAACTCTCGCCTTCTTTGATGAAGGGCAAAAACATATCAGTGTGTCTAAATGTTTAAAGAACTTTGATAAGAACACTTATCCCCCAAAATATAGATAACCCCTACTGAGAAGCTAATATTTCAATCAGTGTTCTTTAATAAAGATATTTTTTAAAAACCCAGCAGGTTATTCATCTAAAAGCTTCTGCCGACATTTTCAAGTGATTACTTGCTATAAATGTATTACATTCCGGGAGAACCCTGATGGGAAATGCTAAACGTGTAAGAATTTCTGGAGACTCTTGTTAGCGCCAGAAGTAGCAGCGAGTCTGTCAGGTTTTCCATTACAAAACCATGTTTTCGAGGAGACCTCTGCAGTTTAAAACAATATTTCATGTGATAGTGTTGGTCAGATGCCAAGAGTAAGATGGTCTTATCAGTACTGCCTTAAATCGGAACTGGTTTTAAAAACAGAGGCTTCTTCCATCAACAACTCAAAATTCCAAAACTAAAAATAAAACAGAATTCTGAATTTGGGAGGTCCAGAGCAACTTTATCAATCAAACTACCCATTCACTTTATGTGTGACTCCCAATTAGGGTTGCCAAGCAACAATATTAGAAAGACCTTCCAAGTGTGGTTGCACCATAGAGTTGTATTTGTCATTATGATATTGCTAGTCCTGTTTCCAATCCATTTCCTGGTGATCCCTAACAAAGAATCAAACTTATTTCACTTGCTGCACTCTTGGTTTACATTTTCATTGAGCTATCCACTGTGGCACCAAGCTCTCTTTCCTAGTCAGTCACTGCCAGTTTAGACCCTATTGGTTAAGGTTTACTGCCTCACTGTGCATAAATGATATACTTTCTAAGGATCAATGGATCTGTCAATTTCACTTCTTTCTGTTTTTCATTTTTCCAATATAAATTCAGTTCTCCGTATATCTGCAGTCATTTACAAATGTCTTTTTAAAAAAAAAACCCTACATGATTTTTTTCAGCATTTTAGTTCAATTTTCTCCTAATAAATACTACTGTGCAAAACAATTTCCCCAATAAAATCATAGAATCATAGGACTCTAGTGTTGGAATGGACCCCAAGAGTCAACTAGTCATACACAGGGAGATTCATAATGAAGTATACAGAATTATGAACCATGTTATTTTCAATTGGGACGCGGGTGGCGCTGTGGGTTAAACCACAGAGCCTAGGACTTGCCGATCGGAAGGTCGGTGGTTCGAATCCCCGCAACAGGGTGAGCTCCTATTGCTCGGTCCCTGCTCCTGCCAACCTAGCAGTTCGAAAGCACATCAAAGTTCAAGTAGATAAATAGGTACTGCTCCGGCGGGAAGGTAAATGGCATTTCCGTGCGCGGCTCTGGTTCGCCAGAGCCAACATGCAAACCGAAGCACACAGCCTTCCTTCAGAATTAGAACGCAGTTTTTCAGCCAGGTAATGTGTGCACAAATGCATATACTAGGGTAAAGTATGGACAGATCCTGAAGCTGAGACTCCAATACTTTGGCCACCTCATGAGAAGAGAAGACTCCCTGGAAAAAAAACCTGATGTTGGGAAAGATGGAGGGCGCAAGGAGAAGGGGACGACAGAGGACGAGATGGTTGGACAGTGTTCTCGAAGCTACGAACATGAGTTTGACCAAACTGCGGAAGGCAGTGGAAGACAGGAGTGCCTGGCGTGCTCTGGTCCAGGGGGTCACGAAGAGTCGGACACAACTAAATGACTAAACAACAACAACAATGCACAGAAATACATTCGTAATTGAAAATAGGTAAAGGTAAAGGGACCCCTGACCATTAGGTCCAGTCGTGACTGACTCTGGGGTTGCTGCACTCATCTTGCTTTATTGGCCGAGGGAGCCGGCGTACAGCTTCCGGGTCATGTGGCCATGACTAAACAACAACAAACCGCGGGTTAAGAACTTAATTCGTTCTGGAGGTCCGTTCTTAACCTGAAACTGTTCTTAACCTGAGGTACAACTTTAGCTAATGGGGCCTCCCACTGCTGCCGCACCGCTGGCTTGCAATTTCTGTTCTCATCCTGAGGTAAAGTTCTTAACCCGAGCTACTACTTCCGGGTTAGCAGAGTCTGTAACCTCAAGTGTTTGTAACCTGAAGCGTTTGTAACCCGAGGTACCACTGTATACAAGAATGAATTGTAGAGTGACAGAATCTCCTCAGGCCATTGGGAAGCTGATGGCAGAAGCTCCCTGCCCTGGCTTCCTCACTTCATCCTTCCCTCAGGCCACACGGAGCTCCAGGAAATCATCTTTTCAGGCCATTATGGTTCTGTCAGAAGTCAATGGTTTGTGTGCTTCCTGGCCTGGTTTCCCTCAGTTGTTCTTTCCCTCAGGGCACATACCTACAAACAGCCAAGTGAGGCCTATAAGGCACACTCCTTGGAATAAAGTGCCCTCTGATGGTGAAATCTCATGACTTCAGTGCAAACAGTGTCCAATGTTTCATTTAAATTCTACTCAGTATTGATCCAGAGCAGATTCCAATGTATAGTTAGCAGAGTAACAACTTAAACACATTACAGGATTCCCCCAAAACAGACCAGAGGCAATTATATTTCATCCAGCAGAGCTTTACTGTTACTGAAGGCAAATGAGCATAATGGTCACAAATCCAATACATTCAGGATTGGCACTGTCCATAAGAAATCCAGTTGCAGCAGACTTAAGTTAAACTTACAATAACTGATAATAAGTCTTAACCTTAACACTAAGTATACTATGTACAGTATACTATGTACCACACCAGAAGGAAAAGAGATAGAAAAAGAACAGTATAACCCAGACTCCTTCAGTGTGTCTCAGGATGGTGGGTTTATTTTTAACATGCTATCACCTGTGTGTGGTTTCAAAATCCTTCTGTTATCAGCTACAGCAGGGGTGCCAACTTGAATAAAATATTGGGGGGGGGGCATAGTAAGCCGGGTAAGCCCTGCCCTCATAATCAATCATATGATGCGGTGCACTCACACCATTTCAAAGGCAATGCCCATCAACTTTGGGGTGGCCTGGCCCCCTCAAATATTTTATTGGGGAACCCCTTGGCCCCTACGAGTTGGCTCCTATGAGCTACAGCAGGCACCCCCAAACTCGGCCCTCCAGATGTTTTGGGACTACAGTTCCCATCATCCCTGGCCACTGGTCCTGTTAGCTAGGGATGATGGGATTTGTAGTCCCTAAACAGCTGGAGGGCCGAGTTCGGGGATGCCTGAGCTACAGGGTACTTTGTGAGATTTATTCTGTCCTTTGGGGTTTTTTTAATAGGCCAAAGGATTGGGGTGGGGACGCAAAGCTTCTTTGACCTTCTGGTTCCCTGCTCCCCGCTTTTCTCATTCAAACATCACCCTCACAGGTAACTGATTTTCCTGTATCCATTGCAGCAGGGACAGTTCTGAGCACCTGAAACTTGCAGAAGTCTGTTGCCCCTCCTGGCTTGCCATATTAGAGACTTCCTGAGTCAGCTCTCAGGCTCTCTGTTTTTAGTTTTGATTCTGCATTGCAAGCAGCAGCATGCTCCACACTTTTCTCCTCCCCAAACTACTTTTCACTGAAGTTGCTTTTGTTGTGCATCTTCTGAGCGACCTCCTCTTCGCAATACTTTTCACCAACTCTGTTCGACCCAAGCATTCATTTATAAATGGAATATTACTAAAGCAACACCAGCCGTGGCCTGCCTTCTCCTTGGTGCTAATGAAATCAGCGGTGCTGAACTGTGGAAGGATTTGCTTCTGTAGAACCAACACCCTCACTCCCACCTGCCTGCCTTTCATTTTGGATTAGTTTTTAGAAAAACAAAGACACTTCAAAGTGCTATTTTGGTGCTCCTGGCTGTCCAACTGAGTCACTGTCTGTCAGGCTTGACTCAAGTGCTCTTCAAAAGGCAAAGAACACTACGCTTTTGCCAGATCTGCTGAATACGTGCTTGACTGCATAAATTGTTACCTCATTCGCCAGCCCTGTTTTTATTCACGAGCATAATAACAGGTTAGGTGTGACGTGGAAAAGCAGAAAAGAAGAAGTAGAAATCAGCTAGTGCTTGAACATTCACTTATCAGCTAAGTGGGGTTAGGCTTTTGACCTAACTCGATGGTGTGACATTTTTATTTATGTTAAAGTTGAACATCCTGCTCTTCGATTTCTTGGGTTTGTCACGGCTAAAAATTGGCCGCTGTTTCTTTTATGTTTAAAAAGCTGGGTCAGCATGAGTCAGCGGCCTGCACCAGGTTATATATATAGAGTGAGAAATGTTAGTTTGTTGTTGGATTGGTTGGTTGGTTAGTGAAAGCTGGTAGTGTTGATGTGTGTACAGTTGGTCAGTTGCTTTTGCAGAAAGACTTTTAAGAATAAAAGCAGACAGTACTCTGCAAGGATACTCTTTTATGCCGACAAGGGTCCGAGGACCAGGCTGAGGCGACAAAGGGAGGTCAAAACCCTTTCTTTCTTTTTTTTACAAACACTGACAGGGTTGTAGCCAATGAAGTCATCCTGTTACCACAAGGACTTCTGCTTCCACAATGGGACTTTCTCTCCCACTCTTCCCACCTCCTCAATCTGCTCCAAAGGCCTGGGGGAACTTCCAGAACAGATTTGGAGGAGGAGGAGGCAAGGAAGAGCCTGGGCAGCTAACAATATCTAAAAATGCAACATTAAAAGCACATTGGAATCATAATAAAAAATAAATAATGCAAGTGTAAAAGGATCAGTGCCAAAGGACTATCAGAAGGGTCAGTTTTATTGTGCTCCAAAGACCCACAAAATAAATAGGCCTTGAGGTGACACCAGAAGGAAAATACTAGGGGAGGGGGGCAACCAGATATATACAGGAAGGGTGTTTCATAGACAGTGATGGACAAAGCCTTATTGGACTGGAACCACCAAATCCTGGGCAGAAATCTGTTTTAAACTGCATCATCCTCTGTTCCTACCCAGTACTATGACACTGTGGTCTAAACCACTGAGCCTCTTGGGCATGGGTAGGCAAACTAAGGCCTGGGGGCCGGATCCAGCCCAATCGCCTTTTAAATCCGGCCTGCAGACGGTCCGGGAATCAGCGTCTTTTTACACGAGTAGAATGTGTCCTTTTATTTAAAATGCATCTCTGGGTTATTTGTGGGGCATAGAAATTCATTCATTTTCCGCCCAAAAATATAGTCCGGCCCCCCACAAGGTCTGAGTGACAGTGGACCGGCCCCCTGCTGAAAAAAAATGCTGATCCCTGCTCTTGGGCTTGCCAGTCAGAAAGTCAGCTGTTCGAATCCTCGTGGTGGGGTGAGCTCCCATTGCTCTTTCACAGATCCTGCCAACCTAGCAGTTCAAAAGCACACCAGTGCAAGCAAATAAATAGGTACCGCTGCAGCAGGAAGGTAAACAGCATTTCCGTGCACTCTGGTTTCTGTCACTGTGTCCCATTGTGCCAGAAGTGGTTTAGTCATGCTGGTCACATGACCCAGAAAGCTGTCTGTGGACAAACACTGGCTCCTTCTGCCTGAAAGTGAGATGAGCGCCACACCCCATAGTCGCCTTTGACTGGACTTAACCATCCAGGAGTCCTTTACCTTTACTATGGAACAACTATCAGTGGCTAGATAACGGTGTGAACCAGCCCCAAATGTGGAGTAGTGACATAATATGACAACAAATGATGCACATGTGTCAACCTTTCCTGCAAATGGCTAGGTAATCCCGTCCTAAGGGTGCTGATCATGATTGAATGTGTAACACTGCCAAGATATTTGTCCTTGGTCAATCCTTGTTTCATGATCTTTCCAGGATTAGATGAATCCCAGTCTCAACACATACATATCTATGGCATATCTGAATCACTTTGCCTAAAAGTAGAATAACATATTAATTGAATTCATTGGCTACACAAGTTCAGATTCACCCAAATACCATGGTATGCCAACAAACACATGTGGTCAATACAATTGTGAGTCTGATAGCAAATGCAGCCAAATGCATGTCATTACATGTCAACCATCAAATACTGTCACAATATCAAGTATTGAAATCAAATGCCATTGGGTGCCACGTATAGAAATCACATTCTTGCCACACACACTCAGCAAACAGCCTATGATTTCAAAAATGTCTGGAGAATATTAAACATCATAATTCACAGCGTGGAAGTTTTGGAAGCAAATCCATCCTTTTCATTTCTGGGTTTCCAGTTACAGAATCCATCTCTATCCATGCTCTTAGCCTTCACTTTATATTCATCTCTGTGCACCCACATCTTCCTATGCACAGGAAATTATAATTTCCTCAAGAGGATCCAAGCTCCACCCTTAGTGAAATACCCAAAGAATAAAGTGGTAATGAAAAGCCTATCATTATTATTATCAAATCTATAGCTTAATTAGCTGACGATAGACCTGTCATCTTCACTTGCAGGCTAACTCATTCTGTGTTCCAAACTTCATTGGTTAAAGTATTCAGACTAATAGATTAGCCTGACCCTGTAAAGTAATATAATCATTTGAATGCAACACTGTTTCATTATGTCACATTTTGAAATGGTTTCCCCCCTTCTCAAGTTATGTCTATAGCTCCAGGGAAGATTTTCAACTTGTTTCTATGACTAAGTGTCTGCTCCTTCTGTAGCTGGAAAAGGTGATAATGAAGTCTTTTAGCAGAATCTGTACCACTTACTGGAGTACAAGAGGGTGAATGGTAAGAGCTGAATAGATTCTGGCCATCAGCAAATGGAGGGAAGTGAAGGTTGTTTAAACACTTTAAGATGGAAGATAAACACATTGAAAATGAGGACAATCTACAGTCTATTAAGCTGCTTTGGATCAAGCAGCCCTGAGAGAGCAGAAAGCATTTCACGTTACAATCAGTGATTTCCCTCCACGCTGCATTGCAGCTAAACATGTCACTGCAATGCACAGGATTTTATTTGCAGAATATTCTGTAATACACTCCAGGTTGGGAAACCACTCGTCGTTTTGATTCAATGTCCGTAAACTGAGAGAGCTCACTCAAAAATTAGAGCTGTACACTGATTAAGGATTTTTTTTTTCTTGATTAACCACATGCCTTTCAACCAATCAGTTGATTAACAGGTTTTGATATACCAATTTCACATTACCCACAACTCTGTACAGAGGCCAATTTGAGCTATGGAAAGACGCATAAGAAAAGTTACAATCTGCAGGAGGGGGAGGCTACAATCCGTTGCTGAAATGGGGGGATGCATTTCAAGGTGGGTTCCCCCCCCCCCATTTTCTTTTATAGAAATATACCACAACCAAAGAAGCTTCAGAAAAGAAAGTGTTTCATCAGTTAAAAGTTACTCCCAGCTACTAAAACCAGCCCTCATCAACTAATTGACTGAAGTTTTGATTTAAGACTTACAGACCTACAGTGGTACCTCAGGTTACATACGCTTCAGGTTACATACGCTTCAGGTTACAGACTCCGCTAACCCAGAAATAGTGCTTCAGGTTAAGAACTTTGCTTCAGGATGAGAACAGAAATCGTTCTCTGGCGGAGTGGCAGCAGCAGGAGGCCCCATTAGCTAAAGTGGTACCTCAGGTTAAGAACAGTTTCAGGTTAAGAACGGACCTCTGGAACGAATTAAGTACTTAACCCGAGGTACCACTATACTTGAAAATCCTCAATATGATGCAGTTTGCAACACTTTGGTAGTTGTTTTGATCATCAGATCTCTGAAGAGGTACCATTTTCTTGCCTCCAGTTGTACCTCAGTGTTCGTCATTTTTTAAAAGCAACAACAACAAAAGATAATGGAGGCTTGCACTTACAGGAGAATGATTTTGTGGACAGCTCAGTTTCCCATTCCCCGCTGTCAGACAGCATTACACTGTTATCTCTATTCACTATATACACTTGATCTCTCTGTCACGGTTATTTCCCTCTGGTGGCTCATGTACACAGTCCTTTTTTTGCCAACTTCAATTCAAAAACGGGGACCAAAGGGGCTTTCAGAATGATGAACTCCAAAGCCAGTCATCTGCAGTGCTGGATGACTCTTAAAAAGGAAAGAGGCAGCTGAACCAAAACTAGACCTCATTTTCACTCTTGCTGCTGCTAAAATGATCGTGGTGACAGTAATCACTACTAGAGCAGGGCCTTCCCTGACGTGGCACCTCAGATGTGGAACTCCCCTGCCCCCGAGATTCAACTGTCCCTTGCACTATCCACATTTAGGTGTCAGATAAATGCATCTTAAATTTCCCAGGTTGGCTGATGTAAGAGTGAGGTTGCTGGTGAGTTGTCTGAAATTCTGATTCCTGCTTTGTTTTGAGATCTGTTTCACATTGTTTATTTTGTGGTTCTTGTGCATTTTAATATATTGTTCTCTACTGCCCTGGGAACCTCTGGGTTGAAGGGTGAGATACAAATATAATTTGATAATAATCAGTATTAACAATGCCTTCTGCTTATCGTACAGAACATGATCTCTCTCTCTCTTCTGCATTCTTTCTGGGCATATCCACCTTTGGGTGAAATTATGTGCTACGTGCCTCCAGTCTAATGGCTGGGAGCAATTAAAATGGTTTTTATGCCCTCTGCATGGATCCCCATTTAAATCCATGGAACTGAGTTCTGAAGACTAGGGACTGCAGAACAAACAGAGCTGAAAGGCAAGTGCTTCATTGATTGGGACTTGCTTGGTTGAAAAGATCATCAGCTCTGAAAGTGCTATCCTCCTGGAAGCCAAAAAATGGCATTTCCCCCCAACAAGGGCATGGCTGAAACAACTGGGCTGCACAGGAGTCAGTAAAAGACTAATTTTGCTTGCAGGGCTTTGATTACAGTTAATGATATGAGAGACAGAAAGAAACCAGGTTGACTGGCAGATCTCTGGCTGAGTGCTCACAGCGGGGCAGCAGAGGGAGAAAGCTTGCATATTTGTAAGCAGAGTGCATTTATGCGAGAGAATAAACAGCAAGGCAAGCCGAACTGCGCTGCAGGGCTGTGGCCAGGCAGAGGGCTGCGCCACAGGGCAGTGCTCTGCTGAACATTTGTCCTGAGCTTTTTTTTTGCTGGTTGTTGTTTTCCCCAATTCTTGGGGGGGGGGGAATGGCATTTAAAAGAGGGGACAGAACATTCCTGAGGAATTCTCATAGGTGGGGTGCAGGGTTTTTCATTGGGCTTGCTTTACTTTCAAGGGGTGAAGTAAGTGTCTTTCATTTGACAAATCATATCTGGTCTTCATTCCCAAGTTTTCCAGAATTCCCACACTTCCTGAAATGAAAACTTCCTGATACCCTCAGCCGGGCTTTCTTGTAAGTATGTGAAGTTGCAGAGGCTACTTACTGACAGCTGTTTATTGTTGCTATTATTTTCTAAAGTGAATACATTTTTTACATTTTAAATAAATCAGTGTTGTTGTTTTAAAACGGAAAGATTTCCCTTAAAAACAAGATTAGCAGATCAATCAGTCTCAGGTCGTTGGTATTCAGCCTTCCCAGCTTTCCCTGCTTCACTCAAAACCCAGGAGAAGACATCAAGAGATAATCTCACTGCTAAAATAGGAGAGGCCCTATCAGTGCTAGCATTCCGCTGCCTGCTGTATAGGCAAGTCATTCTTCTAAACTATTTTAGCTGTTTTTTCAGTTGTTTTAATTGTTACACTATCCAGGTGCTTGCTTTATTGTATATTTTAATTAAATATGTTTGAATGGCATTGTGTATTATAATTATGGATTGATTTCTTTCTGCAGGGCCTGTAAGACAGAGTTGTTCCACCTGGCCTTTGGCTTGGAGCCAATTTGATTCCCTCCCTCCCTCTCTTTTTTTCTTTTCCTTCTCCTCCTGCGATGAGGCTACATTTTAATATTTTAATGTTCCATTATTTTAATGTTGTATTTTATTTTTGTTTTTAAGTTGTAATCATTCATCTTGTTTTTATTATTGCTTGTAAGCCACTCTGAGCCTGGCCTTGGCTGGGGAGGGCGGGGTATAAATAAAAAATATTATTATTATTATTATTTTATAGTTGTAAACTGTTTGGAAGCCATTTTTGCAAATAAGTGGTTGGTTGGTTGGTTGGTTGGTTGGTTGGCTGGCTTGCAAGTACAACAACCCATGGACCTTTTTCAGATTTGGAAGTGCAAGCAGTCAGGGAGGTTGCAGAACACTGGAGAAATGTTTGCTGAAAAGTAAAGAAGGCTGATTGCCGAAGAATTGATGCTTTTGAATTATGGTGCTGGAGGAGACTCTTGAGAGTCCCATGGACTGCAAGAAGATCAAACCTCTCCATTCTGAAGGAAATCAGCCCTGAGTGCTCACTGGAAGGACAGATCCTGAAGTTTAAGCTCCAATGCTTTGGCCACCTCATGAGAAGAGAAGACTCCCTGGAAAAGATCCTGATGTTGGGAAAGATGGAGGGCACAAGGAGAAGGGGACTACAGAGGACGAGATGGTGGGACAGTGTTCTCGAAGCTACCAGCATGAATCTGACCAAACTGCGGGAGGCAGTGGAAGACAGGAGTGCCTGGCGTGCTCTGGTCCAGGGGGTCACGAAGAGTCGGACACGACTAAACGACTAAACAACAACAACAAAGGGAAATGAATGCTTTCCCCACCTCCCTTGGCCAACTGCCAATGATAAGGGAAGCTCAACCCACATCCAGCAAATTCTTAAGAAATTCCAATGTGTCAGGTAGAAAAGTAGGAGCCTATTTCATGGAACAAGTAAACTCTGGAGAAATTGGAGGACAAAATTTGGCACAGCGCTAAAGGTGACGTTGTTCCTTCTGAAAACGGGCTTCAGCTCAACAGGAGCTGGCTGCACATTGTAGCATCAAAACTCTGTGGGTCTGCCCTCCTCCTCTCCCCTCTCCCACTTAACTTTAATCTCCAGAGGAGCTCCTAGGTCTCAGGTCTGGGTCCTGAAATCTCAGGGACTGAGATGCTCCTGATCTGGCAACCCTAGAGCTTAAAGGGAAGCCCCGCCCTTACCTGCCCCATACCTGACATCACGTTGAGGCATGGCTTTCCCAAAAGGGGAGCCTGATGGACCAAGTTTGGTCCACCAGCCAGAGGTTCTCCACCTCTGTGCCATGAGAATGTTGCCAGGGACCCACAGCTAACAAGTGACATATTCCCCAGCAGTGGCCTGTACCCTGGGGTAAATAACCAGTTGGCAAAAGGACATCTGTCTCCCCTCATGGAATAAACAAATCAGAACTGAGCTGTTCAATGCAAGCAGCCTCCAAGTCTCCTGAAGTTATTTCATTCATCTGTATATTTGGCAATGAGCAAATATATTTTCAACGTATGCCTACATAAAGAAGCCTCCTTTATGAGAATATTTGATGTGGGTTTCAAGCTATGACTTCATTGTTATTGTTGTTTCAAAGCCAAAGGAGGAGGCATCAAATTTTTAGCATGGAGACCTAAATTTAGATCTCAACTATGGGAAATCTATGATTTTACTGTAATAGCTCTGAATTGCATTAACTTTGAATCATATGACCCCACTAATAGCCTATGCAAACCCATTTACCAACATCACATTTATATTAACGCACACAATTTCTTGATTTTACTGGCAATGTACCAGTAAGTGCGTTTTGCTTCTGAATTGATGGCTTGATGCCATTCGGGGGGGGGGGGGAGGCTTGCAACTGTATTGGCTGAAAAATCCAAACATGAGAGCAGGGGGGCCTGTCTAGGCTGTGCCCTATAATGCTAATAAATTCAATGGGTCTTGCTTGTGCCCTGTTGTCATTTGGGGCTCATCTGAAATATAAGCCATCAAAAGTAAAACTTGACATTTGAGTGAGACCGAGAAAAGAAGTCAGGTCATCCTTATTCCATTAACATCCTATTAAACAAATGTCAGGCTGTCTCATCTCAGAGAGAGACACTACCTCACTTCTCAAAATGTCCCTGGCAGTGTCCAGCTCCAAAGGCCAAAGGGGAATCATGAAATAACTTACTGATCGTGAGTCATAGAGATATGACAAAAACAACAACAACAACCTCCAGAGTAACACACTCCTTGGATTTTCAGTTGGGCTATGCAAAATAAACGGTTTGTATTCCCCTCATATTCGCTTCATAGAGGTGCAGTTTCCAGTTGTCCTTGGGAAGAAGGGTTGATTGCTAAACCACTGGGAGAACAGTAGCTCTGTGAAGGGAATAAGGGTCTTCTAGCAACTCTCAGCATTCTTAGCACACTGCCGTTACCAGGATTCTTTGGGGGGAGTCATGACTGCTAAAGTGGCACATGAGCATTTCAAATGTATGGTGTGAATGTGGCCATTGCAGCTATTTCTAGAGTCCCATTCTGTTGAATGTCAGGAAACCCAACAGTCAAATTGCTAATCACTGAATTCACCCCATAGACACGTAGGCCTGGTTCAAATGATATGCCTCCCAAGTTATACATGTTTCATGTTCTTTCTTATTCCTGTGAGCCAAGGGAAGGGAATCTCTGGCTCTCCAGAAGTTGCTGGACTACAATTCCCATCATCCCCAAACTTTGGTGATGTTGACTGCAGCTGATGGGATTTGGTGTCCAAGAAAATGTTGAGGGCCACAGCAGCTTCTCCATCCTTTCTGAAAGGACTTGGGCCATTCCAAGTTGATATTCTGTTCTACGGTCTGCAAAATGGCTCAGAACAGCATTCATGGGAAAATTAAAGGATAACTAAAAAAAACTAATATAAGAATAAAGCAAATATGGACAGGGAAAAGGACCAGCCAAATAAAAATGGTATAAACAGAAATGGGAGGGGAAATTGAGAAAATCAGTTGCAGAATATCGCAAGCATGGTAGGCATGAACAGGTTGTTTGGTGAAGAAATCAGTTTTAACCTGGACCCAACCTAGATGCCTCCCTTACTTGTCTAAGAAGGGAGTTCTGTAGTTGGGTCATTTATTCCTTTAAGCCTTTGCTGGACATTGATAAATTGGGGGGAGAGACATAGTCCATTGAGAAAGCATCTGCATTGCTTGAAGAAGGCCCCAGATTCCATTCCTGGCATCTCCAGGTTAAGCTGCCTGAAACCCTGGAGATCTGCTGCCAGTCACCGTTGACCAACCTTTCTCAGCCTTGGGTCCCTAGATGTTTGCCCAGGAATCATATCAATGACCAGTGGTCATAGATGATAGGAGTTGTAGTTCAAGAACATCTGGGGACCCAAGGCTGAGAAAGGCTGGTGTAGACACTAGTAAGTAGATCGACCAATGGTCTCACTTGGTATAAAACAGCTTCCTGTATTCCTATGATACCAGTTGACCGTAATAATTAGAACACAATAAATTCTAACCCCACTTACATGCAAATAACCACCATTGGATTCAATAGGTCTTAATTCTGAGTCCCTGTAGTTAGAATTGCACTGTTAGTACGTCTGTTCTGGCCTCATATTGGTTACTGTTTCACTTATTCTGTATGGAAGTTTTAATGTAACTTTAATGAATTTTTGTGCAGTGCCTTGTGTTGTTACAAGAAAGGTGATTTAGAAATAGTTTTAACGACATAAATAAATAGCCATTGAAAAAGTTATCTCCCTTATCAAAAACTGTTTGTCAAAACTTTCTTGAGTTGCTGGTGGCATCTTTAGCCTCCAGTCTATCAAGGGTAGCGTTTGAAAAATTATTTACTGCTTTTTTAAAAGAGAGAGAGAAATTAATTATTAACTTTGAACACCTTAACACATTTCAGACCAGATACTGAGTGCTTCTCTCATCTGATGGATGCATTGTGTTCTATAAATAACGCCAGGAGTTGACCAAAAGCAGAGAGGTTTAAAAAGCTCGTAAAGGTGAGAAAATCTCGCACAAACATGCTCACAAAAGTTAAGAGCATCCTGCTTCAAATAACATTGTTGAGATGGAGAGAATATTTTTTCCATCCATTGTCCCCAAATCATGAGACTCTTTGGTATAGGGTTCCATGGGGATGCTGTGAAAATTAACTAGGACATTAATAGGAGGGGCTTATTTTGAATACAGCCATCTCAAGATTTCACTCCTATAAACAAAGGACCATCTGCCAAAAAAGAGAGAAGTTTAGCTGTCTCTCTAGTGCAGAAGTCAACAATTACGGGAGGCCCACGGGCACCTTTGCAAACAGATGATATTGCTGTGAGCACCCCCCCCCCACACACACACACACTGCAACCAAGCACTCGCCACAACCTACGGTATTTTATTGGCTACAATAAAGTATTTCTTTTATTGGGGGATGGTGGGGGAAGAGACCTTTGGGGCAGCAGGAAAATGCCTCTGTGGGCACATGGACTGTCATGGCGGTCAGGTTCATCCTAGTGAGGTGCAGGGGGGCAGGGGGGAGGAGGTGCCCCACTTTGATTAACACTGCAGAGTGGGACTGACCTAGTAGAGAGGATTACAGAGGACCACTTCTCCATAGCTGGCTACTCTTCATGTGCAAAAGGGGAAGGAAGGATCTTTGAGAGAGCTTCAGTGTGCCTGCGTGCCTTCCTAGCCATGCACACCAAATTGTAAACCTTCAGCAAATGTTTTGCTGTGGATCAGGGGTCAGCAAACTTTTTCAGCAGGGGGCCGGTCCACTGTCCCTCAGACCTTGTGGGGGGCTGGACTATATTTTGGGGGGAAACACGAACAAATTCCTATGCCCCACAAATAACCCAGAGATGCATTTTAAATAAAAGGACACATTCTATTCATGTAAAAACATGCTGATTCCCGGACCGTCTGCGGGCCGGATTGAGAAGGCGATTGGGCCAGATCCGGCCCCTGGGCCTTAGTTTGCCTACCCATGCTGTAGATCAAACTTGTTTGCCAGGCAATGGGGCAAGAAAGGTTGTGTGTGTGGTTTTGCCAAATCATCTTATGGGCTCTGGGCAGATCTATACTCACGGTTTTTAATGTTAAGGAAGGGTTAAGGAAGGGTTTTGATAACGTATTTTGACACAAGACACCCTCCTTTCAACATTCATAATACGTTATTAAACTGTGACACCAGAGGGCGCTGCAGAGAAACCAGCAACCAGCAGTAGAAAGACAGTGTTTTTTTTTGGGGGGGGGGAGTTAAAAAGCAGTTTAATTTACAAGTATGCCCTGTGACGTTTTAGAATGATATATCTAATATCGTTCTAATAGCATTAAACAGGTCAGTGTAGATCCGGCCTCTATCTCTGTTTCTGTTTCTGTCTCTGTCTCTCACTGGCCTTCCTGGTCCTTGATGCTACTGCCGGTGGGTTTTCTTTAGAGGGGGCACTTTGTAAATATCGGCCCTTTCACAATATGCAGGGATGTTGGTTTTGATGGGGTAAGCAGTGGGGGCACAGTGCACATGCCAAGAGGGACTCTGGGCAGCACATGGGTCCTGCAACTGGAATGGGTAACAGCTGCACCATCAGGATGATAGCTGGGGTAACAGACAATCATTTTTGCAATAGTGTGAAGGGACTAGGAATGAGATTGGTTTTTCAACAGTGCCCCGCCCATAGGAAGGACTCTGTTTGCAATGTGTTAGCAAATAGGAGGCATCATCTTTTTTACCCACAACACCTCTGAAAACGACACTATATAGTGATGTAGCAGCCTTACAGGAGCTGTGTGTGTGTGTGTGTGTGTGTGTGTGTGTGTGTAGTGGTGAAATGGTGACCTATTGCAGTGCAGATTAGTAGCTCCGTGGCAGCGACTATCAGCAGAGCAGTCTGTCAAAGCAAGAACACACGCAGCAAAGCCATTTTGCCATCCTCAACACTTTTCGAGATAACCTCCCTTCAGAGTTCAAAAAATAAAGGAAAGTTCCTTCCCTTTCTTATATAAAAGAGCTGTGCTGATCATTCCAGTTCTTAGAGTTCAGCAGTGGCAAACCTGTGGCTCTCTAGCAAGGACGGTGGTCAGGAATGATGGCAACTGTGGTCTGGTGCCCCTAGTTATCCACACCTATTCTAGCTAAACATTTGCCCTCCTGCTGTCATTTATGAGATAACGTGTGTTGTTTTCAGAAGCCTTAAAATGATAAATAATAAAGAAATGTCAGCATGCTTAATGGGTTTGGCCCAAATGAAATATGAAAGAGACCTTAGCAGCATATGCTTACCCTAGCTTTCTGCGAGCTTAATGCTTCATTTTAAATCTTTTATCAATGGCCGCATAACATTTTCCCACGTCTGTACAAACTGCATAGATTTCATCAAAACACTTTGGGGTGGCTTAATAAGTCTGTTGTGGAAGTGAATGCCTTTAGCCTAATCCTCACTAAAGAATTTCCAAAGAGGCCAATAAATAAATAAAAGGAGAAGTGAGAATTTGAACAACTGGAGTTTGTTGCATCTGTTTCCTTCTGCTGGGACCCTTCTATTTATAATGAAATCACAGTTTAACCAACTAAGTGGACTGTCTCTTGGGAAAGGGAGAAACTAGGACATGCTCTTTTTTAAGGGCAGTAGGAGAGAGGATAGTTTCATTTAGATGTGTCAAATGCAGCTTCTTATACAACTATCTTGACCTCTTCCTTGATTAGCTCTCAAAAGTATATCAAACCCTGGGTTAAAGTTGAGCCTGGTATAAGGGACTTTTCGCACATTATACAGAGGCAATATGACTTCAGTGTACACTCAACAGGGAGCTGCAGTCAATCACAGCTACCTGACAAGTGCACCTATAAGTTCGCACACATAAGCACCCACATGCTTGCAAACATATGCTTGTCACAATGAGGACTGAAACGAGGCATCATTTCCCATCCCACTCTGTATTTATCACAAGCAGCTCTGTTTCTGTTCCACTACAGTTGGTCTTCAGCTAAAAACATATTCATCTCACTGTCTGCTGTGGGCAAATTATGCAACTCGGAATTTCACAAAGGAAACACAATGCAAAAGGGGAGGGGGATGTAATCAGTTATGTAACATTTGTGGACTGAAAGCAGCAGCAGCAACAATGAATGCCAATTGTATTTGATAGATCATTTACATTCCAGACATGGGACAAACAAGCGAACATTGACAATTTCTGATCTCGTTTTCCTCCCTCCCTCCCTTCCTTTCTTTCTTAGATCATAAGATCTCAGGGCGGTTCACAGAATAAAAACAGGATAAAAATAAAAGGTTTCAAAGTTCTCCAGCATCCCTTTACATTTGGAGGTCCACATGCCAGAAGATCCAAAACTGACTGGGCTGCTTCCAAATGCTACATAAACAAAACAAATATAATGGCCACAGCACACCTGTACTAAACAATATTGGACTCACTAGATCTGAAATTTTCTGGCTATCAGAGTTACCCTGAGGCTGGTTATCCACCCAAATACTTTTCAGAGCAATAAAACAAAAAGCAGTTGACAAGCTTGAGAACTCCTAGAACTTCCATTTCACTCCTCATGTCACACCCATAAGCATTTATAATCCACATCTACATTGCAACCATTTTTTGATGCAGCTTATTATCAATAAACTATGGATGCCTGGGAAGTGTATGCATTTCTCCATAATTCTGCTGCCTAGGAAAGAAAATATCCTTATGAATTGGGATATGGATAAGGATTCTTCTTTAGATGGTGGTTGAGCTCACTGCAGAGCTTTGATGAAGATGGAAGAAGGTTTTGTGAAGCTATGACAACAGAAGAACTGCACTTCCCTCATTAAGTTGCATCATATCACATCCATGGCTTCAGAGAGGAAAACACAGAATTACATGCCCTCTCTTTTGTCAATTGGACTCCTGTTCTTCACCAGAACAGCCTCTCCTTTATTCCCCAAAGTGCATTTATATTTTCTCAACCAAACAATCCAATTACTCTGATTTCTATTCTGATTGCTCACCAATCTTTAAGAAGAAGAAGGAGGAGGAAAGCCTACAAGAAACCACATTTTTCTTTAGAAAATGAAATCTGTGAATGTGCAGAAAGCACGTAATTATTAGAGAAACAGTATTTTATCTGATGACAAGATGAGGATACAAAGGGTAGCAAATAGGTTTTGTTGTTTTTTTCACTTCCATATAGCGGGAGAGGAGCTTGTGGGATTTTCCGCCACCGAATAACTTGGCTGCGTTTGGATACTAAACACCCTGACTTAGGGGCAGCATTTGTTGCTCAGCTTTAGGCAGCAAAATGCCTGGAGGCAGCATCTGACTTGGGCACAGTCAAATCATGAGCCAAATCCTCCTAAGTCAGGTTGGATCAAATATGGCTGTTCTATCTAGGACTCCACTACTGGACCAGTAGGGTTGTTGTTTTCTAGGCCAGGGATGGGGAGCACGTGCCCCATACCCTCAGTGTTGCTATGCTACAGCTCCTGCTTTGGGATGCAGGTGGCGCTGTGGTCTAAACCACTGAGCCTCTTGGGCTTGCCGATCAGAAGGTTGGAAGTTCAAATCTCCGCAATGGGGTGAGCTCCCATTGCTCGGTCCCTGCTCCTGCCAACCTAGCAGTTCGAAAGCACACCAGTGCAAGTAGATACATAGGTACTGCTGCAGCGGGAAGGTAAATGGTGTTTCCGTGCACCCTGGTTTCCATCACGGTGTCCCGTTGCGCCAGAAGCGGTTTGGTCATGCTGGCCACATGACCCAGAAAGCTGTCTGTGGACAAACGCCAGCTTTCTCGGCCTGAAAGCAAGATGAGCACTGCAACCCCATAGTCTCCTTTGACTGGACTTAATAGTCCAGGTGTCCTTTACCTTTAGTTTTTACCTTACAGCTGCTACCATCCCCGAGTAGGCTCAGGGCCAAGATACAAGTTTCCTGGCAACTGCGCCACTGCTGCTTACCAGGAGGGGGAGAGGCAAGGGGGCAGGGAGGCTGGCACAGTGCAAACAGACCAGCAGGTGTTGGCTGGATTGGCTCTGCTGACGCACTTCACTGCACCAACCTCCCCGCTGCCCTCTCCCTCCTACTAAGTGCTGGTTTTGACCTATAAAGCCTTAAATGGCTCAGGACCGCAATACCTCAAGGACTGCCTCTTTCCATATGAACCTACCCGGACCCTGAGATCACCTTCTGAGGCCCTTCTTTGTGTGCCTCCTCTTTGAGAGGTCCAGAGGGTGGCAACTTGAGAACGGGCCTTTTCTGCAGTGGCTCCCCATCTGTGCAATGCTCTCCCCAGGGAAGTTCGCCTGGTGCCTTCATTACGCACCTTTAGGTGCCAGGCAAAAATGATCCTTTTAAATCAGGCCTTTGGTTGACCTGGTTGATATCCTATACCCTTTTAAAAGGTGGCTATTGGGAGGGGTGTTATTGGGTTATTGTTCTTATTTTGACGCTATATATTGTGATCTTTTTGTGAACCGCCCTGAGACCTCCGGGTATAGGGTGGTATATAAATTCAATAAATAAAAATAAATACTAAGCAACAGTTACCCACCTATCAGGAACCTAGTATAGCAGCTCTGCCCCAGCCTACATGCCATTTCTGCCTCTTGCACATAAACAGTTTGGTCTACCTAAGTGTTGACAGCTGGAAAATTCACTTTTGGTTTACCAAATGATGACTGCAGTGAACAGCAGTTCTGCTTGGATTGGCCAAATTGATTGGACAAACAATTCCATCACAGAACCAAGACCTGGTGGCAGGCAGCTAAAAGGCTATCTATTTATTTATTTATTTATTTATTTATTTATTTTATAATAATTTTTATTCAGTTTCCAATATACATTCCATCCATATTTAACATCCACTTCTAACATATACATCTTTTAGACTTCCCTCAGCCTATCTGACAATTTTCCATATAATCACAATTACTCACTTTTCTTAAATTTATATTGCGCTTTAACAATCTTAATCTTATCATAACTTTTAAGCAACATTTCTATCCATCATTTTCACAGAGCTTCTTGAAAGCCAACAAGCTTGTTGGCTTAAAAGGCTATCTATTTATAACTGCTATTGGTGGCAGTCTTTTTGCTCCTGAATTCTTCGCCCAGTGCACATAACTTTGCATTACTTTAAAACACACATACATACCCTGTCATGTACACCTTCATTTATTTGCAGCAGCCTCCTGATGCCCTGTTATGGCCTGGGACTATTTTAACAACCTGTCAATAAAGTGTCATGTACGCTTGTCTAATCCTATCATTTCTGAAGCATCTGTGCATAATTTGCATTTCCTTAGTCTCCAGCCAGTTAGTTTGTTTTAAAAAATGCTGATGCTTTGCTTTTTTTCGTGTGTGTGTGTGTGTGTGTGTGTGCGCGTGTAATTTTAGTTCTATAGAATTACCTGGACTGTTGCAGCTGGCAAATGAAGGAGGAAGGGATATTACACAAACTAGGGAAGAAAAGCAGGACGTAAAGGAGGGATGTGAAAGGAGGGGGAACCACTCTTTCACGCCATCTGGTTTTTCCCATGTCACACAATGAACCTGCATCCTTCCTTTCTGTTTTTTCACTGCAATAGTACGTGCGCTGAGTAGAAAACAACTGTGCTCACAAACTTTTCAGGTTTTAATATTTCGCTTATGTCTGAATTTATGAGTCACTGCAAGGCATTCAGTGAACTGTACTACAAAATAAAATATGTTACCTGAATAAAACAAAAAAGAGCAACACACACATACACAACACTGAACAAAACAGCAAAAGAACAGAAGCTGCAGCCCAACCCTGAATGGGCATCCACACACACTATGGCTGCAACAGACCATTGCTATATTCTCCTGCGCCTTTCCTTGCCCCATGCATGCAGGTTACCTGTAGGCTGAATGCACACCATTCATATCATAGAATCATAGAATTGCAGAGTTAGAAGGGATTTCAAGGATCATCAAATCCAACCCCCTGCAATGCAGGAATCAATTTAACAAGCATGGCTTCCCCTAAATAGAATCACAAAATTGTAGAGTTTGAAGGGATCCTGAGGATCATCTAGTCCAACCCCCTGCAATGCAGGAATACGCAGCTGTCTCCTATGGGGATCGAACCTGCAACCTTGGCATTATCAGCACCATGCTCTAACCAACTGAGCTATAGGTGTCCTGATAATATTATAATATTGTAGGTGTTCCTAATATTATCATTGTTGTTTATTAAGGGTGCTGGGAATTGTAGCTCCGTGGAGATGATGATGATGATTTATTTATTTATTTATACCCTGCCCATCTGGCTGGGCTTACTCAGCCACTCTGGGTGGCTTCCAACAAAATATTAAAATACAGTAATGCATCAAACATTAAAAGCTTCCCTAAACAGGGCTGCCTTCAGATGTCTTCTAAAAGTCTGGTAGTTGTTGTTCTCTTTGACATCTGATGGGAGGGCGTTCCACAGGGTGGGTGCCACTACCAAGAAAGCCCTCTGCCTGGTTCCCTGTAACTTGCCTTCTTGCAGTGAAGGCCCTCAGAGCTGGACCTCAGTGTCTGGGCTGAACGATGGGAGTGGAGACACTCCTTCCCAGGATTCTTTGAGGGGAGAAATGATGTGCTTTAAATGCATGGTGTGCAGTCAGCAAGATTCTATTGAGCCCTTTGCTGATTGCGTTATGTGTGATCAGCTGCTTGCACCTATAGGATAAACAGCATAACCAGCAGCAGTAAGGACATTTTGAAAATAATCTGCCAAAGAATTTTAAACTTCCACAGCTGAAACATTTAGTACTTTGACATGTGAACGTAGGGAGCTGCCTTAAACCAGTCTGCCCCTTGGTCCATCCTCCTCAATATTGTCTACTCTACATCACCTGGCAGCAGCTCTCCAGGTATTCAGACTGGAGACCTTGCCTAGCCCTACCTAGAGATACCAGGGTCTGAACTTGAGACCCTAAACATGCAATGCATCTTATGAAATTAAAATGCCTTGGCCAGTGTTTTACAGCAGAGGGTGAAAGAGAGCCCAAGTGGATTTCTCTAGATAGAGAGTTCAATAGTATGGATGTTCCACCATGGAAAAATCCCAGCCACATGTCCCAGCAGAACAAATCCCTGTAAAGGGAAAGACACAGCACCACACCACATCCATAGCTCCTGAGATAGAATAAACCCAAAGATATTATTCCTAAAATATGCAGGACCCAAGCCTGTCACAGGTTAAAAAGTAACAGCTACCAATCTCTCAAAGCAAACAGAAAGCTTGTGTAGAAGAGTCAGAATTAAAGTGATGTGATCTCTGCATGCTGTTCAAGAGCAGCTTTCGCCAAATCTGGGATGTTTTGGACCACATCTCTCATCATCCTTGCCAATTAGCTACACTGGAGGTGGCTGATGGGAATTGTAGTCCGGAAAATCTGGACGGCACCAAGTTGGGGGAGCTTGCTCTAAGCCAATGGGAGAGCTGCAGTGGGAGTTGGTTTCATTTCAGCAATAAGGCTTTTCATCCTTTGGCCATCCCTCTGTATCATTCATTCTCCAAGCTGAGATCCTCCCTCTTTTTGCTCCTTGCTTTTCTTAAGTATCGTATGAAGAATCCCAATTTAAAAAATAGCTTCAAAAAGAGGAGTGTCTTCTGCTCTTAATGCATCGTTTCTATGAGGACTTCAGGACTCTCTTTCGGCGACAAGGCATGCTCTAGAGTGGTTTACCATGCCACCTAGCAGGGATTTTAAGAACTGAAAATTGCTCAGAAAGAGCTGGTGTGAACGAGAACACTGGTGTGAAAGCGCTCAAGCAACAAAAGCATGAAAGTTTGGAGACAGCCAAGAGAGATTGATGGGTGCATGTCATTATTTAAAAAGGTCTCCTAATATAAGAATGCTTTATGATAGCAACGTGATAAGCTGTGCACCCTCAATACCTCACTTTGCTAGATCTCCAAGTCATGTACTGTTGCCGGGCAGTTTTTCTTTCTTTGCAAAACTACAGCACTGTGGAACCACTAATAGAAAAAAAAGCATCAAGGTGATACATGAAGGGAGCTTCTAGCAAATTTGGGGACAAAATGCTCTCGCAGGGATGGGGAATCTGTGGTCTTCCAGATGTTGAACTATAGTTCTCATCATCCCTGACCATTGCTCATGCTGGCTGAGACTAATGAGCAGTGAGGATCCAATGAAATCCAGAATGCCACAGGCTCCTCCCCCCTGGTCTGCAGGCAAGATCACTACCCTGCTTCAAGTCTTAATGATCTTGGATAATTCTGTTCAGGATTCAGTACTTCTACTACTAAATATCTACCAAAAGCAGAAGAATGTAGCAATATTACCTAATTTCATGATCTAATAAAGGCTTCCTCAACCTCGGCCCTCCAGATGTTTTTGGCCTACAACTCCCATCTAGCAGGACCAGTGGTCAGGGATGATGGGAACTGTAGTCTCAAAACATCTGGAGGGCCGAGGTTGAGGAAGCCTGATCTAATACCATCTGGTTATGCAAATCCATATGTGTCCACTTGTCTGCGTATGCATAAATGCAAGTAAAAATGGGCATACTATGCCTAGTCAGATGCCTCCATGAGCCATCATGGCAGGTGGGCAGGGCTGCCAACCTGTCAGTCACCTGACATCATACAAAATCATGTGATTCAAAGTCTAATCCATTGGAGGAGGTTAAAGGCCTATCTGCAATCTTAGTGATACAGTTCCATTTAGTCTAGGTGTTTAAATCAGGGAAAATAGGTCTCTGCCCCAGACACCATATGACATCAGGTGACAACTGGTGGATGTGGTTTGCCCAAAGTGGTTTGGTGGACCAAATTTGGAGGCTAGTAGACCTAATTAGGCCTGCAGGCTAGAAGTTCCCTTCTGTCTAATGTCTCCCTATACAGGCAAACCTCTGATATATTGTGAGTCCAGTTCCAGACCACCACAATAAAGCAAATATTGCAATAAAGTGAATAATATATTTTTGTTTGTTTTCCTGGCTGCAGGGGCAGGAGGGGAAAATCTCAGCACCAGTCCTAGCCAGTCCTCCACTCCTGTGGCTGAAAGAGGGGCAGCAGTGTTGGTGGTGGTCTTCCTTCCCCTGGAAGTGGCTGTGCTGCCTGCAGCTGCACCCACATCCACGTAAGGAGCAATATCTGTGAAGCCCAATAAAGCAAAGTGTGATGAAAACAAGGTATCCCTGTGCATTGCTGGCTCCATGAGTGTACACTGCATCATAGCAGCTGCAGGAGGCAGATTTAGGCTGTGAGTCTACCTTCACTTACCTGGAAGTAAGTCCCATTAAACTCAGTGGGATTTACTTCTGAGTAGACCTAGTGAAATAAATGGACCTACATTAACCATGTTCATTAACTTCAATGGGTCTCCTCTGAGTAAAATTTAGTTGAATGCCATTCTCCATTAATTAATTTATTGCTAATATGGTTGTACCACATGGGATGGGAACACCAGCTGGATTTCCCACCTCAGGCACCAAAATATGTTGAACCAGCCCTGCTCCTATATTTTTCTATCGATTTATAGCCACTCTCTTCTCCCAAGACAACTTTACGGCCTCTGCCAGCTAACAGATCAGATCATATTGTTTGTTTCATTTGCTTTCTTAACCTTGCCTCACTCTAAATTCCAATGTCTGCCTTGATGCCGGCTGCATGTTTGACATTGTTTCAAGGTCAATATTGCTGCAAATAAGCTCCAGAATTTCAACCACACTACAAATTCTCAATAAGCAGTTCATAAGCAGATTCCTCATTGTTCCTAGGTAATGACAAAGAATATCTCATTTAAAAGCAAAAGCCTTGGTAGATTTAATTTGTTTTGTTTCATATCAGTGTGTTTGCACAATGTTGGAGTCCAGCTAGTTTGAAATTAGCTAATTTAAAATTGCCAAACAAATCAATTGGGTCTGAACCTGCTATTATAACCTCGGTCTGCTCCAAAGTGGGGAAATACAGTTGTATTTTCAGTGCAGTTCCAACCTGCCTTGCGAGCATCGCTTCTGTGCTTCTTATTGATTTCCTGACTCATTTGCCTCTTTTCAAAATGTTGGCAGACTAAATTTGTACAAAACATATTCAGAGGTGCTCCCCCACCCCTTTTAATACTACAAGCCACCACATGTCTAGCTTTAGTGAGACCAAAGCTCACAAACTGTTCTCCCAAGTTCTCATCTCTGATGTAATACCCAAGAGGGATATGTGAGTAAGTTTATGTTAGAAAGCAGCAATTAAATTGCTGATTGGTTAGGCTGGTGTGTTGTTGTTTTTTTCGAAAAGATCCACTCTCTTCAAGAACAACGGAACTGTAGGTCTAATTAAAAGCCCGTAAATAGCATCACCAAAGCCGGTGGGATTTATTGCATCCTGAACTGTAGTCATGCGCTCACCTATCTTAATGAAGCACAAAATGACAGTGTTTGGGCTTGAGTCCTGCATATACACCTACTGGCGTGTTTATGTATAGGTAGAGCTGATGGGACCTTCCACCCAAATCAGTATCCTCCCTCTCAGCAGATACCAGTCAGGAGGGAAGGCCCACATAATCCCTCGTCTGGCAGGAAGAGTTATACACAATGGCAGCATGGCCGGTGTCAGAGGCCAGCATCTACCCTCAGGAGGGCCCAATTGAAGTCATTGAGATGTGATCTCCATGTTGCAGCCAAATGTGCTTACCTGCTTTAGCGCTGGCCCACCTGCCTTGCCTCGACTGTGTCAGAACTGGAAATGAAGAGCTCATGAGAATACACATGCCCTATCACATCCAGGTGAAGGACAATTCTGATCAGCCAATTGGCGGGGAGAACAAGTCTCCTGGGATTGGCTGCACTACTGAAATGGAGATTTGGTGATGCAGAGAACTCTTGAAGGAAGCCCACCTTGGAGTCACCATCTATCAGCTGATAGTCGGTAACTTCAAGCTCACAAGATTGGCAGTGCTACCAAGTTCTCCATGCAGAGAGCAAGCTAGGAGTCACCACTTATCAGCTGATTGGTAGTCACTTCACACCCTACTTGGCTTCAATTTATACTTTTTGGTGTGACTTGATATGTTACAAAGGAAGAACGGTTCATTGGGTATCATAGTGTAACTAGATAATGATTGCCAGATGGGTGGAGCTCTGCCCACCTTTCATAATGGCCCACCAAGGTGGGGGATCCCAGGATCTGGCCCACCAGCCAGATCCAGTTCCCTGCTCCTGGTGTGTTGCAGTTTGCCATCACAGTCACATTGAATGATCTAGGTCAAGTCACTGTTAGTTAGCATCAGTTCTCCAACTGTAATAATGGGAATAATGATGCCCTACCTCACACAGGAATCCAACCATTGTTACTCTTGCCTCTCTCGCTTCCTCTCTGCTGATTCCATGCCAATGTTATAAGACGGGTGCAAAATGACTATAGACATAATCCAGGCATGGGGAACCTTTGGCTTTCCAGACATCACTGAATTACAACTCCCACCATCCCTGGCCATTAGCCATGCTTGCTGGGATTGATGGGAGTTGTAGTTCAGCAACATCTGGAAAGCCAAATGTTCCCCACACCTGGCATCATGCTTTTCTGTGAGGCATATTAGTAGACCCCTGCAGGAACAAGCACAGGGATTCTACTCTGTTTTAAAATGTTTTTAACGTTGTATTTTAAAATTGCTGTGGCCCAGCCTGGGAATGTATGGTGAAGGGCAAGTAATTAATCAGATTAAATTTATTGTTGTTGTAATAAGTGAAATTTTTGAATTATGGTGCTGGAGGAGACTCTTGAGAGTCCCATGGGCTGCAAGAAGATCAAACCTCTCCATTCTGAAGGAAATCAGCCCTGAGTGCTCACTGGAAGGACAGATCCTGAAGCTGAGACTCCAATACTTTGGCCACCTCATGAGAAGAGAAGACTCCCTGGAAAAGACCCTGATGTTGGGAAAGATGGAGGGCGCAAGGAGAAGGGGACGGCAGAGGACGAGATGGTTGGACAGTGTTCTCGAAACTACCAGCATGAGTTTGACCAAACTGTGGCAGGCAGTGGAAGACAGGGGTGCCTGGCGTGCTCTGGTCCATGGGGTCACAAAGAGTCGGACACGACTAAACGACTAAACGACAACAACAATAAGTGAAATAGATACTGTACATAGTGTCCCACTTCCTTTCCTCCTTCTGATCCTCAAGGTGTGAGTAAGTTGCAAGTCAGGACACCAAGAATGAGATTCACAAGTGGTTGACATGAAACTCCTAGTACCCACCGTGCTATAGTGCTACTTGTTCCCCAAACTGCATCATGTAGTAGGTATAATGTTCCCCAGGGAAGGGAAGGGAAGGGAAGGGAAGGGAAGGGAAGGGAAGAGATGTGGCCCAATTGGATCTTTTGACAATCCTTTTCCCATGGATACAGCTATGCCCACAAAGGGATAGAATGCTATACATTTCCAATGATAAGGTTTCTTAATAGAAATTGACTTTAACAGAATTTACAAGCCCAGCCATGTGCAGCACTGCAGCCAAAAAGCCAAAAGGTTTTTTAAAAAATAAAAAATCACAATCTAAATACGAACACTTTCCCTCCCTCCCTCCCCCTCCCTCTCTCTCTCTCTCTCTCTCTCTCATATCAAACCACTCATTTAAATCACTTGCAAATGAGAAAAACTATTTCCTTGTACATAAAAAAAGAATTAAATTGAATATAAATGTGCCTGATGAAGTAAATAGCTTCATAATGTGTTTATATTGCAAATTGCATCCACACAGCATAACAAACAACAATCCTATCACCAACAGGATAATATGTATGCGGAAGAAAACCTTGCATGACTTGCAAAATCACCAGGAGTCTATCAATGACCTTCAAAGAACGCCTTAATAGGACTTGAAATGACAGCCAATGGAAAAGCCTTTTGAAATGTGCCCTGTAATGGCACAGGAGGAAGAGAAGCCCTCCATAAGGGCACTTGAATAGCCAAGTCATACAGAAGCATCTTCATTTGTACTTTTTCTTGTAAATCATTTGTACCATGCCCACTTGATTCTAATGGAGCATCCATTAAAAGATCAGACACCAGCCAAAGCAGACCACAATAGGACTCTTTAATGATCGACACTGGCTTTCTTATTGCAGCATTCTCCATTTCACTTTATTCACACCAGTCATCCAAGTGCCATCTGATACTTCGATACCACAACTGCACATCAGCTTGAGGTTGAAACCGGTGTGACTGATAGGGGTTTCCCCGAGCAACTTGGGTGCTTTGTGGGTGTGTTTCTTTATTTTTATTCTTTATTAACAATATGTGTAGCCCACCCTTTTTATGTGCAGATACCAGGGCAGGGTACAGCACATCAAATAAGGTCATATAATGCACATATATAATACGTAATAAAAACCCTTGTTTAAAAAAATAAAGAACCCCTCCTCAAGCAATAGAAGCAGCTAAAAACACAAAGCAGGCTAAATCAACACTAAATTAATACATCCAAAGTGCCTGGGCAAACACAAAGGTCTTAACCTGGTGCCGAAATGATATCAATGAAGGCATCGGTCATATATATCTAAGGAATTCCAAAAAAATAAGGTGCCATTAGAGAGAAGGCTCTGGTGGTGGCTGGTGAGAATTGGAACAGGGAGGGCAGAAAGCAGGAAGACCAACAATAATTGGAGACAGAGCCAAGGAGCAGGAGAGCCAACTCATTATTGCTTTGTTGCCATCCTCCTTCCTATTGAGTTCTACAAGGGCAGTATGGAGGCCAAGGTGGAGGAAGCTGAAAGCCAGAGCCACTCCCTGTACTGATGGAGTTTGGTGGGGCAGCTCCCCATTCACCCAAATGGACCAGCCACCACATAACACATCTCACCCAGAGAAAAGCCTTCTCTGCAGATCACAATAATTGTGCTGAGAATTACATAGCAGAAATCCATCACAGAATTACAGTCCTCAAAATCCCATGACTGAGCACCATAGCAGATGAACTGGTTTAAAACAACGTTTCTAATGCAGGTGTGCTGCTGGTCTATTAAGCAGGCTTCCTCAAACTCGGCCCTCTAGCTGTTTTGGGACTACAACTCCCATAATCCCTAGCTAGCAGGACCAGTGGTCAGGGATGATGGGAATTGTAGTCTCAAAACATCTGGAGGGCCGAGTTTGAGGAAGCCTGCTATTAAGAATATATTTTCTCTCTCCCTCTGCCATAAAGCATATGGCTCGTTTCCAGTTATTCTGGTTTGGATCATTCTTCTCTTCACAGTTCCTGCGAGAATGCTGTCAAAGTGGTTTGTTTGTTTTTTAGTAGAGACAATAAATAATGAACCAGCATCTGAGCATTTAGAATAGGAGCCTGGAAGTTCAGGAACCAGCCATAGGCTTGAGGCAACTTTCAGTGCTGCCCCCTACTGGCACAGTGATTCAGCAAATAGTAAAACCTCAATTATAAGTTGCAAGTTTCACAGTTTGGATACCTTATATAATATATCGGGAGGAGGAATAAAAGGTAAATGTGCAAAGAGAAGCATTCTTTATGTAAGCCTTGCAGTTTGGTGGTCTGCACTGGGCTTCCTCAAATTCCCTTATTCAGTATGAGTATCCATTTGAATTTTTCACTGGTTGTTGTCAAGGGAGAGCGAAAGTGTGTAAATTCATGCTTACAAAATAGCAGCAGTCACACCAATTGCCCTTTCATTACAAATTCCAGAGAGGTGACATAAGATTCCTTTCCCATTAAGCAGTCACAAAATAGCACCATTTTCCTCTTACCTCCTAAGGCTTGCTTCATTACAAATTCCATGGTGATGGCTTTAGATTCCTTCCCACCAGAGCAGTTCTCACATGCAATTCAGATGGAGACAAGGTCTTGAGTTGCAGCCTGCAGCTGAATTCACAAAGCAAAAGATTAGCATTAGGGTTGCTGCATTTTGTATTCTGGGCCTCAGCTCTATGTCTTACTGCATTAGATCTACATGTCCTTTTGAAAGTCTGCTAGGTTGAACTCCCTCCCTTCCGCTCCACACACACATGGCCATTTATCACACTGGAGCCAAAGTTACTTGATCATGTTGTGAGCAACTAGGGAGCATTGTATATTCCTTAACATTCTGTAGTATGATCTTTAGGGAGTCAAAGAAAATGGGCAATCTACTGCTGATACATTGCCATGGGATAGCACTGAATTAAGGGGGAACTATTCCCAGAGTTAGATACTATTCACTCTGAATCTTTCAGTAGAAAATCAAGCACACAAGAGCTATTTAAGAAAAGAAAAGAAAAACCTACCTGAGCATTCAATTGCTATGTAAATAGATCTGCACACAGAGCTGTTTAATTGAATTTGCCAGGCACCCATTTAGTTTTTATACTGGGTCATTAGAAAGCAATATTCAATTCACTGCAAAAGCTATTGGGTTTAGTTGACATTTTCGAATGAGTAAAGAGTCCAACATTTTCAGCTTGGTAGTCCGTGGTTTTTGAGAGATGGTGCTTTAAAGGGGGGCAAGTTCTAGCTATTAAGAGCAGACGTTTGGCTGGGGGGCATTTGAAGGTTGAAGTGCTTGTGCTCCTTGAATTCTCAGCAGCAGGCTTCTCTGTCAGAATCTCCTAATGGCCAACCGCATGTCTGCATCACTGACCAGAAGAGCTACTCCAGTCAAATTGAGTTAAATATCAGACACATTATGAGAGAGATTTAATGCAAATTGGCTACTGAAATGCCATCAAGATCTTGTAAGCTAGGAGATCCTAAAGTAGACTGGATGTATCTCCCTTTAAAAACAATGTCAAATTCACTAAAAGTTATTAGGAAGTTTTCTTGGGATTCAGCACAATAATTTAGAATTGTAGCATAGAATTTCAGGTTGCGGCAACTAAGTTAAAGCTGTGAAGTAGCAAATAAGACATCCCCACTCCCCAGGGGTAGGAGTTTTCACAAGCAAAATGCTATACCTTATTTGACATGTTCATGTCAAGCTGCTTAACAGAACTTGAACTCCAAAAGTGAATTGGATTATTAGAAAGGGAAGATCGCAGGTAAGACTTATTAGCCAATGATGCTCCTTTCTAAAAGCTCTGCAGAGAGAACCAAATGCACCGCAAATCCCTCCAAAAATGCTCCATCTCAGTTAAATAACACACCCTTCTTTCTTTTCTCATTTTAAATAATGATATTGAAGACATTTAGGCAGACCTATTTTCCTTTAGAGAAAGGGGAATGCGAACTAGAGATAACTTATTAAACAGAACACAGTGCTGCATCATTTGAGCATTTTCCCTCTTCAAACTTCTACAGGCAAAGAAATAATGTGACCTCAGACTCCTGCTTTTTTTGGAGGGGGGGTCAATGCATGCACCAAAGGAACGAGAGACATGCTTGAAATTCCAATGAGGTTGCAATGAGACTACACACAAAATTTGGGGAAAGGGGGGGGGTACTTTTCCAGGTAATGTGTTTTGCACCAAGGCGTCCAAGTACCAATATTATATAAACGAACCCCTCCACGAGCTAATAAAACTCTCAACCAGTGAACTTGCAAAGGCAGCTGGCTGCAACCCCCTCCGTGCCCTGATTTGGGAGGCTTCGCCAAGCAGTACGTGTATCGAAGCTTGTCCCATAGATCCCCTCCTCTTCTACACAGCCAACTACCAATCTCTGCAACCACAAAGTATAGCGGGGTTTTCAGCACATAGGACAGCTTACCCGCCGCACAGCGAGGGGGGGGAAACCGAGCAATTCCTTATCCGTGGGGGAGCTCGCAGCAGCAGCAGCAGCAGCAAGCAGCAGCAGCAGGGCGTTTGAGCAAGAGAGGGGGAAAGAGCGTGTTCAGCACCAAGGACACTTCCCTGCGACCGGGCGGTGCCTACTACCGTACTAAGGGCACATTGCTGAGCACCGAAGCTTCAGCACCACGGACAGCTCCGGCCTTTCGAAAACGGGCGGAAAGGACTAGCGAGAAATACCTTCTTTGCAGCGTCTGGGTTCCTGCCGTTCTCTCTCCCCTCCTTGAGATACGGAGACAAGGTCCTTTCCCGGCTTTCCTAGCAGATCAGCCTCCCGTTCCTAGCCGGGTCCATGTGTTCCTCGGGAGTTAAAAGACGTCGCTTGAAGGGCATAGGCAGGAGCAGGCGCGAGAAGTTATCTTCCTTTGAACAGGGTCCTGGCACGATGAGGCAGCAACGGAGGAAGGACAAGCCGCCAGCTCCTTACTTTCTCTACTCCCTCTTTTTATCACGGCATTTCCGGACCATCCCACTGACACTATTCCCTCCTTACACTACGCTGCCTCCTTCCTCCTCCCTCTTCCTCCTCCCGCCACCGAGGCTGCTGGATCGGCATTTCTTGCCTGGCTCTCGCTTTCCCCCCTCCCCCCCAACTCCCCAGCATCCCACGGTAAGGGTTGCAAGAGGCGAGCAGCTGCTCCTGCCGCAGGAGGTTGCTGCCGGCACACCTGCAGTTACGGGGAGGGGGCAGGGAGGGGATTGACTGCAGATTGCCGGGGTGGGGGCACCTAATCGAACGGGGAACCCAACGGAACAACACCACCCGCTTGTAGTTTTGACAGGGTGGAGGGGGAGGGGAGTGCGGAAGCCTTTGCATTTGTTCAACGGAGCAAACTGTTATATTTGTAATAAGGCGTGAGAGCATCGGAAACAGTCGTGGAGGTGGGGATTTGGCAGGGTGGGTGGGAAGCGAAGTCAGCAGTTTCTCTGCAAAGCCTCTCGCGCGGAAGCGATACTCTCATGCCTCACACCCGTGATCACGCTCATTGTTATTCTCGAGAATCTGGGACTCTAGAGAGAAGGGCTGGAGGCTCAGGGACAAATATCAGGGCGGCGGCTGTTGGGATGGCATCGCAAGCCTGAGAGAGTAGGGAGATGGCCTCCTAATACATTCGAGACAGAGGGATCTCTCTCTTCCCCGCAAGCTGTTGGTAAATTGTGTTGATTTCATAGAGTATTTTGCCCTCCCTTCTCTCCGCCCGCCTCCCTTGCAAAGGGGCGTCTGAAGGTTAACAGAGCAGTATGGCTGGGGAATGTCAAGCTTTCAAGATGCTTTCCCTAGCGGGGCGTGTCAGA